GGGTGGGTCTTGGGGACTCTTCGTTGGGAACTACAGAGTTAGGACAAGGAGTGATGGGTACAAACTGAAAGAGGGAAAGTTTAGGTGAGATAGTTGGAAGAAATTCTTCCCTGTGAGGGTGGTGAGGCCCTGATACAAACTGCCCGTTCTCTGTGGGAGCATTCAAGGCCAGGTTGGATGGGGCGTGGAGCAACCTGGTCTAGTGGAAGATGTCCCTTGCCCATGGCAGGGAGTTGTATTAATTAGATGGTCTTTAAGGTCCGTTCCAGCCTCTTAACATTCTATGATTCTATGACTATGTGTCCTGTGAGGGGATGGGACGGACAGAGATGGGCTCAGTGGCTTTGGGCACACCCTGTGAGGTCCAAGGACTGGGTGCTTTGAGGTGGGGCAGCTGAGAGGTTAAAATAACAACCAGCATGCAGCTTGTGTCTGGCTTCTTGGGTGGGTGTTTTTGCAGAGTCAAGTAAAAAGAAAATATTACTGTTATTTTTTAAAAAATTCCAACTTAATTTCCCAGTCACTGGACCAATCACCTTTTGTTCAAGCCCATCGTGTGATTCTCGGGATTGTCCTGTGTTGGACCAGGAGTTGATTTTGCTGATCCTTGTGGGTCCCTTCTGACTGAAAATCTTTTGTGATTGCCATTCTGTTCCCAAAGCCTTCACAGGATGTGCTGGGAACTACCTTGAACAATTCTCAACCCTGTGAGCTTATGACTGAAACGCCCCGAAGTTGGGGGGAGGAACACAAAAGGCTGCATGTGTCTGGGATATCGTTCCACTGAAGGAAGGGAGAGGCAAAATCATACAGCCCTGTGCTACAGCAAGGGACCCCACATGGAGCTCGGTGGGCTCTCTTGGCCCAGAAAGGCTCCTGAGGCAGCCTGGTTGTCCCTGCCCCAAGCAAAGCCATGGTGGGAGCTGTGGGGAAATTTTCAGTGTCTAATCAGACACTTGCAGGTCATCAGCTGCAAATGATCAGCCTGATGAGGTGAGACGAGGAGGAGCACGTGATTCAGCAACGGTCACAGCAGGTGATGCTAATTAGGACACTGTGTCTTGCCAGAGTGAATGCAGCACAGGTGTTTGTCAAGAACGGTGGTTTTGCACCTTTCTAGATGTTGTAATCTCTCTAAAGTTGTTTATTAAGGTCAGTAATAATGTTACTGACTTGTTCTGTTTATTTATTTTTAATTCAGTCCATAATGATTCCCAGAATTACTCAATATCAGTGCACTTTAGGAAGAATATTGGCTTTTCTAAACCTCATGGTGATTGCTTAGCCGTGCAGAGAAGTGGTGGCTTAAAATGCCTTTATTTCTTATCAGGATAGTGGACAAAAGAGCCCTGAGATGTAGTGCTTATTAATTAATTGGAAGTAGGGCTTAAATTTGGCATTAAGAGAATTTGGGAGCTTCACAATAAGGAGGAAGTTTAACTACCAAAGTAGTGCAATTATGAAACATCTTCAAACAAAGTAGGAGCTTTATGCATTTTTATAGATCAGACTGTGTGACAGTATAGGAGCAATTTTATTTGGTTTTGGATTGGGAAATGAGCTTCTCTCTCTATTTCAATATGGGATCCTCAGTTGGGTCTGAAAAAATACCATTTTTTTTTCCTTTTTATTTATCGTTTACTTTCCAATGTTCCAGCAGCTAGGAAGGATTGCCTTCATTTTACTTTCTGCTTCTTTTTGATCCATGGTGAGGTTTCTGGGGCTCTGTTCCTTCCATCACCCTCCAGCCATTGTCTCTCTGGAGCATTAGGGATTTGTTCTGTCTGAAACCTGAGTGATGGAGAGCTTGTGCTGTTGGGACATTCAGACTGCTACCAGTTCAAGTTGGAGGGGTATCGAAAAATTAAAACCCTATTTTTTTACTTTCCTTTTTTCTTAAATGTGGTCTTTAATTTCCTCACGTGTAAGCAGTAAGTGGTAGTAGAACACTGGCTGAGCCTCAGATACATTTTTGCAGTGTCATGTGCTCACGATTCTTGGAGTTGCATCTAGATTCCTGGTTCCTAGTGCTGTCCTTTAAAAAAGGATTGGGTTAAGGATTTAATTCTGGATGGAAAAGTTGGCTGGTGTTACTGTTTAAAGCTTCTTAGTTGTTAAGGAAGCTTTAGCTCCTTTCTACTGTCACATTTTAATGTTTGAGCTAAACCTACAGCTGCAGGAGGATACTCATCAGTTCATTCCCTCTTCAGAATAAAGAGGAGTCTGACAAGAACAAAGGGATGAGTTCTTGTGTGTGAGAACAAGAGAGACAAAATGTCTGTGGAGTTTTACATCGATATTAGGAAGATGCAGAGGGTGCGGGAGCCAGTGCTCAAGGTTCCCACTCCTGTCCCACACTGTGCAGTTAGTGCTGGAACACAGTGTTAGCTCTCTCCTGGGGAGGTCCCAGTGCTGTGCCCATTCCATTGCTGTACCTGCAGGATGCTGGAGGGACAGAGGTGGTTGTGTTTGTTCCCTGTGCTTGTGAAGTGTCTGGCTCTGGGTTTGGTCAGAGCATGAACTAAATGCAAAGAACACTGAAAAAGTGAGGTGCTGGGAATTAGGAGAGTTACTGTGCTGGGGAATGATCCCAGACTTAGAGTTGGAGTTTGGGGGTGAGTGAGGAGTAAACCTCTAGTGACTTCTGGTCAGTGTTTTGGAAGCATGTCCGGAGTGAGCCGGAACGTTACTGGGCTTGGTGGCTCTGTGGGGATCGGAGTTGTTGGGAGGTTTGTTAGGTGAGTGGGGGAAGCTGCATGTTCATGGTGAGGCTGCAGTGTGGGCTGGACCTGTGCTGGCTCTGCAGTCTGAGAACACAAATCTGTTGGATGAAGGGGTTCAGCCTCAGGTGTTGGTCTGTGGGGATAAAGAAGTAGGTCCTGTCAGGGTGCAGGAGAAACCAGGCTAGTTTGGGAAAAGGGAATGTAGTACTGCTGTGAGTGAATGCTGAATAGAAGCTCAAGTGTAATAGATCTGCTATTCCAAATTTAATGTATGTGGGATTGACTGTAAAGCCTGTGAAAAGCAAGCAGTGGTATGTGAACCTTCTCCTAACAGTCAAGACAGACAAGCTCAGACCTCTTCCTCCTAAATGCTGTGTCTCTGTGCCCATGGTTTAAGAGGCATCTACAAATAGAGGCCCATTTATGCAGAGGGTGTGAAGGGCTGAATTTTATCAGCCAGGTTAGAGTAGTTTCTAGAGGTTTGGTGTCTCCTCTTATCAGCTTTATAATGAAATTCATATTGAGTGAGTTGCACAAGTCATATATTGAAACTGTGCTGAAGTTTTCTTATTTAGATAAGGGGAGGTGTTTGGACATGGGATTTATAATTCAATCTGACTGATGTCGCCTGGGCTTAAATAAAGTATTTGACTTGCACTGAAAAAATTGTTCTGTTGGTTTTCACAGAAACTAGAATATTTTTTTAACTCTTGTTTAAAGCTGAGGGCTTCACACACCTTTTGTTGTGCCAAATGCGGGTTTTATTTCCTATGCTTGGTTAATAAATATTTTTTTATCTGAATTAAAAAATATATTTTTTATCTGAATAGAAAAAAAAATTTAATATTTGGTAAGTCTGACTGGGAACAGACTCAAAGGGTCTGATAGAACACAGTGTGAAGGGTCTGGAGAGTATGTCCTACAAGCAGCAGCTGAGGGTACTGGGGGTGTTTAGCCTTGAGAAAAGGAGGCTCAGTTACTGCTGTCTGCAGCTACCTGGAAGGAGGTTGTAGCCAGCTGGGGGTCTGCCTCTTCTTCCATGTAACTATCAATTGTTGCTGTGGAATTTTGGTGCTGAAAAAATCTCCAGAGCAGTTAATTAGGGGTGAGATAAGAAAGGGTTTATTTTGCCAAGGCTAAGATGTTACAAGACGCGCCCCGGCCCTGCCTGAGAGGTTACATTTTATAATGCCATCCATCCAATCCCAGATGTGTCCACCCTGTGGCCTTTACTCTGGTCCACCCCCTGAGAAATGGGTCTGGGGGTTTTGGGACCCCATGTTCATCCCACCTTCCTCCTCATCAGAGCACAAAGGGTACATAGTTACCTCATTCTTGACCGTATTCTGTGGTTTAGGCTCTGATATGCTGTTCTGCCAACAATCTAGGCCTTGCCTTGACAAAAGACTAAACATTTCTGCTGTATTCAGGGGTAGGATTGATATGGGGAGCATAGAATGGGGTAAGAGGGTTAAGGAATGTGTAAACAAGGGTGCTAGAGAAAGGGAAAGGGACAAAGGGGGGGGTTGCTGCTTTTAAAATCTACTTCCACTACTTATAAAACTTACAAGTCTTACAAATATTAGAAAAATAAAAAAAACATTAGGGGCTTAAGGCATCAATAGAATGGGAAATGGCCTCAGACTGTGCCAGGGGAGGATCAGGCACAGGATATTAGGAAAAGATTTCTTCACTGAAAGGGTGGTTAAGCATTGGAATGGGCTGCCCAGGGAGGTGGTGGAATCACATCCCTGGAAGTGTTCAAAAAAATGAGTGGATGTGACACTTCCCCATATGGCTCAGTGGGCATGGTAGTATTTGGATGAAGGTTGGACTTGATGATCTTGGAGGTCTTTTCCAACCTGGCTGATTCTGTGATTCAGTGCCATGACTGATACAGGCTTCATTGGGCATCAGGTGAACACTTTAGCTAAGCCACACTTTGGTGTCTTAGATGCACTTCTGAAGTACCTTGTTACAGCTTCTCTCTTCTCAGTATTTGTATGTGGTGTGTACTGAATGCTTGGCAGTCCATGTACACTATGACCAGCTGAAGAGTCATATTTTTTTATGTTTTACTGCTAAATGTCTCTCGACTGCTATCTAGGCAGTGAGATAGTGGTGGTTTAAGCCCAGCTAGTAAATATGTGGCACACAGCCACTCCACAGAGACCTGCTGGAGAGCTAATCCCATTCCCTTTGTCTCTGAAACAGTTATCCCAAAACTTTTTCTGGGGCTGGTGCATGTGCCATGTACATTTACCTGACTAGACAGGTGGAGGATATGCCTGATGCTTGTTTTAGGAAATTAATATTAAATAAAATAACACACTGTCAGCTAAAAGAATAACGTGGAAGCTGTTCCCTCACCACACACAAGAGCCACAAGGTCCTTTAGGTTGCTCCCCCTTTTCTTCCTGCCCCCAAAGGTGGGAAGCAATGGCTGTTCCCCTGTCCCTTGTGGATGTTGGGAGCAGCCCATGGATCCCCCTGCCTAGAGGACAGCAATGAACATACAGCTGCACTGTTTTAATATCAGGTATTAATCTTTAATTCCACATCACAGCAGTCGAGTGAATGGGGTAAGGGAAAGGAACCCAAAACAAACGGCAGATATTTACATCTAAAATTCACACCACTTATTTGTTGGTTCTGGAAACATGCTATCACAATATATACAATGAAGTACCTTTAGGACACTTGTACAAATTAATTTTTCCTTTTGAATTTGATTTCCATTATAGATAAGATAGCTGTTTTCGATTTATTTTAAACATGAATACACAAAAGAGAAGTGGTTAGAGGTTTTTGCCTTTTTTTTTTTTAAATAAGCACAGAATGCCAGAGGTTAAAAACACATTTACAGGGCAGAATACCAGTCAGACATCACAATCTATACATTTTTTGCTCAATTTCCTGTACAAATACACAGCATTCAAATGGGGGTATTTACAAAGAAGCATGATCAGAGGAAATTTTAAATATCACATAATTTGTTTCCCAAAGGCTCTTGCTCTCTCCAGCCTCCCCAGTTTTGGCTGATACTCCCACAGAAAGGATATGCAATATCCCTTACCTAAAAAAGGGCAAGTAAGCTAAAAAACAAAGAGGAAAAGTCAAAAAAGAATCTGAGTCTTGTACACAGTAATAAAACCAACCCAACCATTGGAAAAAAAAATAGGATTCAGAGAAATTAAGTGCTTTTCTTCTATCACTGTAGTTCCTTCTCAATTTTGTTTCAGATGGGGCCAGCAGGTACACGGATGATGGAGAGATTTATAGCAGAATTCCACCAATTTTCTCAGGAATGCACATGCTATTTTGTTATGCAAAGAAAACCCAATGAAGGCAAGTACACTGAAGTTTGAATTAGAGCTTGGTATAAAATGTCAAGGTCCTGTTCAAAACATCCTCTTGCTGTGGTTTATATCTTCAAATCCTGTTGGGCAAGTGCAACAACTGCTGTTGCTTCCCCCTACTCCAGGACTGAGCTTGATGTTGGAGTTGTACTATGCTAAAAGACACCTCACCATACAGAGAAGTAGTTCCAAGCAATATTAGTTCCAAGATTCACAATATTTCAATAATAGTCTTTCTATATTCTGTCCCCTTTAAGGCAAACACTGAAAAGGGAAGCAGAGTACTTGGTAGATATCAGAACCATAACAGAAATTTAACTCCAGAGAGGCTTAAATTTGGTAAATTCAGCAATTTATTCCATCCTTCTTTGTGTGGACCTGCCATAAATTAGGTATTTGTACACATCACCTGATTGACCTTCGAACCCTTACAAACACATGGGAATGTCAGACTCCCCACGGACTCACTGCTGTTGTACCATGTCTCTAATCAGAGCAGGATGATGTGTTTTGAGAGACTGATTAGAGCTCTAGTGAGCAGGTTTTCCAGGTGCCTGGGACTCAGTCCCACTTTAGTTGCATTCTTGGTTCTGCAAAGTTTTATTTGCTAGACCTGCTGGTTTTTCCACGTTAAGGAAGCTCAGTAAGTCACTACATTTACTACTTTTAGTCTTGCTGCCAAAAAGAAAAACAAAACCAGGGGCAAGGGAATTGGAACTGAATAGTAAGTTATTTTAAAAACTTCACTGGAAGAGTCTCAGTGGGACTGGAGAATAGCATATGTGAAAACACATCACCCATTTCTAAGGAATTACCTTGACTTACCTTTACCAAAAACATAATTTGTTTCCATATATATGTTCTATACCAGAGATCCAGCTTAGTTCCTTAACATTTAGGACTGTCCTCGCATTGGAAAACTCTCCTTCCTGCTAGAGATGAAACATTCACTATGGGCCAGTTTTTATTATTGTTGTCTTAATTGTGAAGGATATAATGATTACAAGCAGCCTGTGTTAGTAACAAAATAGAGGAAGCAAGAGAGACTTTGTTCCAGCCAAATAGGCCATTTAAGAAACAAATCCTTAACTTAGTAGTTTTGCATGGGCTAGAGCTGGAGAAAGAAAATAAACAAATCCTCTTAAAATCCCGTTCACACAACTGCTGAGTCCAGACTTTATACAGCCAGACCACCTTTAGCCAGTTCAGAAGCCACGTACTCTGCCCAGTCACTGTATTTAGAGGTAGTGCTAAAGGTGACCTGTAAAAGATTTTTAATATCCTTTTTTGCTTCTTTATGCTGTTTTTAGAAGGAGAAACTGAGCAGTTAGGACAAGAATTCAAGATGAAAGGTGAGTGCTGTTCCTGTTTCTGGCACTAATTATATGGTGGAGGTAAGTGTCTTATTTGAATGTGCTTCAGGTTTTTCAGTGGTAGGAAAGAGGGAGGTTTGTTTCCACCCTACGGAGTGTGCTTTACAGTCTGCAGGTGAAAAGGTTAAAAGGAAGGCTAAAATGAGTGTGGGCATGGCAAGGAACATAGCTTGTTTATCTTAAAATATTAAGTATTTTATACTATCCTGATTGAAAGTTTCTTGAAAAATACGAAAACAGGAATAAAAGGTTTCTTATAGCCGAGATCTGTTCTTTGTAAAGAACACTATTACCCACAGACTTTTTTTCCTGAACTATGCAAACACTGATTAAAAAGCTTGTTTTGTGGTCATAGACTCATACTGTCTTCACCTCTGCACAGTTCTAGTTTGTGTGGTGTGGTTTGTTCCCCAACCCCTCAGTGTTCTTCAGCTCTTTCTGGAGCCTATCCATAAAAAAAAACATGGGATGGGGAAAGGCTGTATTGCTGCCTGAGGAGAAAAGAAAAAAGAAATCAGCTCTCCAGAAGAGAGAAGCAGCAGCTCTCACTACACATTCTAAAGAAGCAAAAGAGGAAACAAACACTTGTTCTTTACAGGTTGCCTTTAAGGTCCCTGACTCTGGGGTGTACACTGGATACCGGGCATTGCTGGAGTCTTGGTGTTTTCTGTCTACTCTGAGATGGGAGATTCCTTCTCACACCAGCTGCAGTGAGTTTTTGGGAGGGACTGAGGATATTGAGTTAACATGGAATGAATCTCAGCTCCTGGGTGATGGAAATTGGTGAGAATTGTGATGTTCAGCCCTGAGGCAAGGATTGTTGGATATGATGCATTTAAGCCACCCTTTCTTTACTGGCTGGGTCATCAACCAGCTTGTGGCATGAGAAACTCAATTTGGTTGGTTTTGTTTTAAACTGGAATAGAAATGCTGGTGTCAACAGCCTGCCCAAAGCTGGGCATGGGAAAGGCTTACAATGAGGTTGTAGCTCCAGTGGCTACCAACCTCCTCTCATTCTGTAGCACAGATGAATAACACGTGATTCCCATGAGAAAGCAGGTTGGCTTAGCCAGTGAAAGCAAAATTTAAGAAATCAAACAGTACATAAAAAACAAAGGAGGCAGAGTTTGTTGGAAATGATATCTTGGAGATCAGTGCATCAGCACTGGTTAGATTGCCTCAGCACCTATGAACCAATGCAGGGAGATCACTGCACAGATATGTACAATCCTGCTCTCAAAAGAGCCAATTTCTTCTTAGAATTGCCATCTTTCCACTGCCTGCAGCTCATGCACCTTCCAGCCTGACAGTTCATAGAATCCCTGATTTCAGCAATGAGCTTTCAATTCTGTACAGCAAAGAAATATGTCCCTAGTGCAACTGCTTCTACTCATGTGCGTCTCAAACTGGGAGGAAAGCAGCTTCAAAACTTGCCACATTCCCCCCTTTTCCCCCCTCCGCTTAAAATCGTATTTTTCAGCTTCTGCAAGTCTCTATGGCTCGTGTGCCATAGGATGTGGTTAAGAAACTGCAGAAGGAATAAACTGTCCACTACACAGAAAGTTAAAAAACGAAACGGAAAGGTGTAAAAAGAACTTAAAAAGGAAAGCAGCAACCTCCCATGCTGGCCCAGTTGCTCAGGTGGGCTTCAGACATAAACTTGCGGCAGTAGAAAATCGGTTTGCTGTTCTCCGAGTCCTGCTCTCTCTCTCTGTTGTGTCCAGACCTGGAATGCCGATGCCAGCTGTGTGCCAGGAGCTGTCCCTACTGCTCAGTGATGCCGTGCTCCCATGCTACCCTGGCCTGCTCTTCCTTTCCACCACTCACCGGTTGGGACACTTTACGGTGCAAGGGGCGGTGTTTGTCATCGTCTTCAATGATCATCCCCTCCTCGTTCTCCATGTTTGGCAGCCGGGAGTGGTAAGGTTTGGGGGGCAGAGCAGGAGGGTCCATGGTGTCCTGAGGAATGACTCCAGACGGAGCAGAGTGGCTTCGGCATGGCTGGGATTTGAGCGACTCCAGGACATCAGGCTCAGAGAGACTGTACCTGACAGGGAGGTAGGGTGTCTCTAGATCTTCATCAGTGTTCCAGGCCTGGCTGGGGACAGAATCCATGGTGTCTGTGCGAGGAGGTGGTTCAGAAGAATGTCCAAAATTGCTCTCACTCAAGGAAGAGACACCACTGCTGGCACTGCCGGACAAAGTGGAGTTACTCCCATCTAGACCAGACTGCGGACTGGTGGGCGATGCAGGGATAGGATGAAGAGGGGACTGTTTAGAGAAAAACAAAACCAGGTTAAAACTGACAAAGGAGGCAATGCTGCATCTTGTGTGGTGTTCCCCATTTCAGCTTTTGACAGTGTTGTGAACAACAGAGCAATTCCATTTGTCTTCAAAATGTCAATGATTATTGGTTTACAGGTATAGAAGTACCACTTTTGGGCAGACAAGTGCACTCAACAACACCAGAGCTGTCAGAGAAACAGTAGCTGAGGTGATGATCAGGGTGCTGAAATCACAGCAGATGGTGCAAAGAAGGAAAAGGGAAGGGCCTACAACACTTAAGTTATTTCTACAGAACTCAATTTCAGAGCAGGTTGTGAGCTTTCAGTGGATTTTCTCATGTGCAAGTTATTACCATGTTAGAAATAGTGTTTCTGTATTCAGAAGCTGCTGGGTGGGAGCAGAGGAGGGGGATTCCTCTGGGAGTCTCTTACTGTCCTACATCCCTCTCTGCTCCCCTGCCATTACCTTGCGCAGTGTTCGTGCAGGCAGTGCGGGAGGAGCATCACTGAGCTGGTGGTGGAAGGCATCAAAGTGCAGTGAGTAGTGTCCTGGAACGAGACAAGGATCAGAAATGCAGACTTGTGCTGCAGCCACAGAGCTGGGTTCAGATCTGTAATGCCAGGTAACAGCTCCAAATGCTGGTAACTCCAACCTAGGGCTGCCTGTCTGATGGGCACTGCCGAGTGCATCTGTCACACACACACACACAGAACTAAGGAGAACTTCAGTGCAGTGATAAACTTCCACCCACCCCTGTTATCAAGGATCTCATGGCAAGGCAACAGGCTCGTAAACAATGAACATTTGAAGTTTCTTTTAATAGCTTTTTAGCCTTAAATTACTGCTGAAGTTGATCACTGGTAAGAAACCAAGCCAAACTTCAGTGCTCTCACACCTAATTCTAGTCCCCAAATATGCACAAGTCCACACTGCTGTAAGGAGTGCAATAATTTGAAGATTTTTGAAAAAAATTGGAAACCTAGCAGACCAGGAAAGACTGTGGGGTTTTGTTCTGATTGTTTTTAGGGGGGAAAAAGGCTAAGGTCAGCTTTTAGGTGGTCTGGGTTTTTATGTGTGCATGACTGCAGGCCTGCTGGGCACATCCTTACCATGGGGCAGGCTTCGGGGAGGCACTGGTGGGGCCAGGATGCTCCCAACGTGGGCAGACAGGAATGGCAGGGCCTCCCGGGTTCCGCTGTCCAGGCTCCAGCTACTGGGTGCTGCTGGCACAGCTGAAGGATTGAAACAGATGTAACTGGGGTAACATTACAGGGGGGTTGTGGGGCCAGGCAGATTCTGCTCTTCACCAGCAGAGAGACAGATTCCAGGGACTCGGTGAGTGGCAGGATTGAAAGCACAGAAAGGCACCGTCTAGTCTACAGTGAGTTAAGTTTACAGAGGCTTTGTTAAGGAAGCAAGAGTTAGGTGATTGCAGGGTTAGTGTGCCCAGCTCCCCTCCATCACCCCTTGGCTCATTTCTAGCAAGTTTGAAGAGCAGTAGAACTCTGGGAGGGTTTTTTTTGCAAGCCAGAGAGTAGGTAAAAATGAAATCCTAGTGATGGAAGGGCAGCTGTATCTCAGGTGTGAGTTGAGCTGTATCTCAGGTGTGAGTTGAGCTGTATCTCAGGTGTGAGTGGTGACAGAGCAGAAGGGACCATGAGGCAGAACCCTCTGGAAACACAGGACAGGCTGTGTCTGCACTACAGGGTAAGTGAGGACTGAATAAAGGACATGAAGGAACTTACACCTCAATCCATTGCAAAAGAAATCATGACTTCAAAGCCCGGATTTACTAAGCTATAGAGCTGATTAAGAATTTAGATCACAAAATATTTAAGGACAGCAGGTTGGCCTCCTTGTATCACAAAGTCACCTGAACAGATCTTGTGAAATTCATAAGTCTTTGTGAATCAGGAAGCAGAGAGAACATTTACTTCATATAACTCACAGTGGGTATGATCTTCCCAAACTTGTTTTTTCATAGAAGTAGAAGCTGCTTCTTTCTAACATGACCCTTTTTCAAGATCTTGAGAATTCCATCAGCCTTAAGCATTATTAAAATGCACCTTCCTTTCTTCCAAATAAGACTTGGTTTATTCTGAGAGGAGGTGTGCAATAACTGTATGTTTGTTTAAAAACAAATAAGCAATTTCTTCAGATTAGCAAAGGAAAGGAAAAAAATAAAGTAATTCACTGAGCCTGTCAATGAAAGCTGAGATAAAAATAGCTTTTTCCATCTTCAGTTTGGAAAATGGAAGCTTGGAGAAACAAACATGGAGTTTGACATCTGAAGAGGATTTCTCCGTAATTAAAATGCCTGCAGCCATTTTTGGTGCATTTCTTTTCTAAAATGATTTTGAAAGGTTTCTCTTTTTTTTTTTCTCCCTAGTTTGTGATTTAGCCCAAGCACAGGCTCCCAAAGGCCTAAAATTCCCTGAAGTAAAAAAGATCACAAAGTGACAGCTTCATAAGGCAGAACAAACCCCATAAAATATAAAAGTAAATGTTGTGTTTAAAGAGAGACCGTCAACCTGAGAAAGGAATATGAAGAAGACACTAAGAATATTGACAGAGAACAGGGACAGCAGTGCCAGCTATACTCATCTTGCCTGCAAACCCCAGCATCAGGTGATAAAGAGAGGAAACCTGATTCGCTTGGATGTAAAACTCTTGTTGTGCTTGGTTTTGTTTGTTTTTTTGAACACTGAGATGCAGAATAAGAATGTGAAGAAGAGCACATGGTATCCCAGTGCAAAACCCATTTATATTTTCTTATTGTTCCCTCATTCACAGCCTTATGAGTATTTAGGAGTGCTGGAAATCATCTGAAGGTCAAATGATTTTGGAGAGTTGCTGCTGCCTGTTAAAACCTGCCTTTTATCCAAAATGCTTCAGGGGAGAACCTAAGCAGGGAGCTCCTCGTGCTCTGTCCCAGCCCATGTCTCTCCATAACAGTGTTCAGTGGCTCAGTGGCCAAGTTTAATTAGCAGGGAAGCTGCATTTGAACCATTCTGCTCGGGGCGACTGATGTCACCCCTGTCAGGGAGAATTACTGAGAGGAGCTTCGACAGGGCAAGGAGGGGGTGGGGAAATTCATGGCTGTGACTGTTAACAAAATCCAAGGCAGATGGCACCCTGACTTCAAAGGACGATGTGGGTTCAAGGCCTACCAAAAGTGCCTGTCACTGCATTTTTGCCACCAGCCTGGCACAAGAGCTGGGAGTCCTGTCCCACCAGCCCCTACAAACAACTAGGGAACAACGTCTGTGTCTTCTTTGGGCTCCTGCAGGGGGATTCTATCTTTGATCTCTTTGCACTGAATACCACACTCTTGTATAATATTTCCCACACATACAAATCCAAGTATTTTTTTCCTAGACAGGCAATAAATATTTATCTACCTTCCTTTTCCAGATCTTTCTCCTCTCCAGTATAAAGATCTCACCATCTCTGGCATCTGTTTGGTTCAAACTAAGATGGAGCTCTTAATCCCTCACCCCCCAGTCTTAACTCTCTGTTGTCATCGCTCATTACTGTCATCAAGTCATCATTCTGCATTTAATCAGAACTGGATGTTGGCTTTTGGTTTTGATCTGGACTGCTTTGTAAGGCTGTCACATTGTTAAAGTAGGGAATTCTGATTCACTAGAAATTCTAAAATAAAATTTGGATTTTTTTTTTTTCAAGAAGGTACAGTTTACTTCTGGCACAGTTACTGAAACAAAAAGATTGGTAAAAATCCAAGTGTATTATAGGTCGGACTAGAGAGGTGCAATGGTCTTTCCTGGCCTTAAAAATCTTTTAAGATACCATTTTTCCCAGCCATACACATGACTGTTGCTTGCTTAGGCAGCATCCTTGTCTCAGATTTTGACTCAGGACTGCTTTTTCAGAATGCTGCCTTTCAGGTAATTTTTGAGCCCATCGCTTTGTCCATGGCACCCCTTTCACAAGCTCCTCCTTTTCTGTTACACCAAACAAAGTCTTTATCTTTTCTTCTTTTTTTTTTCCCCCCTGCAGGGCCTCTGCCTGTTTTTTTTCAGAGCAACAAATTAAAAATGCATATATTCCCAATGCCAAATAAATATAAAACTACCTCAGAGAGGGATTACAAAGAACATTCATATTTAGAGCAATAAATGTATCCTAAAAAACCCAGTATATTTCATTACTAAAAAACACGGTCCAAATGTTGCACTCTTCTTAGATATCTTCTCATTTGCTGCTTTGGAAGTTTTGCTTGATAAAAGCTGCAGGATTTGTTTCAATAACAAAGTGCTAAACTCAGAAGACTTTCTGAAATAGAGAGGCTTGTGCAACCCCACCCTTCTGAAATGACTACAGATTGGCAGAAGGCCCAGTTAATTAAACTGTTAATTAGAAAAGCGTGAGAGAATGCACTCTGCCAGGAACTGCAGAAGCCCATTCGTTACTTGCTGTAGCATGACCAGAAGAATACTATTTTAGCAAGCAGCTAACTAGGGACAGGAGTACCTTTCTCAGCCACGGACAGGTTGGGATCACTGCAAGGTTTGCATGGTCCAATCATTTGCTGGATCAAGGCGCGCTGGAAATTTGGAGGCTGAGGGAGGAAAAGTCAGCAAAGAAGAGTTAAAAGTTACAGACCAGCTGGGGCAACACGGGGGCTTTCTGTTCACTTTTCTTAAGCAAAGAAAGCTCATCTAAAGGTTTAAAGGGAACCTTAGGCCGTGCCTGCATTGGCAAGTCCTGCAGTGCAATGGCAGTGGGTCTCCAGGGTGTAACAGTGCTGTGGGCCCCCAGTCCCTCAGCTTGTGTTCTCTGGAGGAGTTATTTCAGACTAGCTCTAGCCTGCCCTCGTGCCCTTTATCACCTGGAATGCACCCTGGGCCCTTCTGGAGCTTACCTTTGGCTTTGGTTTTGTTTGAGTTTGCATGCTCTGAGACAGTTCTCTGAGGTGAGTTGAAGTGGGCATGATCAGGAGATTCCCTTCAGAAGTGCAGGCTGGGGCCAGATTTAAATGCACGCTCTGAATTCTTCAATTTGTCCAGAGACAAATGTAGATGTGGGCACAGACTGTTTTGAGACCCTCTATCAATATATTATTTCAGCCCCTCATGGTTTTTTGATACCTCTGGAAATCACCATAAAGCTATTTAGAATCAACTTTGAGGCTAGACTGCAGGATGGCTGTGGTTCTAAAAAAATGAATAAATAAAATGGTATGATGACTTGCAGAGGACCAGGGCTTACAGGATAAAGTTGGGAAGTAGGATAAGGAGAGTTCATTTTTACAGGGTGTATCTGCAGTTTTAACAGTCATTACAATTTCTATCACTTGACTGCCACAGTGGGTGACTCCAGGGAGGGATTAATACGAACAGTTCTGCGTCACCTCTGAAAATGATCCCAAATAAGTTGCTGTGCTTTGTGAAAATAAAAAGGAAAGCGCTTTAAGGTCATCAGAACCAGTAAATATAAAGTCACAGTTCTGGGTGGTTGAACTGACATAGAAAAAAAACTGGAGCTGGTACCTGTCCATTTTCCATGATAGCTGCGGGATACATGGCGCTGCTGGGTCGGTCCCGGTGGGCTGGCAGCAACATCATCATCTCCCGAGAGTGCCGGTACTTATCTGGTAGAGAGGGAGAGCCTGTAAACAAGTGAGAATAATCACGTACACGGGACAAACAACAGCCAGGTCTCCGCATGCCCAGGGATTCAGGCCTCCTGTGCAATAGTTCGGACGGATGATCTCACAGGACTCAAAAGAACATGGTGCCGAGCCCACTAAGCAGCTGACTGTTGGTGGGTGCATAGCACGAGGATGGAGTAAGAACTGGCTTGTTATATACAGTTGAGGACATAGCACAAAAGGTGTGTAAGGTGTAGGCATCCCTAGTTGTATGTTGCAAAGTGCTTCCTCTTAAACAAAGGAAAGAGTGGGCATCTGTGTGGAATCGGCTGTGGCTGTGCTGTACAGTGCCTAATGCTCCCCTGCCCTCATAAAGTATTGCAGAGTAACAGAAATGCCTTAAAATTGTGCGGTTTAGGACTGAATGTGGAAGAAAGGGATAAAAGCTTGAGATACACCGTTCAGTGAAAGCAGGAAGCTACGGGAAGGTACTTCATTCCTCAGGTCTGCTAGAGATAAGTGGTGCCATTTAGTTGGTGATACCTTGGCCAGCAAAACAAAGCCCAATAATAAACACAATTTTCCTTAAGTGTAAGTGGCACTTTGCTTATAATGCTGCTGTAATGATGATTACTACTGAGCGTGTTGCTATAGTGAGCCCTTTTATGACACCAGGACATTTACCAATACTTAGAGTTATATAGCAGGAATAGGCTTAATTCATCTATCTGTGTAGTTGTTGTTAAAGATACTGGGGTAATTAATGTAAACAGCTTCTTAGCAGGTGGAATTACTTGGGACTCATGTCCTTCAAGATGAGTGCCACGTAACAATATGCCTTCTGATGTGCAACAGCTGACAACGGGTTTGCCAGAAGAATGATTCTCATTAGTGACTTCCTGAAGTCTGACACTACTGATACACACATCCCTTGGGATGCACAGTATTAGGCAGGAATTGATGTTCTGAAGCTGCTGAAGTGAGCTTTAATTTGCACTCATTGTTTGATTGCGTCACAGACACGCACTGAACAGATGGCAGCACACAGCGCATTACAGAGCCATGCCGGCTTTTGGGGAATACATGCCCCCTCTGGCAAACTTCCACAACCACACACATTACCTGGACAGCACTCCAACATATGAGCAAAGGCATTGGTGCTGGTTGATGCAGCTTTTACCCCAGCAAAAGCAAACATGCAGTTTTTGGGACTGATATTCAGCACACAGTGGAAGGAACAATGTGTCCAGCAGAATGCAGGATAAGGTCCTACAATTGCAACAGTTCCATTGGGGGGGCAGATGCCAGATTAATCTCTACCCCCACTCCAACATGAACAGCCATAGAGTATCTGCATTCTAGTCCCGAACTCATTTTCTCCCCAGACATAGAACAGAAACATAATTAGACAACATTCTTTGCTCTTATGTACAACATCAGCTTGGAGAACACAGTGTTAACGCTTTGTGCTGAGTCTTTTACTCACAGGTCACAGATAGTCCTGTTCTGCAGGACAAATGTAAAGATGCTGAACTTTTAGGTGTGCCCAGAACTACAGCACAGCACAACCTACACTCTACCCTTTTCATTTATCTTGTCATCCTTGCTCTTTTATATCAAAGTTGCAAACCACCTCTGTGCTGTCAATTTATAAGAGATTACAGTTTCCATAGATCTTGCATTTCATGGCGTGAAAAATCTCACATGTGCTGGCAGAGTCTAGTTTAAAAAACAGCTCTGCTGTTTGGTACCCTAAATTTGTAACTGACTATAGCTATAAAAATTTTAAGAGACTGTGTCAAGTGTCCAGTGTGCAAACAAAATTAAGTAGGGCTGCTTTGGACAGGTAGAGAGCACAATCACCACCGCTCCTTTCAGGGACTGGCAAAACTTAAAAAGCAAAGTCAAAAAAAGGCTCTTAGAAGCTTCCAGAGCAGCCAGTGGCCATATAAAATACTGCAGCATGTGGCAGGGCTGACTCCTTTTAGCATGTAGTTTGGTGCACTTGGTGTGTGCAGCACTGCAGGCACTTACTAATGAGAAAGGAAAACCTGTGCTGAAGCCAGAGGTAGTTTTTCTTTTTTAATTATAAATATGTTAATCCACTTGTGACAAGTATTAGTTTTAAGGAATGAAACTGAACACTAATGTAGTTAAACTCCAAACTCATTGAATCTTTTCTCCTGATTCATCACTTCCATTACTGTTATGAAAATGGTTTTTGCTTTAAAAAGGCAGTTTTAATGTAAGTTTACGGATTCCTGCAAAGTGCTGAGTAAGACACCAGGACTTATTTTCTACATTTTAACAAGGGGCTGTGTTGAGGAAGCAGTAGGGATGCCTTAAGAGGCATCAAGTATCCAAGTGGGAGTTGCTTTTCGAGTGCATCAGAGGAGTCCCAACCATATTTTAAATTAAATTACTGGAAAAAACCCCTAACTCACTCATAGCTCTTTCCCAGCCCTTTTGCATTTCATCTTCTGCTTAACGAACCATCTATACAATCTTTTAACTCCAGTAAGGTTACAGCAGTGCCTCATGAGTCACCTCAAATGAAGCCAAACCAAACTGAACTTACTGATCCTCCATACAAAAAAAAAAAGTGGTGCTTTCCTGATAGGGAAGAAGCTACACAAGGGTCAAGCCAGGTGAAAACTGAAAGATATTTGTAAAAATGAGTAACTGGTAATGTCTTTATCATTAGCACAGAATTAGAAAATTCTTACTGTGTTCTGATTTCAATTCTATTTAAGACATTTGCTGTAATTTGTGTATATTATAACTACTGTAAATTTTGGTGCCTTAATCTGCTGTTCAGTGATACAATCAAGCCATTGATCTACTTTCCTGATGACTACCCTTGAAAATTTTTTTATTAACAGCTTTATTATTTTCTTTGGACAAGCCGAATAATCGCCTGTCTTGCTGTTTTAAAATCAAAGAAAGGGTCATTTTTTGGAAGTGGAGAATTGAAAGTACAGTTTAAATTCCTGCTGGATTTTTAATACAAATGGCCATAGCTTCCTTTGGTCACTGATGGAACTACTCTGTATTATAAAGATACCCATCTCCTCAGGAAAGGGCTATGCACTTAAACAGAGGAGGTGGTGTAAGTACCTGCATAGTGGGATTGCAGCTTTTCACCTCCACATTAACATTTGAATCAATGAGAGAAGCATTTAAAAATCAGGTAAAATCCCATTTAAAAATCAAGTAAAATCCTAGAACTCCTACCTAACCATGCTCAGGTAAAAGCCACAAGTGACAAAGATGCAAAGTTGATAAATTTAGGTGGCTTGTATGAAACGAATTGTTGGCCTTTGCACACTTCCCATCTGACAAGTGTTCAGCTGCAGCATCGTGACTATCGTAGCTTTGTTGGCAGTCTCAGCAGAAAGGCCAAGGGTTGGATGGGTCATGGAGACTGAACTATCCTCTCACCTCTAGAGGTGGTCCCTCCAGGACAGAGATGAGGCACATGGGTGGGGGCAGCGTGGGGGAACTTGCACGGCTGCCGCCCATGCTGTATCTGTTCTGTGGGTAAATAGAGGGCTTCAGCCTCCAGTGCGGTCAATCCAGCACCTTTCACCAGCGCTAAATTGAAAAGAATATAAATAAATACCAAAAAAAAAGGAAAAAAAAAAAGAAAAAAGAAGGATAGAGGTGCATTGGCAGAGCTGCACATGTAATGTCTGTGAAGTACCTTGCTCCAGCCAGTGACACTGGAATCTCATTTTCACAAGCATCAAATTCACCCAGTTAAAAAAGAAAACAAAAGCAAAAATCACCAAGGAGAAGAACAAAGCTCTATTACCACAGAGGAATTTAAGTGTAAGGGCTTTTTCTTGTTAAGAACAGCTCCATTCCCAACAGCAGTGTCGTAATAACCGGAACAGTGACTGGCACACTGGGAAACACAGAGAGCATCTGGGACAAGTGAAATCCCATAACGAGTGAGTAATGTCTGAATGCTGTGCTCACATAACTTAGAGGTGAACAAAACCAGCAGAGAATAAATGCTGTATCGTAGTTATATAAATATTTTTCAAACTCATTCCTTCTTTTATTGTTTCCCATTTGTGGTCAGTCTGGGTCCCATCCCTGGGAGGTGCTGTTGGCTCACCCAGCAACCCATTCATTCCCTTTGGAGCATTCATCCCCTTGGTTTCCAAGCAACAGTGAATAATACCGTAAAGAGGGAAGCTGGTGATGCTGTGCAGTCATCAGGCTCAGAAAGACTGTCACAGCCTGTCACTGGACTTCTAAAGTGGAAAACAGCGTGAAACAGTATGAGCACCAAACCCCCTCAGATCCCTCAAAACATTCACTGAGGCACACCCATTTAGGGATGTCTTCCTGGCATGATAGCCCTGTGCTCAGTTCCATCTTCTTTTCCTTTTACACCACTTTCACCTGGTTACTTTACTATTTATCATTATTTTCCTTCCAGCCCTTGGTAATTAGTGCAGCTATCTGCCTTTATTTGAAGATGTTCCCTTCCCACTTTCCTACTCCATCTGATTCTTCAATTAAATCACTTTGCTGCCTCTGTGTCGTAACAACAGCCAGTCAGTTAGAATTTTACTGCCAGATTGAGCAAAAAAGCCCCAAGCTGGCTTGAGAGAAAGAGCCCTTCTCTGTATTCTCCATCCATCAGGAGACATGGAGTTTCCCTGTATGGAAAAAAGGGTAAGATTAAAAATATCAGCCTCTGTCTCTGGCTATATCCTGGACACCTTCTCCAGATGCCTGTGAAAAGAGGTGTAGAACCTGCAACGAAGAATCCAAAATGAGAGGGGAAAAAACCAAAACCTTGAATAGAAGTTACAAAAGTCAGGAGATTGCATGGTGTTGTTTTGCTTCAGCTCCAAGGCTTGGGAAGAAAATGATTAGCAATATCAAGACCAGCTACTGTAACACAAAGGCAATACGAGTACCCCAGAGTCTGCTTTTACATTTTTCCTTTCTTCAAGAATTTCCCAGCAGGGAAGCCCTTCTTTATCTCCAGCACTTAAAATTCATATCTTTCAACATTCATCCTGTACATACACTTTTGTGTACATACATGTCTGCTAAACTGCCTCAAGACCTTTTTTGTGCCATAATTTCATTGCACATGTAAAATGATTTATTTGGCTTTGTCTTCATGATCTCTCTTTTAAGTACTATACCAAGCACTATTCTTGTTTTCCTCTAGACTGCCTGCCACAATTTTGTGGCGGAACAATGGAAGTCATTATGGAATTCAACTGCCTGAAACCAGCATGTATTAGAGGGAGACATTCCAAATACTGCTGAAAAAAATTATTAAATCCATTTCTGGAGAATGAGCACATTTGTAAAGAAATAATTATTGAAGAGGCATTTACATCTCCAAAGAGAAACAGTGGTACACTTATAGGTGGTCTTCCACCAGTAAGTCAACAAGGCTGCCAGGTTTTGGGAACACCTGCAGGTGACCCTTCCTGGGGCCTGTCCGTGCTTACCTCGAGCACTGGAGGGGGCAGAGTTAATCATCTGGGATGGTGCCGAGTGAGTGGAGCTCAGGCTGGAGGTGGAAGGGCTGGCCTGGGACGAGGATAAAACAGAGATGTTGGTGGCTGAGCCTTGGTACCTGGGCTTAGGGTAAACAAGCTGCAGGAGGCAGAAAAATCACTGAGGGAGAACCGAGCGGATCAGTGTCTTGGGGATTTACCTGTCTTAGATCAGCCAGGGCAACCTCTGCCCAGCTTCAGTGCAGGCCACTGATAACCTGCTCTCAGGACTGTGGGACTCATTTCACCCCCCAAACCAAGAGCAGCACTAACTGCCCGTGCTGAGCAGGGCGGGTAAATCACACGTGGCAAAAATCTCGCTTTTGGAAAGCGGCGGTGTCATCGTGGACAGCAGGATCACAGTCACTGCACAAACACAGATCTCTTCCCAAAGCAAACCTAGTGAATCACTGTCATCTTTCTTGACCAATGTTAGATTCTACCTATGCAGTTGAGAAAAATATCACTGGACAGATCCAAGCATATGTGTAGGTAAAGTACTGCTCCTAAGTGTAACCCTCCAGAGCACGTTCCGTGCTGCTCCCAAGCACAGCTCCTGGCTGTGCTGGAGCTGTACCTGCATGTGGTACATATCCTCAGCAGTCTCCCCCACAGAGCTGTCTGTCAGGATAACCAGGTTTCCTGTTTCACTGGAGGTGTGGGATGACAGAGAGGATGACGAGTGTCGGACTGAACCAAGCAAGTTCAGTGGGCTGGAAAAAAAACAGAGAGAGAGCAAGGGCATAATTACGTTTTGAACCTGTGTTTTAATTTGTGAAGCCTGACTTTTTCCAAGGTAGAAAGTACCTGCAGTTACCTGCTGCTTTAGGTCACCTCTAGATGTCAGATACTTTTGAAAAATCAGGCCCAATAAACAAATCAATAAATGTGAGTAGATATGAAAGAACTGACAACAAGGTTACATGTAAGACAAAACAATAGGTGGGATGTTGAATTTCAGAATCCAAAGCCAGGTTAACATCATGACCCTGGGAGCATATTTCTTTAAACAGAACATGCTGAAACCACTCTCATTTTTAACACTAAATACAATGAGTGGGAGCATCTTAAAAAAAAATTCCAAAGGAAGCCAAGCACAAGACACACAGGTCAAAATACAGTTTTCCTTATTGCATCCGTTGGGCCTCAGCCTTACTGTTGAAGGCAACTTTGTAGCTGACAGTAAATTAATACAGCCCAGTTGGTGCGCAGGATGCACCCTGATCTCACTCAGGTAATTAACTTTGTCTCTCTGAATCACATACATAAATAAATAACATATTTTGTACACTATAGAATCTCCCTAGTATGTCCTAAGAATTACAAAAGCCTTTTTACAAAGGGAGGAATTTTGAGGAAAAAAATGTTATCTCCCAGACACCAATTGTCAACTGCCAAGCCACAGAAATAGTAGAAGCTACTCAGTTTTAATATCAAAAAGAATGTCATCATCCTCCATTCATGGACTCGAGACCGAGTTTCCACAGCTTTTGATGCCAGGCTTTAAAAACAGCTAAACTACAGAGACCCACCAACAAAAATAAACAGAGAAGAATAATTAGCATTTTCAAATGAGCAATTTCGACTGGATATAAAACCCACTGTTATGTCCTGATAATCCCAATTTTTATCCTCAGTCATTAGCTCAGATTTTATAGATGGGCATTCAGTTTGAATAAGCACCCACAGAGTCATTTTTTGATGTTCTGATCATCCTTGTATTTGGCTTCTGATTTGATCAGAATTATAAAAAGCAATGATGTGAACATTTTTGATCCTTCAAAACGGGTACATATTGAGTTGGGTTTTAAAATGTGAATGAAATTTTCCTTTTATGGTAGATAAGGACCCAGTTATTTGCTGTTGGCATAACAGAAGTTGGAACCTCCCAAGTCAGATTGAGTCTGGATAACTGAGTGGCAGATGTGTGCTTCTGCCCCTACAGTGAGTGAAGTGATGGAGTAACACCTGGAGGTGTTCAGCATTTGCTGCAAATTGGCTTTCTCAACTTTTTTATTCCAGTTCTCAATTTTCAATAATTAGCACTGCATGAAGGCAAAAGGCATTTCTGCCAAAACTCATCCTGCCCCTCCTGCAGTGCTGTCAGCCACTCCTTAGATCCCAGACTCTTGGTGCAACAGTGTGCAGGGATCCTCGATATCTGGGTAGGAGAAGGGGGTACCTGTGTCGATGCACCAGCTTTATGCTCTCCGGGCTCATGGGTCCATGTGAAACCAGCACGTTGCTGCGGGGGGTACTGGACCCAGAACAGGCTGGGCTCAGCTTTTCCAAACCAGGTAACTCCTGCAAAGCAAACAGACTTCAGCTAAGTCAGTCTTGGAAAACTGCAAGTTTTCTTCGTGTCATTCTACTCCTTTGAAGAGCTCAACATCCAACACTTCCTGTTAATCTTCCTCTCTTTTACATCATTTTCTGCTATATGAGACAGCAACTGAAAATTAAGCTTTACAACTGCTCTGTGATACAACAAAGTACATGCAAATATTAACAATTCCTGTTTAAAGGCTAAGTTAACATATTTACTAGGACTTCCTTCTTGCACAAAAGTCAAGAATTCTTTTGGTAATTTGGCAGTCCAGTAAGTTCAATCAGTGCTGTATCAGCCCAGTTGTTTTGAGAACCCTACTGCAACTAATCATAACTCTGAATAATGTAAGATGGGAGAAGTGACTGTGAGCTCACATGGTACAGGCTGGATCTCATCATCTGGAACTGGTCTATCAGCTTCTTATGCAGGGGACGCATTTCTGGGTGTACAAATTTCTCATGGACAGCCAGACCCACTCCTAGGACATGTACCTGTGAAAGAGAAAATGGAACATCCCAAACCCAAATAAATCCTGTCTAAGATAGAGAAGCGAAGCCTGTCCTGCAGTTCTGTCAATGTCCATGAAAGTGCTCTAAAATATGCCATTGTTCATTACAAGACTGCTGATAATTAAGCAAGCCAAGGAATCCTGGCAAGTTCATACTACTCCAGCGAATACTTTAAGTGTGAGACAAGTACATTTGTGTCATGTTGGATTGCTTTTTAAAGACATAACTGTAAAAAATTACCAGAGAGATTATCTCTGTAGTGAACAGCATTATGCCCTCACACAGATAATGCCCTGTGACAAAGAAATGCCTCCTCCCAGTGCCAGGGAAGGGGTTGGAGTTGCCAGCAGAGATCTCTAAAAGGAGTTTCTGATAATGGAGCTGAACAGCAGCAGCGGCACATGCACAGTCACTCTGCCTGGTCCTCATTAGTTATTTCTAAAGGTCACTTCTTCAAAGGTCAAACATAAAATATTAGTGATTGAATGAGATTATATAAAGTCTCAGATGAAAGAAAATAGCGATAGCAGGCTTAAGATGTATGTAATTCCCTACATGATCCAAAGTCTGTACAAACAATAACTAATTAATCTTCAAACATCCTCCTGAGGATTGAAGGGAGATAAGCATTATCTTTATTTTTCAGATGGGGAATTGCAATGCAGTTCAGTGATTTGCTGAAGAAACAGGCCTAGTAGCTCTATTCAGACTTGGGCACATTGTTTAATGGGGTATATCTTGCCAAACTTTCAGTTAAGAGGGATGTGATTATCTGATTTCACTCCCATCAAAGCATCCTGCTGCTTTATCTATGAAGATGTCTCATGGAGACATTGTGGAAAAATAAAACTGCAGATAATATAAACAGGCATTAAGTTTTCATATGTGGCTCTGCCAGTCTAATCTCAAGCCTGACCTGTCGTGTCTCTGATTATCTTTGAAACTTGCTGGAAAGACATAATTCAAAATGCCAAAAATGAATGGCAGGCTTGAAACGCAGCAAGATGTCTGTCAGATAATAAATGGAGACAACAAAACTGATGTACTTTTAGCTGAGCTTCACCTCACATCCCGTAAGGTGAAAGACTTGTCATAATCTCCTTGCCCATCTCCCCTGTTTTTTGTTTGAATGTATTTGGATCTCCTGTACCCAAACTCTGCTTTTGAATGAAGCAGTTTGATCTAATATGTTTAGACTTACTGCTGATGAATCCAGACACTGTTCTTTTGCATCTGAAAAACAGTACCTGTTCCTGCATGAGTTCCTTCAGCTGTGTGATCTTCTCTGCATCTCCGGGGTGCTTTGTGATATAATCCTTATCAAAAAAGGCCTACAGGAAAAGGGAAAAAAAGTACCTTTTGCTTACTGGCAGGGATTTCATCATAACGTGGTGTCAAAGGATGACAGGAAAAGGTCCAAAAATCTTATATTAAGATAACAGCAAAGCTTAATTTTATTGGTTTTAGCACTCTGGGATGCTCAGAAAATGGTCTTGGCACCTGAAACGATTCTGTTGAATCATGAATCTGACCAAGTTTCCCCTTGTGACAGTGATGAGCAATACCTCTAAGCCTTGTGTCATCCAATTATTTGAATTTTATATAGTTCCCTTCACATAACTGCCTAAAGTTTTACCCTAAACTTACCTTTTACAATGCTCAGTTTAAGTAACAGCTTACCAGGGATTATGCTGGATAACAAATTGCATATAAGATCATTTCAGGGTTACAGTGAGTAGGCCATCAGCAAGGATAATGGTTCAGTAGCATGAATTAGCATTCTTTCCTGATTCCAGGGCCAATCAGTCTCAATTATGAGTCCCATAACCCCTATTGCAAAATGACTTTACAATGTAAGCAGTATAAAAAATCTGCCTCACTGTTTTACCTGCCAGCTGAGGATTTCCAGGTAAGCCAAGTGCCATCCTTGAGAAACCCCCCTGTCACCTGTACCTACTCCCAGGCCAGATCCCCGCCCCACCTCCAGAGCCCCCTGTTCACACGTGGCTGTGCAAGCACTGATGCACAATAACCAGGTGGGGGATTTAACCTCATCTCTAGATAATGGACATGAAAATTTCTTATCTTATTAAGTCAAACTCTCTTTGAAACAGGAATGGAAATGAAATTGAAAAAGGGTGACAGTAAATTGGGAAGCAGAGCCCGGCTTACCTCCTGGTACCGCGCAATTCCCCCGTTAACAGCCGCATCAATCACCCCGTTCAGACACATGCTGAGAAGATTAATGTTGCCGTGCATTTGTTTGTGCTGGTACTGGCTTATCAGTGTCCTCAGCTCCTGGTTTTTGTTCTCAACCACTTGAATGGCATTTTCCAAAGGACTTACTTCAACCTAAAAGGCAATAAAATATCCTTTAATTCCATGGACACTTCACCGAGATTTATTATCTTCCTTGTAATGAAATGATACCCTAGGATTGTTCAGTTCTCTTTGCTTTTACTGCTTTGTAGAAAATTAACTACATTAACAAACTTCACTGTTGGCAGTGCTGGATTTCAGGTCACTGAGTTGCACTAACTTGTTTCTATATACTGAAGACGTGGCAGCAATGCAATTATTCTTTTTTTTTGGCACTGTCTCCATTGTACTGTTCCATTCCCTCACATAAGTCCCCTGGTCACATTCAGCAATTATTTCGATCAAGTGGTAGAAAAAGAACGTACTTAATCCTTGATAAACTACATCATTTTAAACTGCAAGATATCAGTCAAGGGAGTTTTGTCTATCCCATGTCCTCAGTAACCCATCATTTCAAACCCCAATCACAGGAACTATGAATGTTACCAGTTCTCTTCTCTCCACTTCAAACCAACGGGAGATGCCAGGCAAACTGTGAGTCAGGGTCAGGGTGGTGCGTTCGATCCACAAGCTCTGCAAGGAGTAACAGAGGCTGTGAGGGACCCCGTGAATCACAACCACATCATCTGGACTCTCACTACAGGTGCTAAGGGGGCAGCGTTCAGAAAAGAACACATTAACCTCCTGAGCATTAATTCTGTAGAATGTCTTGCTGAAAGTCACTTGAACAGCAAACCAGGAATTCAGTACACCTGCTCTAAACAACACACTCAACCTTTCTGTCAGTTTTTAAAGACTGACCACCAATTCTGTCATGGGACCCAAGAAGACATTGTGGACATATGTGGCAGTAAGAAAGAAACCCAGTAAAACAAAAAAGTCCTATCCTTGCTTCAAAATCCATTTCTCCTGGCACTAAAATAACTCAGTTTTAAACTGGAAAATGCTTTAATCAGGTCAGGTGTCAATCAGACCATGGACTCGACAGCTACTTGTAATTTGAGTTACTAAGGTATCTTTGGGCACCACATCAGGATTACCTGAAAGGCATTATTAGCATAGAACAACAAGACAAAAATCATCTTGAAGAGATTAAACACTGCTTGGTCACTACTTCTACCTTAAATTCATTCTCCTTGTCCTTGGGGCCTTTGTGGAAGGGCCTGTCATAGCGGAATTTCCGGATGTTGTTGACTCGGTAAAAGCTCTTTATGCGATCCGGGACACGGTCCATTTGCAGCACGTCTATATTGTCTGGGATGGGAGTCACTGCATAGATCTGTAAATCTGTTCATTGTGCAGTCAAAGAAAGCTTTTATCGAGTGAAAAGCATGTGTTAGGAAAGACAAGCAGGAAACAGCAACCCATGGCAGCAGATTTCACGTGCTGACAGTGTCCTTATGGTTAAAGTCCTGCACAGTATCCTTGCTGTTCTCACACAAGCCAAACAGTGGTGTTCCCATGACTAAGCTCTCCAAAAGTCCCTGCAGTCCCATGAAATGTTATGTGGTTCAGTCCTTAAATGGTAGAGCATTGTAGTGGTTACATCAAATCCCAGTGCAGGTGATCAGTGAGAAGAATGAGATTCAAAGGCTTGGGGATAAAAAGGTTTATCAGTTTTAAAGAAAGGGAGACTGCAAAAAAATAATAATACTGATGTAAAAAAATAAACAGGATGGAAAACAGCACTTTGGAATCAGTATCTGTTCCCAACAAAGTATTGTCCAAGGGAAGATATTGGGAATACTTTTAAGGACAAAAACTGTGCACTGTGGCAATGCTGTTGGCAAAGGATTAAAACACGGATGTGACAAAGCACAACCCTCTCCCTTCCACATCAAACATGACCTGCATCACTCCCCTACTAAAAAGTGACTGTTCTATCCAAGATCATGTAGCACAACGAACCAGTTACTGTCTGCTGCAGGCAGAGCCTGGTTTTGTCCATATCCTCCATATCCAGCTCTACTCTGTGCTCTGCCACAGTTCCCATCAGTTTGCCCCTTCACAGAAGGATACACTGGGCATCACACTGCAATATGGAGTCGTCGGGGTGGTTTGGATGCTGCATGGCAATGGCTTGTGGGAACTCGCTCAGCATCCTCTGCTGGAAGGCTTCCAGCCTCTCGTAGTCGTGGCCCCGACACACATATTCTTTGTTCTGCAAGAAGAACAAGCATAAATTAGTCTCCTTAAAAGTAAGTTAAATTCTACTGGCTTTTATCTCACTTTAAATGTTACTGCTTCAAAACCAAAGATAAATGACAGTGTCAATATGCTAATGGGAGAGTAAAACTCGCATTTAACACAGCTGATGTATTTTATTCCTTCCTTTTTCTTTACAATGTATTTCATCAAGAAGTGATGAATGAGAAGACCATTCCACTGATCTCCCAACAGCACGGTGCCTCTGATCCACGCACATGCAGCACTCAGTCCTGGGGCCTTTTCTTACTTGCTTTTCAGAAAAGGGACCATTTTTAATTGGACTGAACTGAAACGCATCAACCAAAACTTAAGTCACCAGCTTGGCTGTTTGGCACTGGGAAAGCTGCTGTCAAATACAATTTACACCAGATGGATAAAAGTCCTGAGGACCTCACAGAACAGAGGGAGATGTATGTTTATCATTTTATCAGTTCTCCTTAGAGAAAAGTTGCAACAAACTGTTCACAAAAATTGCTGTTTAATCACTGCTGTACTATCACAGCCATACAACCCAGCCCTGATCATGCTCAACAATAACATGCTCAGGAACTCCCCTGCCTACAGTAGAGTAATATGGAAAAGCCTTACCAAGAATTCTCAGTGGCCACTTAGCAAATTCCCCTTCGGCCCTAAAAGCACTTTCCTCTTGATGAACAAAATTTCATTTCTGCTAATAATGGAAAGCTGCATTTAGATATGACTCTTGAGGCATTGAACCACTTGTGCAGAGCTCTTGGATGTTTTTTCAGCCATCTCGAACTCTCAACAGCAAGATACAGGATTTCTGAAGTCCTCAGTGACATAAAGATTGTATTCCAGTGTCTTAACCCTCACAAACCACAATTTTGATTGGTATTAATGTCTCCTAGTGCAAGACCAATGAAAGCAGGCAAATTCTCTAATTCTGGTAGCTCATACACATAACAATAACTAGAAGTACAGTGAGGTGTTTCATAAAACAAAGAATCTAACAAATCAGAACAGTTTCCTCCCTTTTATTTCTTGAATTTAGAAGCTGCAGTTTATGCAAGAATGTTTTGTTAATTGCTCTGGAAAGGGGATCTGGATGAGCAGGTCTTGATCTTGTAGCAAAATCAAAAGGAAAGCTGCAAAACCCGATCATAAAGCACAGCCAAGGAGTTCAGTTATCTTTGGCTTTGCATTTCACCGTTCTGGAAGAGCTCTCATGTCCCAGCTGTGACATGTGTCACTTCATGTGCATCAGCCACAGCAGCCAATGGACGGGGAGAAGAATCGCATGATGGAGCTTGACAGCTCAGTCTGTAATGCTCAAACTGTGCAGCTATTATTAAATCTGGAGTGAGTCCACGTTTGAAGGTGAATCTCTTCATAACACTTACTGCATTCTCTATTTTAGCTTTCCATTGCAGCAATCTAGAAAACTGTAAGCCTATAAATAAGGTTATTGTGATTCTAAAAATAATGCCCTGAAAACACCTCAAAGCTAAATTTAATAGACTTTTCAGACAGATGCCAACACAAGACCTCATAACGTGGCTTGTCAGGCCTTACTTGAACTTCTAGTAGGTGGACAGTTTTAATTTAGCTTTCATTTACTTATGTAGGAAGGCTAGAAAATATACGCAGAATTCATAGAAACATGCACAATGAATTTTCTTGACAAAGGGTCTTTGAAATCAAAGATGTAGAAAGAAGTGGTTATTTTCTGTCTTAAGCTATACAGTAATAGAAAAATAAACGAGAAAAGGGCTTGGAGTTATTTGATCACTTTAAATCACTTCCATATCCATTTGTAGATTTTAAATCCATGTAAATCTTTTTCTTCTCTAGAATAGCTGCTTCCAATCTCTTTACAGTGTGATCCATGCTGATGTGACTGCTAATGGGCTTAGTCCATGCTCCGCAGTGTGTGTGCTCTGTGGATCATTAGGGAGAGAAAGGAGGAGGATGACTTTTAATGAGATTGCTACATTAGTAATCTGCTATCAGAAGTACTGCTACCAAATATAATTGCAGAATTAACAAGGATTATAATTACGTACACCCGTGTTCGCTGGTGATGGCTCCAGCCGAGGATCCACATTGTTACAGCACAAAGAGTCAGGGCTGGGCACAAACCTCCAGCAAACACATTGGCTGGGAGGGTCTCATAAAACTGAGGATCCACAATTTAAAAAGCTAAGCTACAGTCACTGGCAGTACTTCAGACATTAGGAAGACTCATGTGCCATGATGACTTTGTCATTCATTTTCTGAAACATCTGTTGTTGGATATAAAAAAAGAAATCGCCAGTTTTCTCTGGAGATCTTCATGAAAGGGCAGATCCCTCTTCACCCTGCAGCACCTGTCCTTTCCTTGGATCCCTCTGCAGGGTGTTCTGCACACTGCTTCGGGCTGCTGCACTCTAAGTGCTGTGAGGAGCAGCTGAGGGAGCTGGGGGGGCTCAGCCTGAAGAAAAGGTGGCTCAGGGGGGATCTTCTTTCTCCCTACAACTACCTGAAAGCCAGGTGGGGGTCGGCCTCTTCCCCGGTAACAAGTGACAGGAAACGGCCTCAAGCTGTGCCAGGGGAGGTTCAGGCTGGACTTAAGGAAGAATTTCTTCCCTGAAAGGTCAGGCATTGGAAGAGGCTGCCCAGGGAGGGGTGTAGTCCCCATCCCTGGAGGGGTTGAAGAAATGACTGGATGTGGCACTCAGTGCTCTGGTTTAGTTGACAAGGTGGTGATTGGTCACAGGTTGGACTCGGTGATCTCAGAGGTCTTTTCCAGCCTAAATGATTGAGTGATTCCCTGATTCTGACACTGTTCATCTTCAAATAACACAAAGTCACCCTTTATCTACTGGTATTTTCCTCTCCGTGACTAATTCCATCTTGCTTTACTGCCCCTGCCCGTGTTTCCATTAAAAGAGTGTAATTAAACACTAATCTTGAAATCCTAATTAAAAAACCCAAACGACTCTGTAATCAGAGGGAATTTCAAGAGTGCAGTTTTCAAGGCTTGGCTTTGTGTGGCTTCATACTGTGCAACTTGAGTGGTGCCACCTCTTGTCAAACCATTCCTTTAAAGAGAACACAAACCATGCACCTTCAGTCCTTGAAAGCTTCACGTTACCTTGTCCTGTCATGCTCGATGGCATCTACCATCAATTTTCAGGCAGCTCCTGGAGCAGTTGTCAGATTATATTCCTTCCTTGCTCTGAACTAGCAACAAGACATTGTATAAACAAATACCCATTTTAAGTTTGATCCCTTATTAGGAAAAGAAGATAATTTCACTTTTTTGATGGACTGCAGACCCAGCTGATGCTGTACACACCAGCAGACAGTGAGCTCCAAGTGGGGATGTGTCCAGAGGAGGTGTTTGGCTTTCTGTTGAGGAGAGGAAATTTTTGCTTGCGGATAGTACAGGAGTCATCAGGCTGGGGTTGGAAGTCTGTCATGTGAGACTTTTTAAAGCGTGATAATTTGAGATGATGCAAATCGGTTAAGTAATGACCCAACATTGCTGCCACACAGCATTTTGCTTAATATAGAGGCAATTTGTGCTGCATCTGCAGATCGTCCAAAATACACATAGGCATGAGTCAAATTTCTGATCTCTGTTCCCAAGAACATTCCCAATGGACCATATGCTCCAGTTCAGCCAGAAAGCTGTTTTCACTAGTGCAGGGGTGAAAAATAAACTGCATGGCAGACACAGTATCTCCAAAACAAAAATACAAAGCCTCAACAGCTACTCTGAGTCACTGTGTCACATTTTGTGTAAGTCTGGCTTACCCGCAGGAAAAATGGGAATTTCCGACCATAAAACCCAACTCTGAAAAACTCTGGTTCCAAGCGCTGCTGTTCCATGATATTGTCATAGTAGGTGGCTTCCATTTTCTGTGGAGGAAAGGGATAGCTGCTGTCAAGACTCTTAAAGCTGCACTACATTAGAATCTCAAGACTCATTAAAATATCCCATTGCTCTTTTACCCCCACAATTTTTTTATGAAAAGACCAAAATTCTGTCAAAGATAAAAATTATTAATTAAGCTAGTCTGTCTGGTGGAACAGAGTAGAGTATCATCACACTCATTTTACGTTTTGAGAGATAACATATGAACATTTTCTGTTGTATCTCATTTAAAATTGAACAGGTCTTGAATGTTATTTTCTTTGCATTGTAGAATTAATGGCAAAGCTGAGATTAAGATCCACAGGCTCACAGTGTCCTATTCTCTCCTACAGCTCAAAATCCATACCACTGCCTAGAAAATTACATCAGTTCAATTGAGTTTGCCTTAATTGAGTTGAGGGGCATGAAAAAGGATGAAACAAAATTAAATCTTCTACAGCTCCATGCACCAGAAGGTTTAACACGGAGGAAAAAGGGAGTTGGAAAGAGTAAAAGGACTTTTCTCTAGTTCCAATCCCTAGTTTTGTGGCACTGTGCTAACATTTCTATCAGGAGTGGGATTTCTAGACCCGTTGCCAAACCAAACCTCAGCTGAAAGGCTCACAGGAATTGCACTTTAAGGAGAAGAATCCCTTGGACACCATCGCTTCCACTGCAGGGAACCCTAACTCAGAATACTGAATGCAGGGTTTGTGCTCGGTCCCCACACACATTAACTCCTTTTCTAAAACGGAGAAGGTCCCAATATCATTGCAGGAAGCATAAAGGAATGTGGTGATGGTGTGAATGGCACACAGAGGGCACAGCCAAGCTGGTCACCCGTGCTCTCCTCGGGGCCACTCTGGAGAAAACATGTTCTTCACAAGAGCAGTTTATGAGACCTTGTTAGACAGGTACCTTCAGGTTAGAATAAATTTGACTTCTAAAGAGAATTTAAACCACTGTATAAGAATACATCCAAGCAGCATAAATCTCCACTTTGGATATAAGCATGCTACCCCAGGGGACAGGAGATATGAACTGTTTTCACATTCATAAAGCTTTTAAATAACAACAAGAACTTTGACTTTTTCTGATTAAAGCACGATGCTGCAAATGTGCCCTGATTTCATCACGTTTGGTTGTACCAGAGGACCAGATTCTCTTAAACTGAGAGAATGCCATAAATATTTGCCTTCTCCATTCTTTCTTGTCCATCTTATATCACCAAGGGATAAGCTGTCCTTGATATTTTTTGGAATTAAAATGAAATATATATTAAAAAAGGATATTTTATGCAAAAATATATGTAAATATGCAATTGCAATAGCAAGGCCATCTCCTGTATGTGTGCTGTCTCCATATATCCATAGGATTTTACTGCTACCAGACTTAGGAATTATTTCAGTGGACCTACAAAGTCATCAAAACGAACCAATGGCAAAGGAGTCACTGTAAATCCATGGAGCTCTATAGGGAATATGATTATTTTTTAAATTCAGAATATTCTGGCAGGAGGGCAAAACCCTCTGGGGAATGATTTAAGAGCCTGCAAGGAGAGGAAGTGCAGCTACTTACCCGGATCCAGCTGAGGCTCTGATAGTCATAGAGACTCTCATACTGGATGGCCAGTTCTCGGCACAGCGGGATCCCAAACTCCCAGCTCTGCGAAGCCAAAGCAAATCACACTCACAGCAAACACAACGTTATTGCCAACTCAGCTGAGAGGAAGATGGGAACTCAATTTTGGGAATTCATTTGGTATGAAATGGCAGAGATTAGATGTGAAAATGTAACGTGATGAAACAATTTCCATTAAATATCGGATCAATTCCTTCTAAAAGATGGGAACAGAAGCATATGTTCCATGGAAATTATACACACATACTGCTTGCTCTGACAGTTCATTTATGAGACTGGGAACTTATTTGGAGAAAGATAATATAACTAACAATTTTTCTTCTTGCTAGACACCCCTTCAACCCACCCCCAACAGCTCCTTTGCTGGAGTACAGAGCTAGGGCTTGGCTCCACAGCAAAGTGCTCTCCCCTTCCCAGGCTGCTCCTTCCCGCTGAAAGCACAAACTGTCAGGCAGTGGGAACACTCCAGCACAGAGACAAAATATCCTCAGAATGAACCTGCATTGTTGCAGAGCCAATATCCATACTCAGAACCGAATGCAACACTCATTTCTTCAGCTCACAGTCTCACACAATAAATCCTTCCTAGCACACCACTCTCATCACGCCAGAGGTCACGAGGGAAGAGACCCACTTTGGGCACACCCACATGGAGAGAAAGACTCCCCTGTTACCTCACCTGGCTTTTTGGAGTGCTCATTTTACACCGAAATCTCCTCTTCCATCACCTTTTAAATGCATAGGCTGGAAGCCTTTTGGGGAGTGGTTGTTTCTAACCATACTTATTTAGAACACCAAGGTCTCAGTTGAGCCTTTACTGGATTAATTTTTATTATGCATTACTGGGCTAACATGCCACTTGTTTTAACTGGGACCCTGCTGTAGTGAAAACAAAATTATTGTGTGAGTTAACCTATCACCTTAAGTTTTAAGAATATTGATAGTAATATTGTAAATTACTGATAACAGTAATTAACAGCATTTATGCAGAATATTAGCACTGAATAAGGAAAGTTTTCTGGTTACAGAAACTTAAAAAAGTGAATCTCTACCCTGTTTTAGTGTATGAAGTACTTCACAGTGTCTCCCTTTAAGCACACATTTGTAGTGTCTGTTCTGTCATCCTTACTATCAGGAAAGCTTTTTTTTATCTGAATAGCACAACCAGCAAGTGTAAGAACTTTTATTAAAAGAAGGGATATTTGTAAGAATTAAAGAGACAAAAATAATCTGACAACTCTTTAGCTTCAGTTAATCACAAAACCTTCCATAAGAACTTGCTAAATAAAAAATTATTTTGGAATCAATTAGGATATTCTGATAGCATTAGCAGTTTGGGAGGATGGGAGGTCTGAGATTTATTTAGATCAATACAATACATACAATAGGAAAGGAATTGAAAGACCAGTTACTTGACTACTTAGAATATTACTGAGGTATTTGTGATCTCAAATTAACAGGATTTTTGCCATGGCTTGTCAAAGTCCATGACACACAAACTGATCCACTCAATTGGGATCAACAACATCAACCAATTAAGTGTTTAAATTTGCAAACACAAACACTGCTGCATTTTTTTATAAGTTTAACATTCTTTACTGAGATATTATACAGACATTTTCAGTCCTCAGCTGATCTGTGTTGACTTGAAAGGATGGAAAAGTCTCTCCTAAAACATCTGGCCGGGAATAAATGGCTTTTTTTCACAAAGTGTGAGCAGTCTCACTTCCAAATGGGATGCTGTGGTTACAGCCTATCTAATTCTCTAATCTGCCTTCTGGACAGAAGCAGAAAGCTCAGTGGCTGTCTTCCCTTGAGGTGACCTGAGAGATGGAACCTTTTCACACTCCTTTTCTGATGTCAATTAAATGAGTAACATGTAACCACATCTAATTCCTCTTTATACCACCTCTTCTCCATGTGCCTTGATACCATTCCTGTCATCCTAACTCAGGCTCTGTTTCAGTTAGGTTTCCACCCTGAGAAATTCCACTGTGCTAGCTGAGTTCTGCTGATAAAGGTGAGCTAAAGAAGTAAAGAAACACAACAGGTAACTTCTTGGAGAGAAAAGAGTTTGCAGATTTTAAGAGGAAAAGAAATGAATGGATATCAAGTCACTGGGAGCCTCAGTTTTAAAATCTGTGCTGTTAATCGGTAGCATCTTCACAGCACAGAAATTTAATATGTAATTCCATGTGCTATGTGTGTCACTTCCCTCTTCAAATAACTTCCTAATGTCTCCACTGTTAATTCCCCTCATTGCTGCTTTCTGCTTTGCTGACCTCAGATCTGCTGGCACGTTCTGCAGTACTTGTAAGGCACACTGATGTGACATCTATTGCAGTTCCTCCTGTGGCACTGTCAGCTCTCAGGTGAGCAGTGCTGACTGCACACCAGGAGGCTCCAGGAGAGGGAACCAACACTTCTGAAGGGCAGCCTTTATTTATCTACTCACACCCCAACGTGCAGATTGCTTTGGAAAGACGGTTCACACGCGGCTACACAAGAGAAATTACTTCAAATGTTGGGTGTGGAGCACATGATCTAAAAATGAACTGCTTTGGGAACCCAGCTTTGGGTCTCTCTCAGCACCTGGTTGGTGCTAAGGAGGGGACACACTGCAGCAGTGCTGTGATGGGAGCTGGTCAGAGTTGTTAGTTAATAAAATCTGGCAGTGAACTGGACAGAGGAGGGTTGGGTAGTTTTCAAGCTATTGCTGTGCAGAAGCATGATCAGTTGGGTTCAAACTGTTCTGTTCACAGTCTTGTTCAACTACAAAACCTTGAGTTTTAACAGACAAAATCATAACTGTGAGTTAAAAATACCTTCATTTCAAGTTATGCTCTTGCACACGCTGCCAGCTGAGCCATAAACCAATTCAAAGCATGGCAGAAATCAGCAGGAAGGGGCACATGACCAGTGAAGGCTAAAAAGGGCTTTGGAACACCCTGTTCCTTCCCAGCACAGGGCTGCTGCCAACAGTACTGAGAGTGGGAGTCCCTCAGTTCTGCACCCACTGCCATGGGCCACACCACAAGACAGTCTTGTGGCCAATTTTCCCCCCACTGCTGTGCTGAGAAAATTTTCCTCCTAACAAATGCAGAAATTTTACACCCTTTTGATGCTGCCTTGACCCCCTCACTTGGTGGAAGAGGCCAGGAACAGCCTGAGAAATGTAACTGGAAATGCAAGTGAAGACACGAGAACAAATCCCACTCTGCAGGACCTGAGGGGCCATGTCAGGGCAGTGCAGGAAGAAACTAAGACACAAAAGTTGAGGGAAGCAAGTTTCTTCCATTCCCTGAGCTGTTCCCTGTCACAAAGCAACAGGAAGAGGGCTGAAAAGAAGGATTTGGCTTCTCAGCCTTTCACTTCCACAGTGTGAGTGACATACACACTGCTCAAGTGGATTATTTAATCATTCAGCTACCATTTGTAATAAAGGAGGATTAAAACACAAAGTCAAGTAATTCCAAAAACATCCTCAAGAGGTTAACACTCTATAATCTGCTAGGAGTTTTACAGCCTAATTACATCTGTCAAGTTTTTACTCCCCTTCAGTGTGTATATGGATTCCCTGTTTTTGTTGAAAATACAGGCTCCCTTGCTTTCCATACTCTCTAGATCATCTTTGTCTAGTCAGACAGTCCAGTACTGCAGTATTTGCACAAGTCAGTAATTCCTTTTTAAGTGCAGTCTGGAAAACCCTGAAAAATTCTGAAATGGAAGAGAGAACCATATGCAGTGTTATTACAAAAGAACAATTCTGGCATACACACACAAAAAATCATAATCAATAACTTCCTCACAAATAGGTCATTTCTTCCTTCACACAGGAATCTGACTTCCCCTTGCAGGTCCTGTATAAAATGCCTGTGCAACTCTCTACTATCAGGGCTAGGAAGGAATGATCTGGAATGGCAGCCCCGTATGAACCAACTCACATTTTTATTTAATGCCACTGTCATTGCCATCACAGGCAAAACCAACCCCGAGGCACACATACAGATGTTATCTCCCAGTAACATAAGCTGTAGGAATTTTCCTAGAGAAGGGAAAAATTTGAAAATACTCTAACAGATGATATTACTTCTAAGGTTCACCTCTGAAATGTTCCCGAAACGCCACAACACAAGGGACTGAACCATCTACCTCTGCAGTAATTGAAATAAAATATAATTAACTGTAGAAAATCCACACTGAATATGTGAAATTGAAATGGATTGATTTTCTTCTTGTGCAGTGGATGGAACTGCATTTTAATTGAAAATCACTTTAAAATAACTGTGACTCTGAAAGGACTTAAATCTTTTTTACTAAAGGGACTCCTACAGTGCTTTGCCTGCCATTTCCTGGTGTAGGTTAAGCACAAAACAAGTCCTAAAGCGAGTCATAGCACAGCAGTTTGCACAGATAGCTACAAAATGCAATCCCACCCCTCAAAAGCTGAGGAACTGGCATCCTGCCACATCAGCTGATCCAAGGCTTGGTTTAAAGCTATAAAATGTTTTGGTGTTTGTCCTGTTGGCCTCCCTAAACCATTCCAAATGCCATCATGAAATAGCCATATCCCTTTTCTCATCTTTTTTTTTTTTTTTGCCCAGAGAGCCAAGAAGCAATTTATCAAGTTATAACACCTTTTGATACAAATTTATTTCCAGACTACTGAACTGAGATGATGGCTTGCAAGCCCTAAGTCAGTCAGGAATAGGGAAGGAAGCTGCTGGAAGAGAGAAGAAGTTGGCATACCTTCCCTTTGTTGAAGTAATGGATAATCTTACGGCACAGACCTTCCTTACGTTGCCACTCTGACTGAGATGGATAATGCAGGAACTCTCTCAGAGGTCTGTCCTCCCACTGAAGCAACTCACAGTACAAAAGCAAAGTAAATGCGGCCTCTGTTGGAAAGGCAATTAAGGAACACTGAATCAATGACAGCAAATAAACACAGACCTGCTTCTTAAATAGTCTGTGATTTCTGATCTACAATGTGAGGGAAAAAATCAAAGTCTTAGAGGATCATTAAATGATTCAATTACTTAAAATAGCAGCACAAAGCTGTTTCCTATGAACTCGATTTTTAGGTACAAATCTGTCGAGTTTCTTTTTACCAGCTACTTGATTTAAATGCACAGTCAGATGTTCAGATATGTGACCAGATTTGGGGTCTGCAGCTGTAAACAGGGCTTGGACAACACAGAATTAGAGTCCCTACACTTTCTAAGTGCTCCCTCAACACTGCAATATGGAAATACAGCATATGATAATATAATGGTGGTTTTGTTAATCTTCCCCTAAATTTGATTCCACTGCTGTGATTTTTTTGATCAGTCTTCCTCACAGAACACTTTAATATAAAATTTGGAGCATAATGGAATATGGTTGTGTGGCATAAACAGTATTTCACTTGAGAGAAAGAATTGCACCTCAGCTTCTTCCCTTCCCAACTGCCATAACTGATTCATACAGATTTTTTCCAGGAGAATGAATGAGATATTACATAACCCTGGGAGAGTAAAAAACATCATCAGGATTTCAAGCAGACCCCACACGAGCCTTCCTCACCTGTGTAGTTCTCAGCCTGCAGGTGCATGTCACACAGCTTGTGGATGTAGCGGATGTACATCTCCTCCTTGTTGATCTCGGATTTATAGAAATTCTGGGAAGGAAGACAGAGAGCTGTTACTCTTTATTGAGACTCTTCCTTTGTTCAAGACAATCAGTAGCATCTGTGCATGTGTAAAGCTCTTGAAAAGAGAACACATTATTAATTGAAAAGAAAATTAATAATTCTTTTCACATTCACACTGATCTAACCCACTGATTTTATCGTGTCATGATTTTTTTTTCAAAGTGAACGTAGCAAAAAGCTGAAAGAAAAGGTGTGAGAGGTTGTAGAACTTGTCACAGGGACATGCAGAACTCAGTTGGACAAGGCCCTGAGGAGGCTGACCTATTTGGCCCCATTTTAAACAGTGAGTTGGACCAGAGACCTCCAGGGGATCCTCACAGTTCTGTTCATTCTGTTCTGTCATCCCTGTGCTTGGATTCTGAAGCTACATTTGCCTGACACAGATTCCCATCCCAAACTCTCCCAACCCAGTTTCAAAAACATTGCACAGTATCACAAGGAGAAAAAGGAAACATCTTTACCATAAGATTAACAGTGCAGCCGATTTTCTTGTTTTCTGTTTCATCTCCTTTCATACAGTCCCTAAGAAAGCAGAGCAGTGTTGAAACAAACATCTGCAAAAATTGTCCTTTTAAAACAAATTTGAAGTTATCCTCCAGAGTTTCCCTAGATCACAAACAATTAATCATATACTTCATCTTATAATGTTCCTCTAAGAGAACTTTCCATTTTATGGCTTAAATGATGTGAGAACTTAAATGTTCTCTTACATGTTTGTATCTGAGAACCAGCCTTGTTGTGTTGATAGCAAATTTCATTAAAAAAAACCCCAAACCAGCTCCCCTGCATTCCCTTTAAGTGTGTCTCCAATACCTGGTTGTGCACAGTAGAGTGGTTGTTGCTAGAAAAAAAACCAGGAGATTGGATCAAAGTGGTAGGGATAATGAAAAGAGCAACTAAAAAGCACAGGAAAGGATTTGGGACAGCAGAACACCCAGCCTAGTCCCAGGGTTTTCACCTCTAATGAGCAGCAGCAGCAGCAGAAAAATTTATTTGAACTCTTGTCAGCAGGCTAAAGATAGAAATATCTGGGCCAGTTCTATATGGGCTCAAATTGTCTATTATTGTACAAAAGCTCTCTGTGTGTTTATATATATCTGAAGTTAAAATACTTCTGGTAACTGAGTCAAAGCTCAGCTGCATTGACACGACAGGCCTGCAAACTTCAGTCCAAAATTAAATGAAGGCTGCCCAGTTTATAGAGGAATCTTGCACAGGAGTCACCAGCTGACATGGCAGACTTCCCACAGGTGAAGTTCTCCACCCCTGCATGCCTGGAGGAGGCATCCAGCACCCCTTGGTTCACCAAGGCTTTTGAGATCATTCTTGCATTTAGCATCTATTTTGTTGAATTGGTTGAGATCATTTCAGTGATGGAAAGAATTAGTGTTTTAGCAACCTGAACAAACTTTAGTACAAAACTACAGATTAAAAATATTCCCTGTAGGAATCTGGTACTAAGTCTTCCCAAACTTATGCTCAGAATACATTCCTGGTGGTGCCAGGTACCTGTAGTCAAGCAGACGCTCCATGAGGCGAGTAACTGATGTAACAAAAGAGATTCCAGTCTCCCGCCAAGTTTCCTGCTCAATCTTCTCCAGCAAACTGTTTGGAGATGGAGAGACAGCAGGTGAGGCTTCCAGGGGAATGGCACAGGGCATGCAGACTGCTTCAGGCAACTTGGTTTTTCCCTCATAAAAAAATTCACAGAATTACCATCTTACCTGGGATAAGGCCCAAAGAGTTGGGTTCTACTCCAGGCAGCAGGAAGCAAAGACAAGGAGATTACAGAATTGACAGGGGAAGGAAAAATATCCTCACATTGCCATTTAAAAGATATGAAAGAGCAACACTCACAGCAATACTTGATTCCCACGTTATTACCTGTAGCTTAAACACTGGTAACTGCAGTCAGAAATTGGAAAGGAGTCTAAACCTACTGCAAATACCTCTTCTTTGCTCATCCCTCTGTAAACTTTCATCTCTAATCAGCAACCAACCAACCAACCCTGAATCACAATTTAATTAAACTGGAAATAAAGGCAACCTGTTCCTGCCTAGCAAATTAGACAGTACAGCAAGCACCCATCTCAGGGAGAGAGCTGTGAGGGATGAGAGCAAGCTACAACACTGAAAATTGTATTTAAAAAGTGAAGAAAGAAAGGAAATTTAGATGCTACTTTCCTGAAACTGGATTTCCAGTCAAAGGACTCTCTACTTCTAGGAAAGAAATTCTGCTGGATGTCAGGCAAACTCTTCTGTACTGGATGATTTCCAGCCAAGGGAGCCAGCTCCCTTTCCAGCAGTGTAGTTGGACAGTAGAATTCAGGCTCAACTGTTTTTTCACATAGCATTGATTAATTTGTGAAATTGTTTCCTCAGATTGTTTCCTCACCTTGTTCTCAGAACACTTACTGGCAAATATAATCTAACAGGTTGGTTGCTGGAATTCCAGGCTGTGTTTCTTGGTAATACATCCAGTCACTATCATCTAAAAATAAGTAACAAGCTACAGTCCTTGAATTCTTAACATTTCAGGTAACAAATGTCTTCAACTGGAACTGAACACGATTCCTCTTGGAGGTGAATTAAAAAAAAAATAAATCTATATTTTCTTTCCTTTATCCCTGAAATAGCTTTGTGTTATCTGTACTCATAAGGTACCAGGCTTCCCAAGGCTGAATATACACAAATCCAAACTGAATACATTTACATACTTCTTGAGGACATGCATATAGGAAGGGTAGGATTATCTAGCTTGCAATGAATGAATGTGCAATTGCAAATTCAAAAATACAAGTATTGGTTCTGGCAAAACAGAAGTTTATGCCTCAAATGGCCAGTGTGCTCTTGGGGGGCACATAAAACTGTCTGGAATGTGTGGCTAAAATTGTGCTAATGATCCCTCTGGCTCACTGGGATATTAACAGCTTTGGATTAACTGCTCTGCACTGTCAGAGTTCAAAGTAAGTCCTTTTGAAATAAAATAGGATCACTGGAAATGAAATTTGGAGAGGGATCAATACTCAAAGATAACTAAGTGTAAAGTCAGACATAAAGTCTTCAAGTTATGGGAACAAATTTGTTCCTTATGGGAACAAATTGTTGGTGTGAAAGGGAGTGGAAATAGAGTGTCATGATGGACTCTGGAGGGAGCAACTTGCAACTGCTGAACCAACCAAAACATGGCCTTCAGAAATAGGAAGAAGCAAAAGAAAATGATGAGGAAAATCTCCTTTGCTCCAGCAAGGTCTGACTTGCAGTGCACTGTGTCTCTAAACAATGCTGAGACCAGGATTTCATTTACTGCTGTGGAAAAACAAGGGCACCTGCTCCTCTAGCAAATCAGTTTTTGATAGGAGGATGATAACTACTTACCTGAGCAGCCTGACATTATATGTCACAGAAAGAACACAAAGAATTGAGGGTTTTATATTCTTTTCAGAAACGTAAGTGATGTAAGTGATGTATTTCTACTTCCCTGAGCCATGCCATGAAAACCTGGCAGGAGGCCCTTTCCTGCCCTCTCCAGAGATCAGTGCTGTGGCTGACAGCTCAGTGCCCCCTCCACAGCTCAGTGCTTTGACTCTCCCTGGCCCTGCAGACAGAGGAGCAGAAGGTGGCAGAGCTTACAGCAGGCTGAAGAGTTCCCTGTAGTTCTCATCACCTTTTCCTTCGGACACCAGGCTGTCCAGCTTATCGATCAACTCGGCTTCCACCTGGAGGAAGAGGGATCAAATCAATCACTCAGACACACTTGCAATGAACCTCAGGTAAACTGAATCCTGTCCCACAACAGAATATCCATCACCACTGGGCTGCTGTGGTGGTTCTGCTGGGAGGTGATTGATTTCCCACACCCAGGCATCGTTATATTGTAAGATTATTTGTTAATTAAACCCTGTTTTGTCAAGCCTCTCTATGCCTACATGACACATTTGCTTTTCACACTTATATAAAGGGCCACAACAGCATTACTATGTTTCTCTCATTTTAGAAATGTTTTGAATACATATTAATTCCCACCCTAAATCTAATACATCCTATTATCAAGTTTGATATCAGATATTCTCATAAAATTGATTCAAGTGCAGAAATCAATGTATCTAACATTAAACAAAACAATTTCAAGTAGTCTGGGAAATGTTGCAGAAAAAACACTTTCAGTACAAATGAAGACAGAGGTTCCCAAAGGTTGAAACCATTTGCAGGAACATGGCTTGTTTTTATTTAAAGACAAGCATAGTTTGAGCTTCTCTATGTTTTTCAGCTGCCAAATTGCAAAAGAAGTAAAGATGAGAAGGAAAAGCAATTCACCCAGTGGCACACAAATGGAGTTGGTGCTCTTGCTGCTGAAATCATTAAAGGGAGACCAGACTTCATCCCTGAATCAGACTGCATTGTTATCCAGCCTCGCTGAAAATGAACCTTGTTAAAACATGAGCTACTGAAGAAAATAAAAAAGGCTTGAAAATTAATTTCCAGGATTTTTATATTTTCTGACGACCAGCTGAGTATTCAAAAGGTGAAGAGAAGCTCACAATTAAAACACCCTCCCTCTGCTTGTGATCTACAATGACTTGACAGAAATCAGTAATTCCTGTGTCCAGCTATCCAGCATTACACTGCAAAGCAAATAACTCCCTGGTTCCAGTAGATATTTTAATAAGGTTTATTATATCTTGTGCTATCTTGTGCTATTTAACTGTTTATTTCATTCTTAGTAATACAGATGATTATTCCATCTTTAACCTTGGAAAGTTATGATATATGCTTCCTAAAACACCGTGGAAATTTGCTCCACAGGTAATTTAAGAAATATTCTTGGAGCTGTAGTTCAGAATACATTAGTGAGCATAAAAACTAAATGAAGATTATGAAGAGTTCATCTTGATACAAAAAATATAAGCAGGTCCAGAAACTTGAAGATGACTGTAGGTGCTTGTAACTGTAAATGCCAGAGCAGGGACTGTTCTATTGTTATGTTAAAACAACTGAAAAGAGGACCATGATCAAATGCTACTGCAATAATAATAGTACTAAATAATAACAATAGTAGCAATCAGGGGAGTTGAAGAGGAAGAAAAGCATAAGCTCCTGATAATGTTTTTCCACACAGCCTCTAATAGATCAGGTTATGGGAAAGGTCTGCTGTTCTCCTGGAATGATAGATTAGATCTGGCATTGTAATTACTGTGTGAATAATAATTAATCACATGAATTATGATAATTTAATGATGATTTACTACTTCAGAGCACTTCTCTGCAGATACTTGCCCCAGCACAATGAGAATGAAACACTGTCATCTGAGGATCCAGTCTAAGCCAATCCTTCATTATCAATGCTTTGCACTTCAGGATCTGTTTTGCAGTGGAAAATTTAGCAGTTCTCTGACCACGACTGGGAAACAGAATGATGAAGATTTCTCTCCCTGATTTGCAATCACAGCTCACAGCAGGTGGAAACTGCAGAGCTGTCACTGGACTTAACCCTTCCAGGAGAGCTGCTACAGTTTCTTAAAATAAATACAGCTCCAAAGTCTGTTTCAAAGCACGGTATAATGATATAATTATACAACACCACTTCCTAGCTGGAAATTGAAGACACAGAAGCAGAGATCACTGTTTTCAAAAATACTGGCTGACTCTTACATCTCCATTTTTGGTTCTCAGCCTGGTCCATTCAATGGCTGACTAATAATCTAAGTGAAACCAGTGGGAACACTGACAGCCCAGCACTTACAAAAATCCCCCCCCCATCTCTGATGTGCTGAGCACATCTCTCCTCCATGTCCATGGGAAATGCAGTTTGCTCTGCAGTGCACTGGTTAAACAATCTTGGGAGTCTTGTAATACTTCTGTGAATTATGCTTCCAATTTTCTATTTTTATGTATATTTACTTGACAACATCTTCACTATCAGAAACAGGTCAACAAATACAAACTCCTTGCTTCCAGCTGGACACTGCAGACAGACAGAGCAAAAAAAAAGGAATACTGGGAATGCTTGGGAGGTGCCCTCACCTGTTTGAAGTTGCCATTCTTTCTCTGCTCCCAGTCCATCATGTCATGGAAGATAGGGATCATGATATTCCGCACTTCTGGTTGTGGAACAAGGGTGACACCAAGAAAGGGGCCAATCATTCCCGGAATAAAGTGAATCTTATGCTCACCTGTACAACACAAAGCAAATGTAATTACATAAAAGCCTTTGTTATCTGCCACTAAGAAAACAGAGAACCCCTGCAATAATGACATGTACAAAGTAGTAGGCATGGGCATTACAAAACCAAACATTCTTTTCCTGAAAGGAATGAAAAACCTGTATTTGCTTTACACCTTGTGAAGTCTCTAAGAGCATTTTTAATTTCACTGAGAAAGCCTTCAGCAAGAACTGTCAGTGCATTTTACTTGCAAAGGAATTCAAACTGTCAGAAATAACGAAACTAAAACAGACTAACTGGGGGAAAAGAGGCCAGGGATACTTCTGATTCATGAAGAAGATTTTGAAAGGGCTGGTGAGAACAACAGTAGTTAATAGAACACATTCAGATTTCAAAGAACTACAGAGCTCTTCATCCTTTGGTGCTGTGGCAGTTCCAGTTTCCCAACAGACTTGAGACCAAGTGGAATTGCTGCTCCAACAGAATCCTGAGGCATTTTGCTGACAGCCTCTTCTGTGCCACGTTAATGCACAGTCACAGGGAGTAACTCAAAAGAGCCACGTTTGGAACAGCATTCAGTGATAAATATCTGTATCTACATGTCTAAAACCAGCCTCTCACTTCTCAGTTGAGTTTGTGCATCACTTTCTGGTTATCTGTTACCTTCTATTCCCACAGAGATGCTTTGGAACTCTGACCAGCTCTGGCTGTATCATCTCAGTTGTACCAGACAGACCAGCCTTACTCATCATCACAGAATAAGGCATTTTCTTGCTTCCATAGTCTTTTTCCTGACTGCTGTTTGAACTGTGCCCAATTTGCCTTCCTTTTGGGTTGGCTTTGTTTTTGTGTTTGGTTGTTTTTTTAAGCTGTAGAAGGCAGGGCCAGGGAAACTCATCTAGAATCAAGTACACTTATGAAAAAAACTGTGGCACTAACGTTGTTCTCTTCTCTTACTCAAAAGTCTTGCAGATTTTCTCAAAAATTACAGTGGCATTTTACAGGTAGCTCCCCTTCAGCTGACTACCAGCATGATACATTTGTAGTCTTTGTTTTCTTGAACAGCACTCCTACCTGCATTCCTACACATGAAATGTTCATTTCTGGCTTTTTGAATATATTGTAGCCACATTGTCAAGTTATCCATTTTGAATTGTATCATTCCTTTGCCCTCTTAATGATTCACCTGTTCTTTGTATTTGTGATCTCCATCAGTAAACATTTTGGTATTTTCCTCTAGAATACTAAATGCTTCCTTCTCAAACATTTCCATAGGTATTCCTTTTGGTCCCTGATGGAGACAGGATACTGGCCCAGCTGGACTTGCTCTGATTCAGTTCAGATGTTATTTGACTCTTCTAAATCCTGAATTACCCAAACCCAAGACTGCCTCAGCACACTTCTAAAAGTGCAACTCCCAGGGGAAAAACTTCCATTTCCCTTTTGAGACCTGTGGAGAGATATAATTTTTCCCATTTTGTAAAATGTCTAGGTCAAATGAACTGCAGAAGTTGAAAATTCAGCACAAACGTTGTGTTATTGTGGGCAGGGCTCTTGTAGGTTTTGGGTTGGGGTTTCTGTTTTCTTTTTATTTTTTTTTTTTTAATTTTTAAAGTAGTAACATAGAATTTGTTATGCATACTAAATACCTGAAGACACCAAAAAAAAGCAGTTTTACTGTATGCCACTGCTGGGCTTTATTATCAAACACACACAGCTGTGGCTTAGTCATGCAGTTTGCAGTGTTGGGTTAATGACAGGACTTGATGACCTTAAAAGTGTCTTTTCCAACCTAAATGATTCTGTGGGTCTACAATTTTGAATCATCTAAAAAATTATTAAGTTGGTTACAGCTGTGAAAAATTCCCTGCCACTGTCACATCTGAGAAGAAAGTATTCAAATTCCTAAGAATGTATTATTTCAAATAAAAAAGTATGATGGACAGTGCTGAACAGTTTTGGGGGGAGAAGAGAAGTCCTTCCTGGTTTTACACCTCTTCAGAGAAACAAAGTGTTCTGTAATGCTACAAAAAGTTAAAAAAAAAAAAGAAAATCCAACAGAAATGGGGGGTTGGGGGCTTCTTTGGCTTTGGTTGTCAGGTCAGAGCAGGGAGAGACATACCCAGGTTCTGCCACATGCTGAAGAGCTCATATGCCATCATCACTCTCATATCACCATATCTGAAAGAGAAGAGAGACACAACTGCCCATGGAACAAAAACTGGCAAGGCAGTGATGTGAACAAAAAAATAATCCAATTGTAAAAAAAAAAAATTCAGTTCACATCTATGTCAACATAAAATACCAAACAACTTGACTGAACACTGTATTAGGAGACCTACTTATTTATTGCCCAGGCACTTCCACTCCTAAGTACCATAATAAATCCCAGAAAAAGAAGTCTCTCTTTTGAGGTGAGGACCCAACAAAACATGTCCTTACTTATCCAGAATCTTCTTCCTCTTGGCAGGTGTGGCACTCTCTAGTTGGAGACTTGGCTGGTTTATAAACAAAACTGCCAGGCTGAAATAAGAGTTCCAGACCTGTGACAAGGGAAAGAATTTTGTAACATCACACTCCAAGGACTAAGCTTTAAACAAGTGTAGAAACACATATGATCCTTTTTGTAATCAAGACTTAACTTAATCACTATGTATCTTACAGTGGAGATACTAAACTCTTAAGGATATTAATGGATTATTTAAAACCTACTAAGAACTTGAAAAACTTGAGCCCTCCTGTGTGCACATGTCCCCAGGGACATTCTGGCAGCTTTGCCCTACTAACTTGCTGCCCATCTTCAACTACATCAGACACAGGGACAACACTGTCTAAGATCCTGTGTTCCTCCCCTTTTCATGTCAGCAGCCAGAATGAGAGACCTTTGGGAGAGGAAGACCATTAATACCCCAACTTCAGGAGGAGCATTGCCTGAGTTTACATTCCATCAGCCATCAGTCTGGAAGCCAGCACATTCCATTAGCTCCACTGCTCATGGAGATAGTTGTTTCCTTTACCAAGGGCTCCATCTCCCTGATTTCATCTCACGCTGTAGCTGTTCTGCTTTCCCCTGCATTCCACAGCAGATTCCCACCCCTGTCCTTTATCAGGTCATCTTCCTCACAGACACCCAGATAAACGTTGCAAATATAATCAGCTAATGCAGAGAGCAGCTCTTGCTCCTTTATTGCTGCTGGTTTAAAACGATGTCAGAACGTTTTCTGAGAATCAATTCTTACTTTAAAATCGAAGTCTGTTTCTGTGAAGTTCTTATGCAGTGCAGAAGACAGGTACTGAACTGTTGTAACTATGATACTGCAGTCAAAAACAAAGAGAAGAAAACAAAAAGAGAACATTTGAATCTGGAGTACAACATTTTACAGTGGTTGGTGGTGCTGGTTTAACTTTAGGTACAGAGATGAGCATTCTTTTTGTAATCACTGTGAGATTTGCACAGAAATCACCTTTCTTTCTGTGCTTTAATAAACATACAAAATTAAGAACCTTCACCATAATTGTAACTTTTGAAATTCACACAGTAGCATTTAAAATCCTGTCTATTTTGCATGGTTGGGCCCTATGACCTCCAATGAAATGGAAGAAGACACTCCTTCTTATTTTACGCAGAAAGATTAATTTTTTTCCCCAGAGAAGAGCAACTCAAAAAGTCTGAGCTATCTTTGTTCTTTGCTATACAATGGTCCTTTGTCTGGCCTCACATTCAACTCAAGATATTTGTATTTTGCCAATTTTTGATCCTGTGGGGTTTTTTTGTTGGTGGCTAAATATACCTTAGTGAAAGGCAATCAAGGCATGTGATAAATTCAGGAATTAATAAATACCATGTAGATAAGGTAGCAATAGTATCAAAAAAGTGAGCACATCTGATTCACATGCAAGCAATACTCCAGTAACACTTCTAAATATACCTGTGAGTGCAAAGGTTTGTGGCAAAATAACACCAAAAGGAAGGGACAACCTGCAGCATCTGAGGGAGCTGCTCTCTCACGTGGGCTTTTCTTTTCCTACAGAACTTCACTGAGTCTTTACGCTTGAAATACTGCAATGCACTTCTTTCACTTCTCATTAGCAGGGTGGACTCAGAGCATTCAGCTGAGCTGAGCAGGCAGCCCTTAGGAACACTGCCATGGTGTTTCCTTGTAATGGGAACCCTCTGGTTGTCTTTCAGTCAGTGGTAATTCCACAGCCAGTTTAGCTAAGGAGACTACTAAATAATTCCAGCCACCCTGTGTTGAGCACTGCTGCCAAGCCCAACAGCACAGAGCTTAACCCATCACAAGCAAACTGAGACAAAACAAAGCATTGAAATGGGAGATAACAACTGCATGGAGAAGTATCTCTGTGTGTAATGCTCTGGTGCCATTGCTGGGCTCTGCTCCTCCCTTTCCAAAATACCTGAGTCCTCCCTCCAGGTTGATTCAGGGGTGATGTTTATGGGAAGGCACAGATGTTCAATGCAATGATTCCCTGAGCAGGGGAGGGAGAGGCCTGTCAGCAGCCCTTGGTGTGGGGAGCTCACTCTCAGGGCAGCTCCCTCATCTTTGGCTTTGAACTTCCAACTCTTTGATGTCTGTGAACACTGGCAGAGTTTAACTGTGGGGAATTTCGGCTGGACCGAGACCCTAACGTGGAATGAGAATATGATTGAGAATGAAGGCATTAGCCCTGACAACATATTGATGTACCCTGAAAGAAGGGAAAAGCACCAGGAGGAAAGCTGTCTGTGAGAAACAAGAACTTGTTTTGGATAAAGTGACTGAGCAAGACGTAAACATAAAAGATAACAGAACAGATGTGCAGAGAGACTGTGGGAAAGTAAAACTGCCAGAGTCAACCTATCAGCCCTGAGATTGTGTTGCTGTGTTTGAAATTAACCTATCTGTAAAGAATACCTGTGCCTGAGAAATGTATAAAAGGAGCTGTAAAAGTGCAAGCTGGTGCTTTCTTCTCTTCAATAAACCTTTCTAGTGGATTTCAGTGTCATGTCCGTTCCAACAGCGATATTCAACAAACAGAACAAACACAGAGGTTTGGTCCAGAGTGTTAAAATAACAGCAGAACGAGGATGAGCACTACAGAATTCCTGTCTTGGTCCCAGCCTGATGAAACACAGCATCACAGGTTTTAACTGCCTGAATTGTGACACAGAATGTCAACACTTTGCACCTGCTTCTCTACTTACTTGCTGGTGAGCAACCTCATCACCATCCAGTCTCGAGGAAAGACACTCATCTTCATCAGGTTCCGAAACACACAGAAAATCTTCAGGAGGAACTCCTGTCACACAGGGGAAAAAAATTAAACACCCCCAGCAGTTGCAGATTAATCTGTTTTCTTGACTACAAGAAAGGCAATTCAACTAAGTGTGTTCCACTTGAGCTTTGTGTTGCAAGGCCATTCAGCTGGAAAATGGAAGCAACATATTTTTGGATATGGCTCTATTCCTTTTGTTTGCATCTAATACGTACTGAACAAGTTGCAACTTCTTTTAAATCTTAACTTCTACAGTAAGATGAAAATCCTCCTGTGTGCATAATTGTATATGACTTCTCACATTATCACAGAGAGTTCCAGTGTCAATTTGCAGCTATTTTCAAATATACTGGACTCATGATCACTTATTTATGCATTCATTTAATTAATTCATCTGTCCAAATCTCTTTGCACTTACGTCACAAATTCAAGAACAAACCACACACCCAAGCCCAATAAAACTCCTACACACTCTTTTTAAAATAGTAACTGAAAACCCCATTTCTGGCAACATGCAGCAGCAAAGAGCTCTTAAACACATTCAGGTGAATATTTGCTTTCCAAAAAAAATCCCCAAACCTGAAGACATTGCTGGTTTTTGACTACCTGCACCTCTATGTCTGTACAGACCAACAGTGAGGATTAAACATGCCAAGTTTTTGCAAATTATGATTTTATTGTTTTGTTTTATCTCCACATAAAATCAAGATGGCACAGAAAGTAACAGCACAGGATTTCATCAAAACCATCCTACCATTATGACTTAATGGGGAGTGTGATTAATATCCTGGTGTAACTGAGCACGGAGTGAAGCATTAGAAGGTCCTTGACTTTTGGCCTTATTTTGCCCTTTGTGTAACAGTGATAAGTGAACATAATGCCTTTCCATGCCAGAAAAAATACTGAAAATATTATTATAGCAATATTTGAAGGGGGGAAAAAAAGCAATATATTTTATTAGGTCAACTGAGAGCTGAAAAAACATTTGGATATAAAATCTTCAGCCTTTGTTCCTCTCCTGGAACAGACCCTCAGATTACCAGAGATGCAACAGTGTTTGTTCTTATGGTCGTAAAGACAAATTTCAGTTCAATGACCTTTTTCATGGGTCTGACATAAGAACTATAGTTTAGATAGCTTTTAAAATAAATATTAAAATGCAGTAGGAATTAATTTACCAAATCATTTTCCTGTGAACCATTTGAAAGTTACCAGAAAGGTAGTAATCTCAGACAACTATCAACCTCAGATACACTCATTCCTGCGACCTAAAGGTAAGAATTTTATCATCCCAAATTCATCTCCCTGATTTATTCAGCCTCCCTATATACACACATTTAGAAGCTGAAAGCCTAGCCAGAAAGCACTCCTCACTGTTTCTCCATTTCATTTCTTAAGGCAACAGAAGTTCCTGCCACATCACATTGTTCTTGTTGTGTATGTTTTAGTGAGTGCCATGCTAACCAAAAGCATTTTACATAAAAGCTTGTCTTTATTTATAAGATTATTCTGTCTTTTAAACAGGCTGTCATTGGAGATACTCCTCCACCCAATGGAAGCTGAGGTAAAAAGTTTCTGCTTTTGTGAGATGTGCCATTTCAAAATGTCAGAGGCAAAAAGCCACCAGCAAGGTTTGCACCCCTCCTCAACCTCTGCTGTTCCTGGAGAGCCCTAATTTAAGTTAGTGTTCACAAAGAAGGGTGCAGCAAGTGGAGTGGTAAGGTTACTGCTTTCCCAAAAAAGATTTCATCTGCTAGAGACATTTGTATCCCCCAAAAGGCCTGAAATTCTCTTTTGGCATAAAATCAATGCTCTTTGTAAGAAAGCTCCAATGCATATTGAACATCTAGTAAAATGCTTTACAACAACTGACTTCACATTCACAGGATTAAAAAAAGCCCTGTTCCTCTGAGGGTGTTTTATATGGTACAATTACGATATCCTTTATGTCGAACAACATCTATCTTGGGACTTTATTTGCTGTTATAAAGCTATTTGGTGCCCTGTGGTCTTAAATGTTTTTTGCAACACAACACCTCTGATTACAAAAGTGAAAGGAAGATCCCTGAACAGAGTGCCAGTGGATGGGAATGATTAGCAGAGCAAGTGATGGGGGAGAGATTCCCCTCTGCTCTCCCATTCTGAGGGAATCACCCTACAAACATGGTATCCTGGTGTACCTTCAGTTCATCCTTGCTTTGGAAGTTGTCCAGTAAGTGCTGGAAGTGAGTGTCTGACATCTGACGAAGCAAAGATAAAAGGCAGGAGACATATTCTCCCTGTTGGACCAAATGAGAAACTCTTTGATTCAGACAATCTTGAAATTTCATAAATAAAAAACTTAACCCGGGGGAAGGTATAAAGGGAGGGGTCTGAAATGGCCCCAATGCCTATGAGGGGAAAGCTGTCATGCAGAGATTAAAAGTATTGCAGGTTAACAGTTTCTCAATTACTGTTAATACACAGGAATACACCTCTCAGAGGCTCCTCCACAGATACCAGTTTTAAAGGTTTTTTAACCAATGTTGCAGTCTTATCAAAAATAATTTTGTATTATTAATACAAATGAATGAATCACCCTCCAAGCATGCAGGTTTTGACAATCACCTTTTTCAGGCACTTAATAACCAGTGTCTATCAGAGGTGTGACTGCAGCTCATGCCGACATACCAGGAATTATTGGGACTAATTGGCTCAGACACTCAGACCAGTGTAGCAGTGACAGCTTGGGATCATGCTGGGCTACAGAAGGTGTCTGGAATCTTGTAAATATATGGCTTATTAGTGTTCACCAAGTTCTGTGCTGTCATAGCTGCAGTACTGACAGGATTGCAGTCAGATACCCTGAGTACGGTGTGGATAAGCCCACATGAGCTACAATTACATTTCTGCCCTGCAAAGCAGATGCCCCCTAACCAGTTACCACAGCATCCCAAAGTGTTTTCCAAAGAGGAGCTCCCCCATTTTACAAATCTGAAAGCAAAGCACAGAGAAGTTAAGCAATCTGTCCAAGAGAACAAAGCAAGGCAGTGCCAAGAACATCAGTACTGGGTGTTTTGACTGCCAGTCCCTTGCACAACACTGTTTTTTTCTGCAACAATGAGCAACTAATTTGTAAAATATACAGACAACATTCTGAGCAGTATCTAGTAAGAATCCACATATCACTGTGCTGTGATGTGTAAATTCAGGAACAAATACGAGGGGATTTTAGACTTGGGACTGCCCATTCTTTTTTTTTTCTTCTAATTGACTCAAGCATCTACCCAGAAGTTTTGACAAAGGTTGTTCCAATACACTTTACAGGGCTGAACTTCATTAGGAAGAAAGGTGTGCTTTTCTCTATGAGGTGGCATGTGGCAAATAGCAGTAAGTCAAATGGCAGGAGTAAAGGGAACCTGAGAGGTTACTGGACATTTGCAAGCCAGCCCCTTTCTTGTTCTGTATCAAAGAACATCTCATCATCTGAGTTAACAAGGGAAGATACAGCCTTGTGTGAGAAGGGTACCTTAGTGCACATCTGCCCCCAGCAGCACCGCTGAGGCTTCAGCCACTTGACAAAAAAGCAAGTCTAAAAAAAGGATGTTCTGAACAGCAGTTCAGTATCCCACAATGTGCAAAAGCTGCATTAGAGACTCTGACAAGCAAAAATAGACTGAAATAGGCTGGAATAGGAAAGGGCACAAATCCAGAAAAGAAGAAAGCTGAATGGCAAAATTCTATTCCTTTTCTTCTCTTCCATGGGACAGCAAAGAAAAATTTCTTCCCTGTGGCTTATGCTGGCAGCCTGGACACAGCCTGGACACTCCCTCTTTCCCCACCAAGCTCAACAGTTCACTTGACTTAGGATCTCTTATTTCTTTGGAAAAAGTATAATAAATAAATACTCTGGGACCCTGGACAGAAGGTCTCCAGGGTGTTTTAGCAAAGGGACAATCACTGAGCATTATCACATTCTCAGTCTTGGGAATCACGGCCTCATGCTCATCTAGCCCTTGGTGACATCTACTTAGGGGTGAAGCTCCCCAAGGCCTCAAGTTTTAATTAATAACTCTCAATCAGAGCTGCAAAGACAAACAAGAAAATAACCTGGAAAGGTACAAAAGCTTCCTGAGCTCCACTGCTTCCCTCAGTGCATGGAGGAAGGAACGGGTTTGTGGCTTATTAAGGGAAAGAGCCAAAGCCCTGGGTGTTCATGCAGCAGGGATGATGATGAGGTGCCAGTGGTGGTGAGGGACTGAACCAGAGGTTAGAGAAGCAGGAAATAGAAACTGATTGTTAGTTACTAACAGTGATTTCTGCTGTGCACTGCGGGCAGCGCTGCCCTCTTACCGCCTCCTGAGACTGCGATTTACTCATGATTGTAAGCAGAGTTTGTAAAAGCACGTCCAGGAGGCTCTCCACCATCATCTCAACCTCCTCCACGACATCTCCCTCCTACAGCAAGTGGTGAGCAAACAGACAGTTAGACACTGGGGAGAATGGAACTGGCAAAGACAATTTTGCTGAGTCAGCTATACCATAAGCTCCATAAGAGAGGCTCAAAGTGCAACCAAATTCCTCAGTGGTCCCAGATCCTGTTGTCCTGCCGGCGCGTGTGTGCGTTACCTCGACACTCTCTGATGGAAACATTCATGGTCACAGCCATAAAGGTAAATCTATAATCAAAGGTCTAGAACCACATTGGGATCAAATTATGTTCAGGAACCTTTATTCCATGGCAGTATTATTTTAGCTGATTTCCATGATACCTTCCATCTCATTCCTTTCACACAGAATCATGACTTGTAATTGGAAATACACATTGAATTATATTTAGCACCATGAGCTTCCTACTTCAGAGTCAGCTGGGGAAGCTTCCCCAGTCCCTCTTTGTGAGCATTGCTTTAAATGATCTGGTTACCATTTGAGATCAGAGTATTATGACCATCAAAGCTGGGTGTTTAAACTCAGCAGCAATTTCCAGAACTAAGTGGGATTTCATTGATTGGATAATTTCAGAGTATTCTCTTAATGTGAATCACAAAGTGCTAGTTACTGTCTCTTGCAGAACTACAAGTCCTCGAGCTGTGTAGAGCTTTTAAACTCCACTGACATCAAAGTTCTGGGCTTGGATGAAGAAAATTAAACAGTGTCAAACCTGGTGAATGTGTGTGTGTTTTTCCCCTTTTAAGAGCAAGAACCCTGTGTAATCAAAATCCTCTGAGTCACACACACAGATCCAGACCCTCATTTCAGATGTTCTCCTGCTGACAGTTAGCAGAATTTTGTTTTTAAAAGTTTCTTCGAAAAACCTGTATTAACCTATAAAAATCTCTCAGTCTTCATTTTACTAAATCAGTGGTGGAATTAAAAAAAAAATAAATAAAATCAAGCAGTAGATTTACCAAAGAACTGGTCTTGATTATGGAGAAGATACTACTGAGGATCCCAGAGCAGATAAGTAGCTCCTTCTGCTGTCGTAGGTGAAGGTGAATGTGGTGAAGAACTACAGGTAGCAGGATGCGCCGGGACTCTGAAAGAAGGAAAATAATTTCAAATTTAAGGAAAAAAATATCAATGAACAATTACAATAGATGGTTTAAACAAGATTCTGTGCTGTTACCATTCTCACTGAGAAGAATAATTTGAGTGCACTAACTTGAGAGAAGATAAACCCAACGGTGCTTTTTATCTCCCACTATTACCTTCATTACTTCTTTCATTCACACTTTTATGCGTGAAATAAACTCACAATCTTCAACCGTTTTTCATTCAGTTCTTAAAAGAATTACTAGAAGGCTGAGCTGAAGAAATACTGAAGTTATACTGTGAAGATTAATGACACTTTAAAGGAATGTGGTGGGTTTCTCACATGACTATCCCCCTGTTTCTTTAGGCATAAGAAGGAAAGGAGGTTTTCTTCCTATCCATGGCAACAGTAGCAGAGCAATGCAAAGCACCAAGTGAGATCTGGCCAAATAACACGATGTGTTTGTGCTCTGGGTCAGCAGCAGGACTGGCCCTGGGTGCCGGTGCCTCACCTGAGAAGGAGAAGAGGCGGCTGTCGACGGTGCGGGCGATGGACTGGAGCTTCACCACGTCCATGGACTGCCCGATGTGCACAGTGCTGGGCATGCTGCCCAGGGTGCCCCGCACGAACTCGGCCACCTCCTGCACCGTGAACATCTGCAGCAGCTCGTCAAAGATGGCGGGGAAGGAGTTCAGCAGGGCGGCCTGGGGAGGGACGGGAACTCTGTCACTGCAGTCGGGGCGGTGAGATGGGAGCTGCAGTAAAACTGAATTAAGGGTCTGCCAGAAGGGCTGCTGTGGCTGCTGTTCATGTTTTTGTGATTCCCGAAGTTCACGGTGAACGAATCACACGGAGTATATAAACATCAAGTGCTGCTGCAATACTCTCACAGTAAGTGGAGCACACAGGTACAGCTTCAAAGGCTGCACTTCAGGACACAGTTTAAAACACAGGAAAAAACTGAGGTATCAGAGGACAAAAATAGTCCATTTCCGTTGAGTTACTTTTTTCAATAAATACAACACTTGCTTCTGATTAGAGTTCCACACAAAGTTTTTGTACTAAGCAACTACCCAAGACAGTTAAAACTCTTCAGAAAATATCCTGAAGAACATGCTGGCAGACCCTTAACCACAGCAGCACTGCCATGTGACATCAGGATTTCTGCAACAGGGGGTGGGGTGTGATTTCACGTGAAGGAGGCATCACATCATGCGAGTGCACATGTGATTCCTGCAGTAACAGATATTTCCAGTAAGCTGGAGTTATCCTTGGAAGTGCTTCCTCAAGTGCAAACAGTACCAGCACAACAGCAACAAAAACCTCTTCATCTCCTATTTCCCATTTTTCAATTAATTTCTTCACAAGAGTGGAAAATTCCATGCACTGCCCTGTGCTGAAGCTGCACAGACATGATGTCCTACCAGAAAACTGCCACACACCTCTAATGTTTTATAATTCTTCTCTTTCTTCCTCTGTATCCTAGCCAAGGTCCATACCTGCTTCCTCATTGTAACCACTTAAATTCCTACGTGGTTGCTTTCTTGAACTGGCCCCACTTCCACTCTTCCCTTTGTGCCATTTCCACCTCTCCTGCCCAAAGTTCTCCACACAAACCACACTGAGTTTCTGTAGAAGTTCAGATGTACCAGAATTTGTGCAGATCTCTGTTCAGCTTTGCCTTTCCAGAGTCTCACCACTTCAGTATTCTTAGTATTTCCTTTTCCTCCCAGACTTGTTTTCCTATTGCATAAACATTTCTTTACCTCCCTCACACTGACATGCCTCCCCTAATCCATATAATACCCAGCCTCGTCCTTTGCCGAGTCTGTGTTCCAAGTATCTTTTCCATCAAACAACAACAAAATCTATTTAACAGTGTTTGAGCAAAGTCTAAGTTATTTTTACAACTAACACTGTAGAGTTCATTAAATTATTCTGAATCTAAGTTTACCTCTTTCAACACCTCATTTTGTTACCATCCCCTCAAATTACACAAACCCCCACAAAGCCTCCCGGGTGTTGTCAACTATTTGTTGCTACATACATACAATGTACTAACAAAATCAACAAGTCTGAGTCATCTCAACAGCTCATGGTACTCTTGGAAGGCTGGAACAGTCACAAATCTTTATCTTTGGGATAATACCAGTGAAATTACAATACTGGCCCCCTTACAGAAGTTTTCCTCAACTTTCTAGCTATTATTTGTAAAGTAGAATGATTTCTGTATATCCAGCAGCAATCTGAGGGTATGTATGGGATCTCTTCAGGAAGCTCTGAGCTCCCTTGAGGTTTCATCATTTCATCAGTTCCCTGAAGGGCCCATTTTTGTGCAACACCCTAAAATAGGCTGGAACATTACTCATGTCAAACTAATTGCCTGGAAGGAAGGAAATCAGTTTTACTCTCGTTGCTGGAAAGAATTATACTGAGATCTCTCAAATATCCTGGAGACGAGCACAAATGTGAGGGAAATTATGTTTGCCAGGGCCTCGAGCATTTCTATAGGTATTTACCAGTTGTCCAGATTTCCAGAACTAATAATCAAATATAAACAAATCCTTGGCTCTCCTGAACAATTTGACTTACGGAATCTTATGTACACCCTCAGTACTGTCTTTTCAATGTGTGGATGCCATAAACTGTTCCATTAATACTGAAATACTCCACATCTCCTAGTTTCAAAGTACCAGCCACTTAAACGTGAAATTCCAATTTATATGCAGGAAAAAGAGGGTTTGGGGTAAGGAAGAGAGATTAATTGGGAACATCCATGACAAAACACTTGTGCAGCTGTGGGGTCGTTACTTACACAGTTAAATGACGGCCTTGACGTGCCCCCACATTTTTGTGGGGCACAAGTCCCGGCTCCGCTCGCCTGCCCTCCAGGCTGGGAGGCCTATGGGGCAAGTGGGATCGAGGGGCAACACAGTGGCAAGGGGGAAACAAAAAGCAAACTTTTCAAAGATTAAACAAGGACAGGCTTTATAAATTACAAAAGTCCAAAGTAAGAAGTACCACAGTGAGAGAAAGGAGGGAAAAATAAATAAAGAGAAACAAAGAGAAAAAGGGAGAATACCCCCATCCTCAAAGTGAGTCTCCCTCTGTATTTGTGACCAACACAACTGGAAAACAAACATAAGATGCTGCTTCTATTCCCCATCACTTTGTCTGCAAAATTCTGTGCACTGATTTCTCATGTTCCTGGCCCATTTACCATACCCACTAGTGGGTGATTAAATAAAAGATTAGAGCAGCTGCTCTCGAAAGCTTTCAGAGCAGCTCCTTAAGAAAGAGATCACAGCACAGGCAGCTTCCCTAACCAGTGGAGTCACTGCCTGGCTGCACCATTCACAGCAGCTGCTGCTATGGCAAACCACAGCAGGCATTCAAAACATCTGTAATTCTGCATTAGTGAGGACAAACCACCTTCATGTTACCAGGGAACTCTAGGTGGTCCCTTCTGACACCTGAGCAGAGGCACATGCAGCACATTTGACATTACTGTTTAGAACTTTCAAATGCTGAAGTATGTAATGTACTACAGTGATATTTAAAATAGGAACCAAAACTTAGCACCATCCTCACTCACTCTGAGGAGTAGCTTAAGCTCATGTGAAGTCTTTGTGAAGTCCCCTGGGCCATATTCAAAGTGATGTATGAAATGTGAGTATCACAACAGGCTTGTGGCCAGGTTGCACATGATTCTGACCACAATTTTAGTGTATGCTGGAATTAAGTTTACCTGACTGTGAGTACGTCAATTGAACCTCTCTACTGTGATGCTGCTATGACTGTAAGTATTGATTTGAACTACTGTAATTAAGGATTTAAAAATTCTTGAGGCCAACAGTCAGACACGTGAATGAGACTTAAAAATGCAGTTTACTTTTGTGAAGAGCAAAAACTGTGTTCTCATGTGACAAGTCACCTTCCCCTTGAGAGCCCACAGTCCAGCTCACCTGTGCAAAGCTACTGCCTGACACCTTCAACTGGCTGTGTTGTTTTCCAGAATCATCAGCTTGCTGGAGGGGAAAACTCTATTAATCTGCATTTAATCCCCATGTGCCCACAACTACTACCCGTGCAGAAAACAGCTGCCTCTTGGTTTGCCAGTGGAAGTGTAAAAAATAGCAAACCTGTGTGAAGATGAGAGTCTCAGAGCTCCTGCTGTCCAAGCTGAGCACAAATCTGATGGACTGGAAAAGCTCCTGGATGCTGGAGCGGAACTGTTCCTCCTCCATTCCACAAGTAGCTCTGGAGTAAAGGATCCGAGATTGGACAATGAACTTGAAAAGATATTCCAAGGCCTTAAGGAGCAGGAGTGGAAGGAGATTAAGACAGAGAAAAAGAGAGAAAGAAAAATAAAGGAGCTTTAAAGAGAACCAGGAAAGATTCTAGGTGCATAATTACTAAATTCTTCAGCTTTAGAAAAGAGAAAGAAAAACAGGTTTTATAAGTTATATAATTCAGTTAAGGAAGAGCTACTCATAGGCAAGTACCCATTCTCAACCAATAATCTTTGTTACTAGCATGTCCCACTAACAAAAAAAACTATGCACTGAAGTCAAACAGACAAATATGAGTTACATAATTTTAGGAAAATCTTGGTACAATGACTGAAGTGACAAAAGAAGCTGTTCTCCAGTGTACTTTCAAATTGTACCATTAATTATTTGAGCTAGCTAATCTAGATTACAATCAGTCCACTGTCATTGGAACAGCAGAACAGTTACCTGGAAATAAGTAAATCTACTTTTCAGTTTGAACACAACAGCAACGTTCACCTTTATTTCTGGCAGCCACATGCACAACAGAAATAAATGCAGATGCAGAAATAGGAGACAAGGGCAGCACGTGAAGCCCTCTGGCAGCACAGGACAAGCAGCAGCACTGCAGTGAGCACCTCTTTACTTCACACTGTGATAAGTTAAGGTGTCTTCCTTTTTTTATCCCACATGAAACCTGGAGAGCACCCAGCAGAGGGAGAATAACCCACACCCAAGATGGAACTCAACCCAGTACATGATGTGTGAGAGATGCAGGACTAGCACTGGGTTTGTTTGTGGTAGAATGGTAAGTTGTTCTGTGACACGTTCAGGGGAAATCTGAATTTGCAACCTAAACATCTGTAAAATTTTGTAAATGGCATTATAGAGAACTGCACTTATCAATGTTGATGAAGAAAACACAGTGTTCTGTGCAGCTGTGACAAGTTACCAACCCATCAACAGTTCTCCCAGACACCAACCCTGCAGGGTGACATCCCACACGGCCTTTCTGATCACTTGGTGCACACAACTGCCAACATGAAAATGCACTAAGTATCAGTGACACTGGTCTTCACTTCCCTCCCTCAGTGCTTATCATGATTCACAATGAAAATAGGATCATGATGCACAGTTTGATGATATCCTCAAAATTCAGCACAGGAAATAAAGAGGCTGGAGATTCAGCAATCACAGATTTCAAAAATGCCACTGGCTCTGACAGCCTTTTTTTTCCTTTTTCAGAAATTATGGAGCTTTGGCAATTCAGCAGTACATTATTTATACTTCTGCATTAAATCATCTCCCAGTGAAGCTTCCTTACACCAAAGAACTTCATCAGGAAAGAACAACTGCATTTCTGGCTGGTTTCCAGACAAAGGCCAGTTGGTTCACAGTCAGCTCTTCCAGGTTAACATCTCTGTGCTAACACCAAATCCAGCACAGTCAGTGCTCACATGAGCTGTTTTATAGCTTTGGTACAGACAACCATAATTCTAACCTGAAAGCTCATAACTTCAATGTGAAGCTTATGTTTTGCAATGAGTCAGAAGATTTCTGTATGAACTTCCATAATTCCCTGTGGAAGGGGAAATGGCAGGGCTCTGCACATCCTTAGAACCTGAACAATGTGCCCACACAGGCAGTGAAGTGCAAAGTTCCATGTGTTTGCAGGCACATGGCTGGGATGCTAAAAACACAAACGCAGTCCTGTTAGCACAGTCAGCACCTGGGAATAACTTTGACTCTAACTACCTACAAAATCACAACCATGATGTGTGTATGTGCCTAAAGACACAGAAGTGCCCTGAAATAAAATTCCAGCCTTCTCTTATGTTTGGCATGGTATAAAAAAATCAGCATCAAATTAAAGGAGGTCCCTCACAAGAGCAGTCTGCCTGCATGTTCATGCCATTGGTGAGCACACACCTCTCCCCTGTGAGCAGGTTCCTCAATCCAGGCAAAACCCACCCGTGGTTCCACTACTGGAAGATATCTGAAGCTGGAAGGGCACCTCCTAGAGAAGCCTCCTAAGTTTTGCCATGATTAGTAGGGACAATAAAACTGGCTGTGGAGCCATTCATGGACACTTCATTACAGAAGGCTCCAGGGAGGCACAGGCAGCTGTACCCAGATGCAGCTTATGTGGAGCTTGGTATAGGATGTAATAAAGGGGCATGATATAATGTGTTCTAGCACAGGTAGAGATGTCCTTTTCATTACAGTTCCTCAGGAGAGGAGCTACAGTTTCACAGGAGTTTTTTGAGAATTAAGAGCAGTCTTGAGGGTGGTGAGAAATTTTAGAAATACTCTAGAGCACCACTTGCTACTGCCAGGGTTGGAAAACAGAATCCTATGAGACATCTGCATATCCATCATGAATGTGCAAGACTGGTCAAGAGCCAAAAAAGAGTGCAGAGATATTTCAACACCAGCCTCAGGGTACTGCACTTAACAGCTAATTCAGGGAAAAAGGGATCAGGAGCTATCCTGTTTTCTTAGTATAAGAACTACTAATCCAAGGAATGTAGTGAACACAGCAAAGACCACAGAAATTCCCAGTAGAATTTAGCACTGGTAATGACACATTAGCAGTGATAATGGGTTTGGTACAAACTTGCTCCAAATGCCTGAAATAAAATCTGGAAACAAAGAAGGAAATGAAATCAATCACTTGGCTGTAACAGAAAGAAAATAAAGATCTTAATTTGGGCCTCCAAGATACACCTGCAAAGGCAACTGTCTGAATGAGATGTGGCAGCAGTGTGGGTGGTGGAGGATGTGCTGTTAGGTCTGCACAGACTCTGGTGGTAATTGTAATTCCTGTGCTTGGAAAGGCTTGGGCTGTCAGGTCTTCAAACTGACCTCACTCATGGAGGGAACAGCTACAAGCCCTTGAGATTCCCAGTAGGCAAAGAGCTGCCTTGGATCCCTAGACAGAACATGCCTTATTCACAAACAGTAAGCTGACTAATCCCAGCTTCTGAGAGCCATTCCAGCATTCATACTGTTACTATTTCCAAAGAGGACTGCTATGACATTCAAAAAATGCAGATCACATAGGGACAATATCCTACATCTCCATTTGCTGCACTGCATATAGCACTAATGAGTGGTTTGAGAGGGAAGAAAAGCTCCTCGAAGTCATTCCAGCTAGAGATCTTCCTCTCATCTCATAATTTTAATAGATTTCTTTGCAATTAAAAAAAAAAAAAGAGGAAGGATAAGGATGGGGGAAAAAAAGAATAATTTCTTGAAAAGATGCCTTTGCCCTATTTTTACCATTCCCTATGAATCTGTGGTTGAAAAACACAACAAAGAAGATGTAAATATCAACCCAGGACAAATTAAACACTGGTTTAAACACCCTTGTATAATCTGAGTAGGATCCTAACAGGATGGAAAGTGAGTCAATGGCAGTGACGTTGTGCTTCCCCTGGGAGATGCTTCACCTATATTTGTACTGACAAGTGAGAAAAACCAAGTGCCAATGCTGCCACTGCTACCAGTTCTACAAGTGCCCAGACCCAAGTGTTTGGACAGCAGCAGAGACAGAACATTCAACCAAAGAGAAACACCTTGCTGCAAATTTTGGAATCTTGTATTCATGTACTCGAAACACCATCTTCCTGGCTTACAATTACACAAGGTAAAACTAACACTTGATTTATTCTCTGATTTCTCTCTAATAGCAGCAAAAACATTCCTGGTGTTTCACACCCCATTGGAAAGCTGTGCCCTCCTGTGAGATGGTATTCTTGTCATGAACTGTGGCTCAGGCCCTGTGCAGCACTAATTCAAAAAATCTCCATCCAGTTAAAGGCTCATTTATCTGCTGCTTAAAATACTCCAGAGCTTCAACCCATAGTACAATGGAGCTGTGCCACAGCCAGAAATGAAAAGCAGATCTTTGATCCACAGCACCTTTACATTTAAAAATGTTGCTGCTTGAAGGGCATGGGGCAGACCACATAAATGGAGTGTATGTGCACTGGCCATGGATGTAAGTCCTACTAAAATTCTCCACAGGGCTGCAAAAGGACTTAAGGATACATGATTCTTCCTTTTTTTAATGCACAAGAGTGAATCTCTCCCTAAAATTAAAATTGAGGGTACATATATATATATATATATATGAAAAAATCTGGTTAAACAAATAACAAGTCAGTGCCACACTACCCTTGATTGTATTTACAGCTTGTAGTCCCAGATGGGGACTACAGCACTGCCATTGGATACATACCCTCATTGCCTCCTGGATGTGGTCCTGGCGCACGAGCTCAGCTGAGCGGTCCATGTACCACTTCAGACAGCGGATCAGCTCCCTGCATTGGACAGGGAAAGGAACCTTCAGCACCCTTTTAAAATCAGACAGGCAACAAACATTTTGCTTGTCGGGAGAGAGCTACAAAACAGCCTCGTTTCACTTCATTTCAGTGGTCAGTTGTAGCTGTCCTTGACACTGAACTTATGTAATATTTGCATTTATTTAAGTTTCAAAACCAGAAAATAATTTCTTCTCTATAAGACAAGACAACATAAAAAAGATGTTATTAAAGAGACAGCTTTGGTAAAGGCATGGTTCTAAGACCAAAATATATCTTCTTTTTGTAATAAGAAATTTCAGCTCTCGTCTAAGTTTTTAGAAACTAAGATCACAAAGAAAATACATACATCTATTTTCCCAAGCACACACCACCATCTGGACTGTTATAATGGTGTATTAAAACCATGTTTTATTTCAGACATCACACACAAAACCCATTTGTTTTGTCTGAAAGAGGTGACAACACAAAGCAGAACATCTTTTTATCTTCTGAACATGACTATGCCTTCTAGTGTTGTATAGTATCTGAGTTTGTACCTGCCATTGACAGAATATATTTTATATTTATTTTAATTACACACAAATGTGAATGGCTTAAAACAATCAAAACCAATTATAAGTTGGTTTTAATAGTTTATTGTGGCCAAAGATAAAATATTCTCAAAAATACAAAGGAAATGGTCTAAGAGAAAAGAAAAGCAACACCCTGAATGAGAACTGTTACTGCTTTAAGAAAATCTATTTCATTATCTGATGCAAGACTCTTTGAATACTAGAAAATAAGGCAGAATCTTCAAAGTAACTGAAATTTAAATTTATGATGTTGACATTAGATTGCAATCAAACAGAACATCATCTTATGTGAAAACCTGTCTAGAATGGAAAAGGAAGTTAAAGTTACTTCTCTGAACCTTCACTCCAGGCTTGTATCCCAACACCCTTAAGACAAGGAATGTGTATGCTCCTGGTAGCTCATTAGTACAGACTGATAATGAACTGTTGCTGATTGAGTCTCTTCAGTCAAAAAAAAGAGGAAGCAAGATTTGCCAGTTCAGAAGGGCAAGAGAAATGCCCAAGTCTGGCCACACTCAGGTGACACTCGGCAGCTTTTCCCTACAGTTGTGCTGGAAAACTTCCAGTTGAGCAATTCTACTTTTGGAAACCACTGCTGAAAGGAAGGGTGTGATTCTGATGGTGACATCATTCCAGTGGTGGATAAACAAAACCTACTTGTAAGCCAGAGCTCCTGCAAAGTGCTTCTGGATGTAGGTGTCCATCACGGGCCGGAAATGGAAGTACTTGCTGTCACGCAGCAGGTTTATGATGAACACCTGGGGGAGATGAAGGAGTGAACCCACACTACAGGAAACTGCACTTTGTTGCTAAGTATCTATAAACAAGCTACCCAAGCTAAGGAATAACAAAATACATGAGCTCCTTTAAGCAGTGTCTGTGTCACTGTTTGCTTCTCCCAAGTGAGAGCAGATATTGCTGCCCTCAGATCTGCTGAGGTTGTCCTGCCCTCCTCACCCAAGATCATTACAGAAAATGTAAGGCTGGATCCAGCTGAATGTTTTATATTTCACAGAAGTAAAATACTAGCAACATGATGACAAGAAACTTAAAACTCACTGAACATGAGATAAATAACAATCCAGGAGCTTACCAAAGACTGAAAAACCAGCAGACCATACTTCTCTGTGTTGTCATCCAAAACTACAAACAACGTGTCCAGAATATCTTGTAGGAACTAAAATGACACAAACAAATAAAGAATTTCAAATTAAATTGTACTCAAAAGGTTATTTCTCCCCTGCTTTAATTAGTTCATACATGTTGGTATCTTTGTGAAAAACTTGCCAAGGACAAACCACTTCAGTTTCATCCATATAATTTGATTTTTACTAAGAAGATTTTTTCTCTTTACAAGAAATATTTCTAAAAAAAACCATGACAGAAAAACAAAAAATAAGGAGTATGTACTGCATGGCTGATTTGTAAACTTGACTGAGTGTTCCTCTCACTGTGAGCTGACTAAAAGTGCTGCCTAACAAGAATAGCAGTCATTAGAGTGTATCAGGGACTGTTCAGCATCAAATTTAAGGCTTGGAAGAACATTAACTGGTGCTCCAAATTATGTTTAATACTGAAAACTTTTGTTATATGACAGCAAGTAAAGCTTTCCTAACAAGCATTAATTGGGTCCTGTTACATATTGCCAGTTGTTTCTTTCCTCCCCTAATATCTCAGCTTGCTGAGCACTGACAATTCAGTGATTTTCTTCCTGAAAGCACAGTCTTCAAAAGGATGAGTGTGAAGGAGGATGCTCAAGATCATCAACTGCACATTCTCTCATGATTTTTTAATCTATTCTACTTAAATTTATAATGTGGAAAACAAGAAATAAATTATGACAATTTATGAAGTCTCTGGAATGATAAAACTTCTTTTTTTCTGAATTACTGCATTCTGTTCTTCATATCCCAGTGCCAAATGGCAGCTGAATTTATGGAGGGAATCAATTACTTCTCCCCACGAAATTATTTAATCCACATCTTTCTTTGTCTTTCTCTAAAAAAACAGATACTTGTCCTGCCCTGCAAACAAAGTATACAAAACATGACATTCTTGAAGAATTGCAATATAGATGGGGTTTGTGCTCTTCTGTTACTGTTACCAAGCTATCAGGAAGACTAACATTCCAGATATGGCAACATTCAAATGAGTTACAGTGAAGTGGCTTTAATCATAAATTACTAATGAAGTGAGGGGATTTGACTTTGGTTTCTTCTCCTTGGTTGTTTGCTGTTACAAATCATCTTTTACTTCTCAATTTACAGAAATAGGGAGAGTTCTCAGCACCCCTAAAATTATCAGAGGGATATGTGGAATGCAGGGGTATTTTGCTGAGACTACAAATATTCAAATGCAGTTTAAAGCTCCTTGGACCTAAGGAAGTTCAGGTCACACAAGGATTGTCACGTAGAGCAACAGTGGTTACAAAACATAGTGAAATCATGAGCTGGGAGACAGAAATGGTGGTGGTGGTTGGATGCACTAGAGAGCAAGTGGTGCTCCAGGCAGCAGTTCACAGTGCTGGGATAGGAAAAGGGGTGTGCAGGATGGTTCACTGGCCCCTGAGCAAAACTCAACTTCCAAGGTCCTTTATGGGGACATTTGGAAGATATCTGCAAAACATCAATGCAGATTGACTGTTTGAGAGGGTCAAGTTTTCTGAGTCAGCTGTTTCTCCACTCTGGAAAGGACTAACCACACCTGGGCCAGGTCTCAGACTGTCATTTAGGAAATACTGCTGGAACAGGTAAGACTGCCCAAAACACCTCTACCAGTGGCTGTGTCTGCTCCAGCAGCTGTGTGGGCCTGCAGACTGGAACAACTGGTGCTGGGGACCCAACACTCCCAGCACAGCTGGCTGAGGGAATTTTACTAAGGATTAGCTCTATTTTGACCCCAAGGACTAACTATCCACTAATCCCTGGAATGTATTTTCCTGCTCAGTTTCACATCATAATACAATCCCAATTCATACACAATAAAAATTCACAGTGTGAATCAAAAAGCACAGTAAGAGGGAACATTCAGAAGCCTGAATGTGGGTCTGAATTCACTATCACAGACTGTTATTTCATGTAGTACCTTAACAATTTCCTCGCCACTGACGTGTCTCAGTCTTCCCAGAATATCCATCACACGATCTGGGTAAGCCTTCCATTTCAGCAGGGCAAGCAGATCCACTGCAGAACAGAGGGAGAAAGAGCTGGAACCACATGCAGGGGGAAGAATGGGGACCCCAAACCCACCAGAGATTCATCATGTTACACTTCACCTCTTACAGTTCTCACTTCTTGGGAAATAATACATATATAGCAGAAAACAAGAAGGAAAATACTGAGTAAGTCAATAATACTAAACAGAGAAATGAATGGAGGAATGGTAAAGTGCTTTAAAAAGAATAAAGGCTGCATTTTCCCCTATGTGACTTGACTTGTAATGGGGACAATCCAATCCTGTCTTCTTGTGCTTCAGGGATGCTGCTGTGACATATTTTTACTTATTTAGTAACTCTGTAAAACCCAAACAAAATATATTTTGGATTGTGTAGAAGTGCTAACATTGTACTTTTTTGTTCTACAATCATTTAATGAAAATTAACTCTGCTTTAACATTTTAACCTTGTAATGCTCTTACATAATGTCTGTAATTTCTCTGCCACCTGTCAATATCCTTATTTCCTCAAGAGAAGTTTCTGCTCATTTCAGAAACAGCACGATATATATAATGAAATTATAACCAAAGAATATTTCAGTAAAATAAGTAAAACACAAACATTGCTCTCTTTTGTAATTCCTGCTGCCTTGGGCAATTCTGAAGGATGAGCTACTCACCATTCTGGGTCAGTTTGGTAGAAGAAAGCTGTGTGGAGACTGAGAAGGTCTCTTTGGTGCTGCGCTGGAAGATGAGGCTGGAGGGGATGTTGGGGCAGCCGTTGTAATCCTCTTTGCAGCAGGGCAGCCCCAGGTACAGTGCGTGGTTGTTGAAGGTGCTGTTCTCATCACACTGCGGGCACAGGACACGGATGGACTGTACCTAGTCCAGCTCATCCCACATGCTCACAGCCTCAGCAGTTGCCTAACAGTACTTTTATTGATCTTTTTATTGGGTGCACAGAAACACTTCTAAGAAAAAGCTGTGCTTTTGGGGCCTGTGCACACACAAAACAGGCCTAGCCCTACAAAGTGTGGGCTCCTAAGCACTGACTCTTTAGAACTTATCAAGATCTTCCAACTGTACAACTGCTGTCAGAAAACTGTACTGAAGAAATAAACCCAGGTAAGAAAAAGCACTCCCCCAAATCCCTCATTGCAGGGCTGCCAAGTTGTAGTAACATGATGCATTTGAAGTACAGCATAATGTCACCACACAAAGGCACAGAGTAACACCAGAAGTTGGAAGAACTGCTGAATGCTCATGAACACCAGTGTGTTTGAGGTCAAAATGGATGGGATTAGCAGCAGATAGATCATCATCATCATCTGCATGGAAAAGGTGAGCTGTACTTAGAATAGAAGGCTCTATCCATACCATGTGATTTTGAATTTATAAAATTTTGAAACAACTATTAATCTCATACATACTTCTAATAAGGAGGGAAAAGGATAATGTAATGACCATTACTCATTTAAAGTGGAGATGAGCAGGTGAAAAGTCTGCAGAGAAGAACCAGTACCTTATAAACATAAAGCTCATGGATATCATCTGACAAGGTAGTGCCATCATCTCTCATCAAAGGGGTGAATGCAAAACCAAAGAGCTTCTTTTCTCCCTTGTCTTTTGCTGTAGCAAGAGATAGAAAGAAGGAATTGTTTTAGTACATATTTTGTCTGTCCATACACACCACGAGGTTACTCACTAACTTCTCCACATGCCTAACAAAAAGCACACAGCTTACAGAACAAACAACTTCTGTAATTCTCATTTCTTCTTTCTAATTCTATGCAAAGGACTGACAAGCTTCAAATCAAACAACATAACATAAAATAAACTAGTCATCCTGTAAAGAAAACATTCTACAGAAAAACACAGCAAAAGAACAGCAGGGGAGAACATGTACAAAGTGCTTGGCCCTGCACTGATTGTTCATGATGTTTTTAATGCTGTTTAATAAATCCAGCAATCAGCTGGTTAGCAGGGCCCCTTCACTGTATTTTATGTTGGTATCCCTTTCCTGCTTTCCACCCAGTAACAGCCTCATCCAAGCATAAGCTGGCAGTGGGGGCTCCTGGCACTCACTGGAGCAGTGCCTGAACTCGAAGCGCAGGTGGGAGCCCCGGAACCTGTCGATGGGGATGGGCAGCTTGATGATCTCCCCCCAGCGGGGGCTGTTGTTGTGGTAGAGCACAAAGGAGTGGTAGGCACTCCTGCTCGGCTCTCCTGAGCCCAGGCTGATGCAGTCCTGCAACAAAAGAAAACCATTTCACATGAGAAGACATCACATCACTACTGATGAGTCATTTTATTCCACGGTGATAACCTTTATATAATTCATATCTTTCTGTAGACATAAAACAAGAGTCAGAGCAGAAACTCAGACACAATGAAATGTGAAATTTTTTAAGAGATCTTTAAACTCTGTTTGGGGTCAAAGGGTGAGCTAGGAGACCTATAATACAGGATGAATTCCAGTATCTTAAGTTATTATTTAAAGTAAGTTTTCCACCAAGCAGAGACTAGATACAATAAACACCTAACTCCAAATATATCAAGATGAGTAAAAAAAATAGGAACATCACTTGTAATACTGGACTTCTAGTATTCCAGACATTCCAGATTTCTGCTTCAGTATCTCAGTTCAGAAGTGATACTTGAACTTTTCAAGTTCTTACAAATGTTCACCTTTCAAAACTGCAGCCATCCAGTCTCAACAAGTAGCCCAGAAAATTCTGATCAAGTTACTTCCTTACTGTAAGCAAAGAATTTCTGTGTAATAGTCATCACCTAAAAATACAAAGGGATTTAAATTTCTGCTTTTAGGTATAACAAGCTCAGAGTTCTTGCCCAGTCTATGTATTATCAAAATACAGATGAAGAAAAACATGAATTGATATTGTCTGGAAAATACAGAAATCCTTAGTCAGAGCACAAGTGAAGATGGGTGAAGTATTGAAGCCCTGAAGTAAGAACAGTAAAAGATTCTTTGTGATGAAGAGGAGTAGGAAGCACTTTTTTTTATATAAAGCACTAACCTATGCTCTAGACCCAGCACTTGCAAAGAGATCCAAAAGATATGACATCTCATAAAACCATGCAGAAAAAATACAGCTTGGAAATTCTTCACCTTTAGCATCTCCAAGGATAATGAATCCAGGAAGAAACAGAAGCTAAGCAGACCCAGAATGACACATGCAATATAAATTCTGATACAAAAACACCCCCCACAGAATGGTGTGATGACAAGAAGAACTACTGGTCATTTCCCCAAAACATCTCTAAATTCTATCTCAAGAAAATACCAACCATTTTGATATTTTTTTATGTGTAGTCATCTGACTACCGAGTCAAGCATATCCCATTAACCAGATCCAGTTAGTTCGACCTCTGGCAATATTCTTCTGGCTCTGAGAAAGTGAAGAATTTGCAAAGGAGCCCCAAAAGAAAGAAATATTCCCTGGAATTTCGGGATTCAATGCAAGAAGGGCCTCCCCGGACAGAGATTCTCTGCAAAGGCTCTGATCCAAACTGAGTGACTGCAGCAGAAGCTCACAACTCAGTCCTCTCAAGTAAGCCTTGGCAACCACATTATGTGTCACAATCCTGCCAAAAGGTGCTGTTTTTAATACAGCAACAAGAATTAAGTGTTGCAGATACTAACAGGTTGGAGTGAGAGTAGATTAGTGGCAGCTCTACAGAGCAGAACTGCAAGATCCCAGTTCTAGTTTGTAGCAAGGGTAACTTGTTGGGCTTCAACACAGCAATTGCAGAATCTCATTCTGCATTACATTCTTAGGAGAAAGCAAAAAAATATTTCTATTTCCTCTACAAGGTACAGTAAAAATTCAAATTTCAATGTGAGCTTTTTTTGTCCCCTCAAACAATTACCTGTTCTGGCTGACAAATGATCAGTCTTTGAATGCTGTTTCATCCTATAAACTTCAAATAAATGAATAGTCTTTCTTTCTCCTTGTTAGCTTAGTTTCTATGCAGTTATACTACAATTTATAGTCTGAGGAAGGCAGACTGTTTAATTCTGAATAGTGATCTGCAAAATACAAACATGAAACTAGTCTCCATACATCCAGATACCATGAGACCCAAATATGCAGGTGAATTAGAAGGCAGAGGCAAGTAAGGCAAGCTAAACTAGAAAAACTATCAGGTAATATTTCCATTGTGTAAAGGTGTGCCTTGCAATTCATAAGATATTCCTGCTACTGGAACAGAAAGAATAATAAGTGAGAAATGTGTCAAGGTTTTTTTTTTTATTATTCAGAATATATTGAAAGATACTAACAATTGACTAAGACCATTTTGAGAGGGAAATACTCATTTTCATTTTGAACAGCACTACATTCTGGAAGTAATTTCACTGCTTTCAATAGGACTATTTCTGGATCAAGATACACTCAAGAGCAGTGAGGATCTGAGAATATTCTCATTAACGCTGTGCACAGTTCTGCTAAAGTCTTCACAAAGGCATAATTCAGGCTTGGATCATGCTGCTGGTTGGGAAAAGTTTAGAGATTTTACTCTAATATCAGATGAAAATTTTGTGGCATTTCTCCTCCTTTACTGTGTAAGTCTGCACACAGTGTCTCCCTCAGCAGTCTCTGCTCCAGAAAGGCCATAGCTCAGGAATAGAAGGGGATATTCCAAGCAGGAACAGCAGTGCCTCAATGACTGAAACTGTGTTCTGCCCATATTCACAGGCATCATGAGACATCAGACATGTCCTGACACAAACCAAAGATCTGTGTTGCTTTGACTGCAACTATACAGAGGGGAAATAACATTACAACTGGGATAAAGATTTTCTTTTACATTTGTGGCTTAAATTTTGAACACCCACAAAAGACCTTGTATATATAAAGTCTCTCCTTTAGTGCAAATCTCAGAATGGTTTGGGTTTGAAGGAACCTCAAGGACCATCTCTTTCCAACCCCTGTGCCATGGGCAGGGACACCTTCCACTACTCAGGGCTCCATCCAGCCTGGCCTCGAACACTTCCAGGGATGGGGCATCCACAACTTCTCTGGGCAACCTGTTCACCTGAATTTCTTCTAGTTGGACCTACCCCATGGAAATCCCTGATGTACTTTACAGTTGTCATAAGAGGCCCGGGTAAGAAAAGACTACTTCATCTCTGTGAATGAGCATTCCAACCAAAATCACAAAAGAAGTTAAGACTGGTAATGTCTAGAAATTATCTGGCTTTTATCTGTAATCATCAGCCACAGTTACAGTATAATTAGGTACCATTATGTGCATGAGCACTTGAAGATGCTGATATTGCAGTTTGAGGCTAAAAGGCCTCTCTTGGTCCTTAGCAGACTGCTGTGAAATCAAGCTATGATTAAGAATTTGTGACTCAGTTTGAAAGGTAAAAAACAGCAAAAAAGGACTGTGATCTCTGAGCACAAACCAGTTCCGTACAAGAGATCCACTTTAATGAAATCACAACCTGCTGTAGTAATAAAAGCTCTCCTTTGAACTAAAAAGATGTGTTTGGTACACAAGCACTTTAGGTGTTTTGACTCTTCATAGTAATGGCTACAAAGCAGTGGAGGTAAAAGAAAAGGTAGGGGGAAGTTATTTCTGACAACTGCTCATGTTGAAATATTTTCTGTTTACTTCTCTATCCTCATGCCCTCCCACCCCACCTTCTTCTCTTCAATAAAACTAAAAGAACAGAGGAAGAAAAACATAAAACACAAACCATCCCCATCTGGAATGGAGCCAGCCCAGGGTGAAACTTTATTCCAAGTTATTTTCCAGAACTACATTCAGTACTGCAACTCCAACGACTCAGATTTAAAAGCCTCTCTTGGAATCACATTTCATCCTGTTGTATGACACATATTATTTAATTTTAGATAAGCCATACACTCTTCACTTCTGACTACAGCTACCCTAAATTTTCTTTTTACCTTAGCCACTGGCACCACATTTTGGCATTACACAAGCTTTTCAGTTTATGACTAACTTCTCCAAGTCTTCTATCCTCATATAGCGGAAGTGCTCCAAATACTTTCAAATTTATAACTGACCACTTCCTTCATCATAATAAAAACAAAAAAACACACACAAAAAAAAGGAAGAGTTGGTTTGATTGTAGCTCTTCCCTTACACGTCCCTGGAGGCAGCAGCTGCAGCTGGAGCTCACAGAGGAACTAAAGACCTACCTTCAGGATCTCCCCGTCGGCGTAGAGCACGTACATGGTCACCTCGATGTTCTTCTGCACGCTCTTCCCACCTCTCTCGAAGTCCCCCTTCTCCAAGGTCAGGTACAAGTCGTTCCGTATGTCACCTACAGCGAGAGAGCGGAGCCACATCCTTAAATTCCACAGGGAGCACTCAGTGGGGCCAGCTGGATTCTGCACATTGTTTTCTGTGTTCTGCAAGACTATGGCTGATGCCCAAATCATTCCAAGCAGCAAGTTAATTGTTAATAGGGATGAACATCATAATATCAGTGCATAAAAACAGACCATTGTTAGTAGTAATGCCTTTATTAAATGTGAACTCACAATCAATACTGGCTTTTGTTATGTAAGTGAGGAAGGGAGAAAAACCTTTCACTCCTACTGCTTTGCCTAGTTAGCTGGGCTGGAAGTATCAGGCTAAGCCTGACGAAACATCATTAGCATCAGACTTCCTATTTCCAATAATTTTAAGAAAAATAAGTATTTTTGTGATGATCAGCAGAACGTTGCCCTCAATTAGCTCTTCAAGGAATTTCTATATTTTCATAATTCCCTTTTATCATAACAGTAAAATAAACCCAGCTTTTTCGGAAACCCGCTTGTCATTCAGTTCAGATGGATTAAGGAGGAATTACAAATACACTTTTTGCTAGATTTCTGGCTAGCCTCTGGTATCCATATGCATGGCTGTATGAAAGAGGGCAGGATGGACACTTGCCAACTTCTCACTACGTCACTCTCAGGAGCTTTCAGAGCAAATTACTATATTCAGAAATAGAAATGCTTGTGTCTCTCTCAGCATCTTGTTATCCTGAATTTCACAGACTAGCTCACTTCTTTTTTTTTTCCCCTCCCTTTTTTTAGAATCTGATTTGGGAAACTGCATCCAAAACTGCTGTGGTCAATTCTAACCCCTGCACCAAAATTTTCCTATAAGACTTAGTTACTGTCACTATTTCATGATGGTTTACACTTACCACTTCTTTTTGTCTGCTTGCCAGAAAGGCAAACATACTAAAGGGCAATAGGTAAAAATATTAATAAAAAAATATTTAAATCCTTTCAAGGCAAGTATTTTGTTAAATAGTCTCAAGAGACTAAATAGCAAACTAATGGAATGGTTATCCAGCATAGGAGAAACTCCTTCAATGTCTGACTTCTTCCACTTGGAGAAGCTGATGCAGTTAAATCTGTGTATTAATCAGAAGCACAATGAAACAGCAGCATTTGCTTTCAGGCAGTGAGGGATATCCTTTTGTGTCCGTCAGAGCAGCGCTTCAAATTCTTCCCGAAGTCTATAACCCCACAGAATTTGTTCCTTAATCTACTGTAGGGACAAACAATAGAAGCTTTCAGTCCTGTCTTTACTTTCAATTTTATTTCTGGAGATAAGTACAAGCCTTTAAGCACAGCAAATACAGCTCTGTAGCTGACAGTCAGCGCTCGCTGCGAGGAGCTCCCTGTGAATGGGAATCTGTATGCAAAACGTCCTCCTTTCTCCATCAAACCCCCCATCACTGGGGGCTCACACAGAGCTGGAACACCTCACAGTCAGAGGGCTGGGATGCCAGGGTTCATTAACAGGAAAAGATGACAGTGAGAGCCTGGTGAAAGGCCTCAAATATTCCATCTGCTTTTTCTTATCAAAGAACCGTCATCAAATGCGACAATCCACGGCCCACGACAGGAGAAAATTATCTTGCTGTTCAAAATCAAGCTGAGCTACCTCTATGCTGACTACAGGGATACCAAGGAAATACAAAACTCATCACAAGAGACAGTTTAAGCTGGGACTTCTGTTCTGAAAATCCTTCTGCTTAACTGACTCCATCCCTTTTTCTTAGCGGTTTGCACAACCAGGAACAAAAGTTTCAATTTGTAAGCTATAAATCTTAACAGAAATTAATTGTACCCACTATAATTAGCATTTTGGAGCTCCCTATTTATGACCTCTTTTCTGGAAGACAGTCTGGCTACACAAAGTCCAATATCACATAGAAAATCATTTTCCAGCCTAAATTAAAGGCAGCATTTGGTTATATATAGCATCATATCTTCTATTAAGTTCAACAGGAGGGATATTACTGCACTAATTAAAAAAAATGCCTTTGGGGTGGGGGGTAGAGGGATATAAAAAACAGTGGATTTGCATAAGGAAGATGGGAAAAAGTATTTTAGTGAAGTATAATGGTGCACTTTCTCTTGCAAAAATACTCTACTGAATCTTAAAAAAATAGAAAAGGTCACTGCATACAGTAAAATTAAGGAAGTAAATGAGTCTAGCAAAGACAAAAAGCATTTAACTATCAGCTATGGAGCCCTTTGGTTTCTTGAAAATCTGGAGTTAAAACTACAAACTCCCACACTTCAATTTATTTCAGTGAAAAGAACCTTCCTACAAGGAGCCATCTCCTTTCCTCAATATACCACTTAACCACATTGCTTGCCGAGTCCTCACAAGATTTTTTGTTCTTCCAATTGCTTGTGGTTTCGAGGGATTTGAGCTCTGCTACACTAATGGGCTGCACAGAAACTACTGCAAATGCTTGAACACCCAGCAGTTCATTAAAATGCTTATTGTGAGTATGCAAAGTGTGGGGCCAGAGAGAACACTCAGCACCACGTCACCCTGTGCACACACAGACACTGTGAGCAAACCAAAGGGGTGACCAGCAGGACCAAGAGCTGGTGCTTGTCAGCTCCAAGACACAGTGACAACATACTGAGTGAAAAATCTTGGCAGATAGAGCTTCCTCCATATTAAAGCCATTTGTAAGAAAAAGATATAAATAATGAACTTGTTGAAGACACCAGCCCATTCATGCCCTCTGCATGGCAAACTACTGTGCCATGGTACCTCAGCTTGGATCCCAGAGGTCTCACATCTTCCCAAACAGCAAGTGCAGATCATAAACTGGGTGAGCTGTGGCCTCCCATCACCAGTAGAGGAATAAAAAAGTGCTAGAAGGCCAGTGGGCCATGGGTATTTATAGAGTAAAGCCTGCTGATGTCATTTTAAGCTGAGGTCTCTTTGTGCTGGATGGCTGTCAAAGATGAACTGAAAAGCTAGTCAGAGTTTTCAGAATGGTATTTGTTTCAAAGCCCATCTTTCCACAACTGTTTTCAATTTAAAAAACAAAAGTAAACTGCTTTTTAGCATAAAATATGTGCACTTTGTACACACAGTAACTGAGATTCATTTCCTATGAAATGTCTTGAAAAAGAGTATTTTGCACAATAATATAAAAAGATTGTTTTCTGATGTGTTACGGGGCTCTTCCCTTATCAACTCCCTTCACCTTTACTGGGATTTTGTTTTGTTTGTCTGTTTTAACCTATTTACAAAGCTTAATGTCAAATGTACAGTTGTTTAAATTATAATCATAAATTATAGCTTGGGGGGGGTTGGCTCATATTGAAATGAAATCCTTTCTCATATCACCTGAAGCTCCTTTAATGATAATGGGGAAAAAAGGAGAGGTGGAAAAGGCTACCCAAGCCAAATATTGATTTTGTATTTGCAACATAAAAGGAATGCACTGGAAGATTTCCAAATAGTTATTTATCATTTTCAAGACTGGATAACACGAAGTAGTCCAATGGCCACTAATTGTCTACTACCCAGTGGAATAAATAGCAGTTTATCCTGACAAGATGTGTGGGGTTTCCACTGGACAACTAGCCAGCTACTTGAACTGCAAAGTAGTAACAATTTACAGAAACTGTCTGCATTTAACACTTTTTATTCAGGGATCCTAACAGATTTTGGACACTGAGGACAGGAATGGTCCCTGCTTTACACAGGGGAATACCATGTCAAGAAAGACTGCATAATTCACATCAGTTCCTGCAGGAGAAAGAGACACAAAATTCTGACATCTCAACTCTAACATCTTTTTTTTCTAAGCTGTCAATGTTTTATGACTTTGTGAACTTGTAAAGGACATGTAATATACCCCTGTAAGCTGGGGAAAAGTGGCAGCTCCCAGCAGTCAGAATGTCCAGGCAGTTTCAAGTAACTTAGTAAAATAACTGTTTTTATCCAGATTTTTGAATATCCTTGGATTTTTTAAACTAGAAGTTTAGCCTTTTACAATTTAAGCAGCCAAGGATTTAAAAAAAACCAATCTATCTACAAAAAAAAAAATCAGTATTTATGTCTCTATCCATCAAATTGCTGAGATGGTCCTATTTAGGGCCCCACACTGTGACAGACTGTCTGTTGGACTCTCTGACATCCCTGGGTTTAGCATTTCCTTGAAAATAGTTTCATTTTACAGAAGAGTGAATGGGCAAGAAGAGTAGCTAGAGTATCTTTCCCAATGGCTTCTGAAGAAAAAGCAAGCCCTTGCATTTATGTCCTGTAACACCCCCCAGTCAAGAGTCAATCAGCATCACCCCAGTGACTGCAGCAACGTTACAGCAGTTTGAACCACCAGGGGAAGTAAAATCTCTGAAGAAAGCTGTAAGATGTAGAACACTTCTATTCATGTACAGTGTGATCATGTGTTCTGGCTGCATCTGTTCTAGCTCTTTACAGGGTAACTGCTCTGCTTTCTGGGTGGAATATCATCTTGAACTGGACAATCTCTCAATGGACGGCTCTTCCCTGCAGTAGTTCTGGAAGCTGCTGCTTTGGAAGGTGACAGCAATCAGATTCTGATCTCAAACAGCAAACTACACCCTTACCTGGAGTTGTAACTTCCTCCAAATGCAAACACACAACTACTTCTGAAGTGCAGTGATTTCAACACAGAGCAGGTTAACAGGACAGTGCCCAGGAGCAGCTTTGGGGTCATCACGTCACTGTCCAAACCACAGGGACTGAAGGACAAACCCACCAAGGGCACTGAGTGGGAAAGGTCTCCAACACCTCTGGCCTTCTTTCTGGCTGACCCTCAGGGACTTGTTCCCAGTCATGTCCTCACACTGGGATTTTCCCTGGCTGTAACAGTGCCATCACCTCTGTCACCAGTGTAAAGCCCTGCTGTGTTACCCACTGCATTCCTGCCTGCCTGGCACAGCCACACAGCCTGGGAATCACATTCAATCCACTTCAGCACCTTATTTCTCTGCCCCTTCACCAGCCAGGCCCTAAAGTTTTTCAAGGCCTATACTCCTGAAATAGTTACAGTGAGCAACTATTAACATAACTGTGAGCAATATTACAGCAGGAAAGGGAAACAAAGGCTTTATCTACTGCCTGTATGGCAAATTAAATTAGCTTTTTTCCCCTCTAAACACAACATTATGCAAGTTTAACTCTGTGTGCTCCTCTAGCTTTCAATGAGCAGAACACAATTGTTAAAAAGAAAAGGGACAAGCAATACTTACTAGGTTATTTACTATCCATTGTTTGACTTCTATGTATAGAAAACCATTTATACAATGCTCTTTTTAAATTCAGTGATTTCCCTGGAACAGCTGCCTTTCAGTAGCAGGAAGTTGTTTTTTAAAGCTTTTCATTTTTATCTCCTCCAACTTTCCATTTCCACAAGTTTATTTATGACAGTAAGACTTTTTATACTCCCTGTAAACACTTTTTTTACCTAATTATGTCTTTTGGTCTCATTACTTTCTTGCCATGAACATTCTAAGACTGGTTGATGGATTTTGCCATGTCCTTTTCCTAACAGATTTTTGCCATGACTTTGTGCTCACTGACAGAACAGATGCTGAGATGCTTCTCACCTTTGCTACCAACTCACCTGTCATAGCTACTAAATTTGCCTGAAACCCTGTGGTGTGAAGAGAGACAGTCTCCAATTCTCTGTTATCAGAGTTTCCCTGTGATGTTATGATTTGCTGTCTTTACCAATCCCCAACATTCCATGGAAGATATGAAAATGGAAAAAAAAGCAGGCAATAAGCAGACATTACACAGAAAAGCAGAAACTTACACCCAACAATCTTCATCTCTGCATCAGAAAGAAAGGGGAGAGAATAAAGGGAAAGGAGAGGGAGAGAAGCCAGGAAATTAAGACAAGGAGAGAGAAAAAAAGAGAAAGAAACATCACTCACGAGTAGAAGATGAAGCATGCACTTTTCATCAGAGCATCAAAGTAAAAGACAGAATACTTATCAGCACATGGGGAAGGGGAGGGATGTCCGTGAGGGACTGACAAAGGCCAAGCCTATGCAACAGATTCTGATCAGCAAGTTCTGTACACAAACACAGCTGCAATCCCAAAGCAGCACATGCCTCATTGCTCTTAGCTCTGGGGAAAGGTAAAATTGTCAGGATCAGACTCATGGCCTTAAACCCAGGAGCAACTTAGAAAAGGAAAAAAAAAACCATCACAAATGAACAAAACCCCACCATACTTCTTCAGGAGGCTGGTTTGACTGAATCCCTTCTGATTTGGACAAAAAAGACAATGGAAGCCTTTATGATGCTCTTCTCAGATCACAACCCAGTAGGAAACAAAGAACATTTTATCTTTACAAACGAAGACAGGCACGGTTATTTTGTACAGTATTAAGCTTGTTCTGCACAGCCATGAAGGATATAAGCCCATAAAGACCAGTTTCACTTTGTTTCTTAATGATGACCAGCTACCACTGATGTTGCTCACATCTGAGGGACAGAAAAGAGGGTTTGATACAGTGAACTAATACTACAGTTTAGACAGCAAAACAGGACAGGAAAACTGTGTGGTAAGACACACCTACAGAACTAGGTGACATAGTCTATTAATTTACTCATTAAAAAACATTTTTAAACCACACTGCCTTGAAAAACCTGCATCCACTTGCAAAATACAAAAGTCATGGACTTTCTGTGCTCTTTTCTGGAAGAAAAAACCCTGTGTTTAGTGACAAAGAAACAGTTCTGAGGCAAAGCAAGGAAAAGGTAGTGTGACAAAGACAATTAAAGCAGCAGACATGGTTGAGAACAGGTCATGTGCATGGCAGGCTTCAGTTTTTGTTTGGTTTGGGGGTTTTTATTTCTTTTTTTCTGGCTGTGTGTGTCCCCAGTTAATTATTTTTCAACTTAAGACAATGCTCAGAAAGCTAAGGAAGAATGTTTGATCCTGTAACAACACAAGCACAAAGTAAATTGATACACATCCCTTGTTCATGTAGCTTGGCTAATCCACCTGAAAGGTGACTTGACCCAAACGTTCTGTCCTGGATGTCAGGTCAACTCAAACCCCAGTTTATCAATTGCTTTAAAAGCAAAGAACAGGCAAATATGTGCTGTCACTTGAATGTCTCAAACATACTTTCATTAAAAAATATTGATAAGTAATTAGAATGAACACTGTTTGCTGCATTAATGGAGTTCCATTACATTTCAATCTCCTAATTTTCATGAGACTTCCTTATCCTAGAAAATACCCAACACAGTGAGAGCCTTTGTTCAGAACCCCCTTCATGATCACCTCTCTCTTCACATCTCATTTCCACTCTGGCCATGTCCTCATTTACAATCACAGTGAAAGTCCATTCACACTTCCCTTGGCTGCCTTTCTTTTCTTACCTGCTGTTTACAGACATGCACAAACTGCTTTTCTCCACAAATGGGAGCCTTTTCCTTTCCAAATACAAATGCCTAAAGCTCTGCATCCAAACTCTATATATGAAAATCTCTTGTAGCCCCCTTTGAACCAAGGAGAAGTTCTGTGTGTCCAATGTCTCTAGAGAGGCAGGAAACATTTAACAGCAGAATGGTGGTCCTTTCACACATTTGTTACTATCAATCAGCATTTTAAGCATATGTATATATAGCTGTAAGTCCAATTCCAAAGAGATTATCACCCTAAAATCCCAGTGTTTTCTCCAACAAGAATTGTGGTTCTCACAAAGAAAATCTGGAAATTTGAATTAAATGCAATGAATAGAGAATTTTAAAAGCTTAGGGCAGGAGCACTTTTTGCATGAAAACTGCTGCCTTGCTTGCTCCAGCTCTGGGCCAAAGCCCTGCCCAAACCAGCAGAATACAGGGAAACACTGAGGACACAAAGCTGTTCCTTAAGCACCTGAGGGACTCCTCCATACACAGCAATGGAGGATAAAGCAATTCTTGCAGGAGAATCAATTCACTCACACAGGTATGTAAATGTTATTTTTGACGTTGGCTTTTCTAGCTGTGATCCAGCTATTCCAGCTGACATATCCAGCTGGGATCTCAATTACAGCAGATCACCTTGCAGCAGCTGCTTCTGCAGATGAACCTGTAATAATTCATCTTTTCTCTATTTGACTGCTTTGGGTTATGACTGGAACTGCTATGAAGTCACTAAAACGTAAAATTTATAATTGGCCTTATAGCCCACATCCTCTGCTGCTCTATTACTATTTTCAAGCTCATTAGTGAATAAAACAGATGTTCTAAATCCTTTGACTTTAGTTTCTAGAAATTCTTCCCACCTACTCCCTATTTTATTGTGGTTTCTGAAGAGCCTCCACAATGAAGCTACAACAACCACTTCTGATCCTGATGTGTCGCTGCAGCCTCTCGAGTAACAAGATCTGATTTTTTTCCCTGTTATGCTTTCATAAAACTTCCCATGTCTGCAAAGTCATCCTTGGCCTTGCCTGTCATGCATAGCAATGAGGGAACAGTCCAGATGCTACACATGCAGGGTCATTCCCAAGGCCATTCCTTCCCACACTGCAGCAGTGAGGACAGTGTAACACCAGCTGTTGTATGGCTGCAGGACTGTATGGCTACATTTGGGTTCTTCCCTAACTGAACTCTTGGCTGTGCTGGGGTTACCTCAGCTTCTGCCAAAATAAGAAGCATCTCCAGCTGCTGCTGCAGAACTAAGGATCAAAGAAGCACAGCAATGCTCCAGCCAAGACACCTGTTGCACGGACCACGTGCTCTGCAAGGCCAGCTGGAAAATCCAACCAGATCCCTGTGGATAGTCAACCATTACAAAAGGATCACACCGACTCCAGAAAATCAAGGTTGCAAATGGAAACTCTTTTTCCAGGTTTTGGATTATTGGGAAGAAACCTTATGCATTTTAAAAGAAAGATCTCTACGCTTGAGGAATAATCTCCACACATGAGGGATATCCAAGTGTCAGGGGTGGTGGGGGGAGTATCCTTCCAGATCACCTGCTATACATGTTCACAGAACACCTTCTATGACTATAATGTCCATTGATTAAAATGATTCAGGATACCTTCCCAAACCTGGAATTGGCATTTACTGATAAATAAGGCAACTCTTCTGTTATTAATCTTGTTCAAGTAAATCCCCCATCCCAGTGCAATTGTGTGGGAGAGTATAAGGAAAAAAACCATCAAAATTTTCAGATTAGAGCTGCTGTGTTTACCTGGCATTATAACATCAGGAAAACCCAGCTTCCTGGTAACAGAAACGCCTCTGTTGAAGATCATGGGGTTTTCCCTTCGAATCTGCTCCATATCACCACGAAGAAGCTGAAGAGAAATTATAAGTCCTGGAAAAAACACAAATATGTTCATTGTTTCTGACCTAAGAATTAGATGTCTGTGTATACAAGGCATGCAGGTAAGCTAATGTTTTGCTCCACAGTTAATTTAAGACAAGTATATAAACAGAGTTCTTTTCTCCCTTGGAGTAATTTAAAGCTGAAATGGAAGAAACAAAACTGTTACAAGGGATCAGTTACAAGCACAGTATTATATTAACATACAACGTTAAAAAATCAGAATACTTGATTTCACAGACTGGTCACAAGCTACAGCAAGTACTTCCATTACTTCTATTCCTCATACACAGCAGGTTACAATACATGTGTGAACAATGCCACCTCTATCTGAATAACCACACAGTGATGTAGAACATCTCTAAAGTACCTTTAATCCTACTTAATACCATGAAAAAAATTAAATCTCACAGTGTATCAGTTCCACTTGTTTCTTTGACTGCTTCATAAAGGGGTGTTGATTTTAATGAAATTCCCATCAGTACCTCAACATGTTTCAGGAATACCGACTGGCCAAACTGACTTCAGCAACCAGCTCTGTTGTTCAGGGTACCAACTGAAAAACAGCTTGACTAGGAATAATTACACAGGTAATCTCAGTCCAGCTGTTTCCTCCAGTTGCTTTTCATTTGTCCCATACTACACCCCTAAAGCAAGGATAATGTATTGGTAAAATTAACAAGTCCAGCATTACGATACCAAACAATACCAGGATTGAGCTCAGCCCTGCAAGCTCAGTCTCACCTGCTGAGCACAAGCTACCAGCCTCAATATCCATGGGAATTACCTTACAGTATCCATGGGAATTACCTTCACACAGTCATTTCCCACACCCTTTATCTCCTTCCATGGCAGTCAGTCAATAGTTCTTTGTATCCTCCCTGTTCACTCTCCAGAACAACACACACCAAACCAAACTCTGGTCTTGCATGAGCCATCTAAAGTTCTGCTATTTCCTAAGCTTAATATATGGGCTTTGTGAACAATATTTAGTCACCATTTTGTCAGACAAGTGTTATAGTTTGAAATTGGCCCCCCTGAGAGGCTGGTGGGGCTCAGAGGTGATTGGGTGCCAGAGGAATGAAACCAGGAGAATCATGTACCTCCCACTCAATTCCTGCTTTCTTCCCTTGAAGTTATTTTCAATCCTGCTGTTTGGCTTCAGCCAAATTTGGCAAATAAGTGGATATCTAGATTACAGGAAGACTGTGTAAATTTTATGAATACTGGGAGTTGGGACGAAAAAAAAAAGAGCATAAAGCCTTAAAATGAAGGAAAAGGGAGGCCAACCAGCCAGCTGGACAGTCAGCATGGATGTACTCAAAAGGTGCCAAAACATGCACTTGCAACTGTCCAGCTAAGCAGGCAGAAGAGCACTGCAAAGCTCTGCAGGGAAAACACAGGCTTGAAAACCATGGAAAAGATCCAACCCTTTTGGATACCATGTGCAAGTGGATGTGTGTGTGTTGTCTATGTGCTACAGAAGGTTCCACAGCACACAAGAGACACACGTTCACGACAAGTCGGTCTTGACTATTTTTGCCACTTACAGAAACACTTTTTCATTTTAGATCCTCTTCTGCTATTAAAAACAAACTAATGAAAATTAATTTTAAAAACTGCAGTGCAAAAGCACTAGAGCAAATTTGGAAGTTCAGACCTCCCAGTACTTAACAAAAAGCACCAGAATTAATTTGTCATCTATTAGAGTCAGTCACTATAGGTAATAGAATATATAATTTTTCCAGCATGGTATTACATATATAACTTATGTGATACTTTCCCACATAATCCACCCTAAAAAACTTGTGCCCAGCTCCCTGCTCTCCCCAAAGGTTCTGTGCTCCCCATTCCTCTTTTCTACCCAGCATATCCCTTCCACTTTGTTTCTATTCCTTGCAGCAGATCTGAAGGACCAACTTTACACAAGACCTGGGAAGGTGGTGAGAGGAAGAACCAGTGAGCTTTTCTCCAGGGAAACATCACACTCGTGGTTTGAGAATTTTCTCACTCTGAGAGTGGGTTCTGAGAGGCCCAAATCATATTCCTGATGCTTAAATCAGCCTGCAACCCTGCCCTTCCCACAGCACAATTCCTCTGCCAAGCTTCAACCTCCTATTCCAGAGATGAACTACATCTTAATGAAATGCCTGAAATCATTATTTTAAAAAGCCCAAGGCAAAGGTAAAAAAGTTATAAGCAACTCAGGAAAATATTCTAATGATAACTAGTGGATAACCTGAACTGTAACAGGAGGAGCAGCAGGGAAGGAGACCGGCTTGACACATGGTAAAATGCCAAACCTGAAAAATGTTTTATTTGCTTATTGTTGTACTTAATATCTTCTGTGGGAGTGTGAACTGCATATTCCACTACAGCATCTCAATATGCAAACAAGTGAAATTAAGACAAATTCAGTATTTGGTCATCAGAAGGCCCATGAATGAGGCACTTGGTAATGAATGCAAAACTCGCTTTAATGAAGCACAACTGCATCCTATCAGCTGGTTCATTTGGAATGGCACAGCAATGATATCTCTGAATTAGCAACTCCAGACATCATTAAATGAGGTAAAAAGATAAGATTTACTTTCCATATTTATCTGTCATTAGCTGGGAAAGTAAAATCTCACATCTCAGTGAATTTCTCTGCTATAAATAATCAGCAGTTTCCTAAAGGGAATCTTCAGCTCTTGTCAAGACAAACAAGCACAAGTAAATATTTACCATAGTTGGAGCTGGGTGCTGTGTATTTGGTGCTGGACTTACGGATGATATTTTCATGGATCTGGCACCACTCATTCTCGTTGTTACACCTAAAATAAAAGAACACTAATTCAAGTTAAATGCTTTCTGCTGAACCACCTTAGAACAGGAGAGTCAGCTTTGGTGTAGAGATAATATGAAAGGTTTGGATGAGTGAGAGAAATCCCACGTAACTCTTGTTTTTAAAAGTGGAAGGAAACAAAATATTCCCTAATAGTTATGTCATTTTTATGGACACTCTGGAGCCAGCAGTGACTTTTCTGTCACCAAAGCCGTTGTTTCACTCTTCAGATTATGACAAGATCAAGAAAGTTCTGGTTGTCCTGTTTGAATCCTGTGTATGTAGAAAATGAATTTAAGTAGAAATTAACTACTGCCATATATTACCTTTTTGTTTTTAATTTATTAAAAAAGTTAAAATCAAGAAATAAAAGTGACATTTGAAAGACTAAATGAACCCCGGATTTTTTTAAGTATCTCAGGAATTTACAATGAGTCTTTTGCTTACCTAAGTATTTTACAGAATGCCTTGAAACATGATGCAATCTCCCCAAAAACCAGAGCCCAAAATGCAAGAATTGCAGTGTCAGTGAGAAAGGAATCAAGGAAACAAGCCCCACGTTCTGAATCCGTAGCTTACTGTCCCATTGTATGAGAGAGGGACATTAGACTGGGGGAGAAAGGCAAAAAACTGAAGTGTCCCTCTTTATTAAGCTTTTACATGAAAGATGAGCCATATAATCTCTTCTCTTGTGAAAAAAATGGAAACTTTACCACAAACAGTGCTATGGGCCAAAAAAGAAAGGAAAACCAGTATGTTGATCAAGTCTAACTGCATTTTAAATTCAATTGTGCTCTATTTAAATTACAACTGCAAGATTTAATGATTCCCCATGAAGTCAGCAATTTTTAACTCAGCAGCAATAGTGAATCTTATTTCCCCTGAAAAGCAATTGAATTAAACAATTTAATTAAACTTCTGTCCTATTGACTCTTAAAGGTTAAAAACAAAAGGGAAGCTAATGCTCTAAGCTTTCAGCTCCTATGAGTCTTGAGAAATAAGTCACTTTGCAAAACCTCTCCCAAGGATATGAACATTTTTTCCCTTTTTTGCTTCCCCCCCAAGAGTACAACACACCAGCACAACCAGGGTAAGATACAAACCAGCTACACTGAAGACATCAGGGATTTTTTTGTTTGCTGCATTATGTAACTGAAGAATAGCATGGCAAAAGGAATTAGGGCTATCTAGAACACACAGCAGCTGGTCATTTCTTACAGCCTCTGCATTACAAAACCACATACTGCCAAGAGTAATGAGAGAACCCACAAAGCCTGTTATGGCACTTACTGACATCCCCCCAAATGCCATTGTAACAGCAAAAGGAACAGAGACAACTTGGAGTAAATGAAATACAAAATGCAGACAGCAAAAGAGGAAAATATGGAGAAAAACCATTAGGAGTTACTTTCTTCCACTGTGCTACCCAAAAGTATTCATTTAATTAAAATGCTGATCAGGCTGTACTCCTGGGTTACCTGGTGCAGTTAGATTGGGATCATCCCACCTGAAACTTTAGCTCCACCTATCCCATCATCCCTCCCTTCCCCTGCACTGGGTTTAGGTATCAGACACCTCAGCTGACTGTCAAGAACTCCAGAATACACAAAAACCTTCCCACACTGGCCACAGGACATGATACTTTGGCAGGGGAGAGGAGCAGCCAGGCTCAGGTCCCCTGCCCCGAGGTGGCTGAATGTGGGAGGTTAGAGGGTACAGCCCTGTCTGTTCCTGCTCCTCTCTTTATGGATCTCTTGTTCAGAAGTTTGTCTAATCCCCTTTGGACCTGCTCACACTGCCTTGGGTAGTATCTCTTCCCACCATCACTTTTCTCCTCTTAAGGCTGAAGCTCCCCACATTCTCCATTTCCAATAAAGAAATGTCCCTGTGTCATTAAACATTTCACTTGCTCGACTCCCCCCCTTCTATAATGACTATATCCCTTTTGGGAGGAGACATCAGCTATCCACAGTCACTCAAGACAGGTCAGCACTGAAGTGACCTTCTAGAACTTCACAGGATGGCAAAGTGACTATATCTGCACTCCCCAAAACAATCTCTCAAAACCAAAACACAACAGAGCTGAGGTATTAATGGCCAGTACAAACCCCCTGTCAGTAATTGTGGTGTTCTGTGCTAATTCAGCTTACTCTTCAAGAAAAAATAATAATTATCTTCACATGGCCAAGGCATTAAAAGTCATTTATCCTACTGCAAATAATATTCTCCTAGAAGTAGAGGGATAACCTATAGGACAAATTCCATACCCTCCTCCCAGGTAAGAATACAAAAAATGCCTACCCTCTGATAATTTTTTAGTTGCTGTACCAGCCTCGGGAGCACAAGTTAAAAGAGATTTCAGCCTCCAGTGACTTATGTCTGCCAATTAACCTGAGCCAAAGTTATCCCAAAATCAACAAACCATAAAGATTGCTAAAGCCAGTGCTGTACCAGGTACCAAGGTGAGCTGCACTTTGCATTTCCTGAACACAAAAAGGAGGATATTCTCCCAAGTTTGACATGTAGGCCTGAAAACATTTGCTTGGACCATGTTTTATTGTGTTCAGATTCTACTTGTCCAAATACCAAATAGATAACAGAACGTACTCCTCCTTTAAATAAGAATTTTCCCCTGAGCCAGCCATCACCTTTTGAGGTTGGCTGGTTCCACAGCAGATTTACCACTTGGAATGTTTGCCACCCCCCAGCTGGGGACAGCAATGGGATGTACAAATAGCAACTATGGAATATCAAAAGGGAAAGGCATTCAGGCATTAAGGGGAAAGAATTTTAAGCACTGGAGAAGGAGGAAAAAAAGGATAGAAGGAAAATAGGACAAAAAAATAAAACTGAAAAAGATAACATGAAAGAGAAATACATGAAGTTTTTAGAGGAATGGTAAGATTAACACAAAGAGTAATGTTCAATGAGCAAAAACTTTCATTAGAGATAAAAATTAATATAAAAATAAATACAAAAATATGAAACCAAGTGATTTTAAAAAACGGACTGAGAATTTAATTTCCATCTCTCTTTTTAAATATTTTACATGTATATTAAAAAGAATTATAAAAGTAAACCTTTATGCTTTTACATAATGAGCTTATAACTACAGCTGTGGTACTATATCCTCTTAGAGAGATTTTAACATGACTGTGGGATTAACAAAGAGGAAAATCTCAATTGTGAGAAAGAAGTATTTTTCAGCCATAAATCTTTAACAACAATAAGGCAAGCAGAGAAAGACTGGTGAAGTAAATTGATTTTTTTTTTCCCCCCTCCCATAAGCATTCTCTCTTGTGGATCCAGCAAAAGTCTCACTGAAAGACCATGTATTTGTTTCAGCCTTTGTTAGGTTTTCAGTCTCTCAAATTTTTTCCAGCTTCTCCCTGTGAAAAGGCTTTTCTGGCTGGCTGCTGGCTGCCTCATTTGTGGCAGCTGTAAGCTTTAGCCAGATAGTGTACAAAAGGAATGCTTTTTACTGCTCCTTGAAAAACACAAATACACCTCCCTCCTTATTTCATCTTTCTGATGGTTTTGAGTTGGCCCGGGGCATGTTAGCAGTAATCAAAATGAGAGCAGCAGGTAAGAAAATCAGTTCAGTGCTGTTTAAGCATTCATATTCAATTTTAAACTTACTAAGGACAAAACCCATTTCAATTTTAGCCTACAAAGCAAGAAAAGGGGGGTTAGCTACAGGAATGTGCAAAGAGAAGATGCAAGAGATAAACCTGTGAACACTCTGCCATGAAAGACCAACAGCTATCAAAGCTGCAGAGGGGATAAGCTGGTGCCCTTCAGATAAATCCATGTTCCATTCTGAATATTTCTGCTGGAGGTTTACAGAGAACACTCCAAGCAGCAGTAACGTAAAAGAATGAATGCACAAGACTTAAAACAACCCAAGAGAGTGATAACAGTGATAAAAAATTACAAGCATCTGATTACAGAGCTGAATTCTGTTATGGGCTCTCCTTCCCCTCTGGGAAGGCAGCAGGGGCTGCGTGGGGGAGGTGAAAACAAGGGTTGGGGGGAGCAGATGTGATGGTACAAACCTGCTCAGGCATTTGGGCACACACTGCTGGCACTCTGGGTGCATGAAGGGAATCCATGTCAACAAAACACTTCAGATTAAGAGGAAGGAAAGGGAAGCTCCGTATGCTGTAACTTTTATTTTATCATTGTACCAGGACTTTGGATCGCTCCAAGTGGCTGTGTGACTTTATTTGTCCAGCATTTTAAAAAGCTTTTTCTCTTCTATTTTTTCAGTGAATCAGAAGCTAAAGATGCATGAAAAGGGCACCAAAACAGATATCTGATAACCAGAATGTTCCATTTCTGTAAACATTCAAGATGCTGCAGTTGCAATTATTAACACCACATCTACAAGGACAATATTAACATGAACTACATAACCCAAACCCACTGGTCTGAGATAAGCTGGAACTGAATGGTGATAAAAGGTCAAAATTATCCAGATTCGACCAACAGAGAGAAGAAAGATGACCATTTTCTTCCCTGTAATTTGACATTTCTGCTGCAGTTTTCATAACTGCTGGCAAAGGAAGAACGGAGGAGCTGACTCTGAGAGACTTTTGTTTGGACTTCAGAGATTTCTAATGTACGAAGAGAAATCCAAGAACCTTTCAGTGAACAGTAAAAGACATTTTTTTCATTTATAGTTTCCCTTGAAGGTCAGTTTTTCTGCTGCTGAATGCACTTCTCAAAGAATAACAAAGTTCTGTAACCCGCCAAATTATCTTATTACTGTGGCCACAGACCACAAAGCAGTGTCAGCTGTATCTCAGCCCATCTGCAAAGCAGATCTTGCCAGTAGTTATTCTCACTGACAAAAGATTTAAATATTCCCTGCAGTCTCCAGACAGTTTGTCTGTGGCCTCTTTATTACAACTGTGAGACCACATTTCAGAATAAGAATTTGTTAGTTCAAAGTTCAAAATCACAAATAACTGTAAGACAGATTCCTGCTCAGGAAGTGTTGATTTGAGTTTTTCGGTCACACGCTGTTGACTTCAGTTGTTCTCTACCTCCTTTTGTGGGTCACTGTGACTGGTAAGGAACAGGAGATGGAGCACAAGTAACTATTCCCTTCACAAGATGAAACACAGCATATTTCTTTGGGTTTGAGCTTAGCAGATTTTAAATAAATCACATTAATAAAAGAGCAGCTTTGCATGTCACAGACTTGGGCAATACTCAATAATTTCTGAAGCATTTCACATACCTGAAATATCTGTGGATAATATCCATTAGTTTCTATGAGCTGCTGGAATAATAAAGAAGCAAAGAACTTCCTTCTAGGAGTTACTCACGTGTAAACTTTGAGAACAAAATCCTTCTCTTCCTTTATTTCAGAGATTGACTGAAGCACGTCCATGATGCTCAACACTGCACAGCCGTAGGGGCGGCGATAGTGTAAATGAGGGGGCCCTTTTTTGGAGTCATTGAGTAACATACGACCTGTGGTGAACAGAAATGTAAAACATCAGGGATTGACATGTGGCCATCCTGCCTGTTGTGTTCCATGACCCCTCTGAGCAGGCAAGTTTTAACTCCAGCCTTCAGGCTGATATTTGTGCACTGGGTCTGATGGAGGTGGAGTTGGTTTTCCCCTCGGCAGCCTCAAAATGCTTGGCTGTGTGTTGGTACCCAAAGAGGTGTTTTGGTAGCACACCAGTGATGCTGAGCAGTGCTGGGCTGGGCTGGTACCCAAAAAGGTGTTGATAACACACCAGAGATGCTGGGCAGTGCTGGCACAGCATCAAGATGGCCTCTGCAGCACCCCCCCGACACCAGGAGGCTGGGGGTGGGCAGATCTTGGGAGGGGACACAGCCAGGACAGCTGTGACCCAAACTGACCAAAGGGATGCTCCAAACCACATGGCATCTGCTCAACAACAGAAGCAAAGAGAATGGAGGAGGAGAGAGGGACATTTGTGACTCTGAGGTTTTTCTTCTGGAGCGACCTCTACATGCAAGGAAGCCCTGCTTCCTAGGAAGTGGCTGGACATGGACTGCTGATGAGAAGTAGAGAATGAATCTTTTGTTTTCCTTGCCTTCTGCACATGGACTTTCCTTTTGCTTTATTAAACTGCTCTGACCTTCACACCCATGAGTTTTCCTCCATCTTATCCCCCTCCCCAGCCCTGTCCTGCTGTAGGGGAGTGATATTGTACTTGAGCTTGGAGGACATCTGGAGTCCAGCCAGGGTCAACCCACCACAACTTCTCACTCTTAAACTGCCTCAAATCCAGAGCTCCACTTGAACCTCCCTGACCCCCTGGGTTGCTTTAATTAAGGGGCATCACCTCATTTAGCTAAACAGAACAGTCAAGGGCAAAGTGAGCAGCATCATGTCTGGCCATCTTTGATTTGCAGCTCCACGACACGTATTTGCATCCAGATGGGCTGACTACAAATCATCTCTGCACTGAGCCAAGAATACGCCTTGTACTCACCCATCTGATCCACACAGAGATTCACTGTGGTCCCTCCATTATAGTTCAGAATTTACACAAATCCTCACTTTATACACTGTGTATAATATATATCACATATTATATATTGGTCATAGATCATGTTTGTCTTGCAGCGCAGGGAGGAGAATTCTGAGGTGCAAAGCTGCTCAGTGACTCACTTCCTATTATTAAGGCAGTTTTAAAATAGAGTAAAAAATGCCAAGGCCAGAAAAATCACTGTGATAATCTAAGTGAACTTGTAACATTACACACAATAATTTGTCCAGCATTTCCCACATCAAGGTTAATACAGCATATCTTCCTACAAGCTTCATTAATCACCTCAAGTGATAACAGAGTCATTTGTGGCTTCGAAGGCACATTGTCATTCACAGGACAACACACAAAGCTGTGGTTTCACTAAGCTGTTTAGACCTGCTGTACTTCAGAAAAGGTGTCTGTGGCTGCTAATGGGTGTCAGCAGTGACTGGGCTGGCAACAGGGTTAAACACCCTTCCACTGCAAACACTCCCTGGCCATTCCTCAGTTAACTGAAAACCTGAAAAACATGATGACAATGCACTACTCACTTGTTTACAATAATATAACTGAAGAAATTGTCTGCTATTCCCACTTTATGTTGTTAACATTTTAGGTCTAATATTTAAAACTATTTAATATTTAACATAGGTAAAATATGTACTTGCTAATTTCTCAGGGGAAGTACAGACATTAATAAATTAGATCCATTTAAACCTGTTACTAACTAATTATATCCTTTTTAATTTCAACTTTTTTCTCTCCAACACCTTCCATCTCTAAGAGATTCCAGCAATTCAACTCACATACCAGAAATCAAACAGTCACTTTAAACACACTGCTGGGCTAAGAACTTTGAGCACTGCACTATACTCTGTAAGACACATTCTAAATTCAACTTCTGTCACAAATACCTCCCATTCTTGCTACTGCAAGTGTCAAAAAGAATAAATGAAGCCTAGCCTGGCCTGGCTGACTAGTCAGAGAAACCCATTCTCCCTAAACTTGAGTTTAGGCATCTCCCTAAACTTAAGTGTGGGTTCTTCGAAGCACCACAGACTCCTGCAGAAGAAAGCAGACCTTTATATCTATTTGTTTAACAGCCTCTGATTTACTAGATGTGGATGGGCAGGTATGCTGCTGTCCTGTGCTGTAAACTAACTATAAACATCAGTAAAAAGACCTCATTTGAAATTTTTAAACGTTAAACAAAAAGCCTTTTTAGTTTGTCCCTCTCCCCAAACGTGGTGTTCGATCAAGTATTTTGTTTCAGACTAAGAAAAAACCATCACTATTAAACAGTCACCAGTACCTTTCTAACACTTAGCTCCATATGGTCTGAATGTTAATCAGTCTATGACTGAGTTTTTGAAGTGGTTAAATCATTACAAAGTCAGCTAATTAAAACACACATTAAAAAATACTCTAAAGGCACTGTTAATTCTATCTGTTCCAAGCACTAAATCATACTGTACCTATTCGGATTACATGGGCAACTATGTACAAGTCTCTCTTCATGTCCTTGCTGCTGAGGTCCTGGAAGAGTGGAAAAAATACAGACATTAAGAGGAACATGTTGCACTTCCAACATAAGTGCCTGTAACTATATTACACAGATGAAAACTCTCAAATTCCATGTTACAGAAAAAGAGGTCAAAGCTTCTAAAAGTGAGCTTGAAGAAAAGCCCAAAAACCAAGAAAAGGGGAACCTACAAAAAAGCAAAAGGAAAGCTGGAGTGAATGAGGACAAGTAAGTATAACTGACCCCGAGAGACATTTAATAATAAAGAAATAGATTAACAAAACACACATAACACTTTTCAATAATTCATTACTACAGCATTTTGCATTCACATGTTAGAAGACAACTGCAATTTCCTTGGCATGTTGTAGTTTTCACTGATAACTTTATAAACAAATATGAACATCAGAGACATTTCTCTGCCTTTTTTTTAAATCACAGGAAAGATCTAAGAAACATTTGTTCCTAAAAACATCAGTATTGTTTAACAAGTTTTCCTTATGCTACTAACCTCCCAGACAAGAAGATTTTAAACAGATACTATGAGAATATTCATCCATGTTTTAGACTGATGAAAAAAGGCTGCCCCTTTCTCCACTCTATTAAGTGCTGTCATCTTACTTTCAGGTACTGCTTATGGAAAAATTACCTGGAACAATCTCAGATAAAATCTTGTGGTTTTGCTTAAATGAACTCCTCAGCTTAGAGGTTTTAAAACCACTGTAAAAAGAAATAAGTGGAATTTTTATATAAAGGTGGGGAGGAAATGTAAACTGTAGACAACTAAGTTCTGCTATTCCTAGACTGAACCAATTTAGAATTAAAATTTGTATTTTGCTGAAAGCTAAAACACGAACTTTAAGTCACACAGCAAATTTCTTTCCCATGTGACCTGAGAAACCAATCTCAACAACTGAGATTATGATGGCAATGCAACCCCAGATTACAGTGACATGTAGCACAGTAAAATCTGGGCACAGTGACTGAGAACCAGGCACAAAGAGAATTTATTCTAAGGAGAGGTGTCGATCCCTTTCCAATCATGTTATATTGCTAAATTACAGCAGGCAAGTAATAAATTCATGGCTGTATCTCCTCCCTGTTTAAAAGCAGCACTGTATTTCCCAGGGCAGCATATGCAGGGAGTTGCAAATCCACTGTTTGGGATCCTGCTAAAGAGCAGATCGTGTCTCTCCTGAGCCAAAACATTACGCTATAAATGTCGTCCTTAGCATTTTCTCTGCAAGTTTTCTTCTGCTGCTGCACCAATAAGGGAACACACTTTCTAGGCTTTCTCCATCACCCAACATACCAGTGTAGCAGCATATGGTAGCCTTTATCTTACATGTCTTGGAGACATGAAGTTCCACACTAAGAGGGGGTTTGACATAGTTTTAATCTCAACAGTGCCTGACAAGACATTTCAAAGAGCAAAAAAACTTGGAGGTAGTGCTTAATGCTCTAGAGAGCAATAGATTCCTGAAAATATCTGTGCTTTGACAGGGACAATTTTATTATACTATCTGATTACCAGTTCTAATTAACAGCAATTTAAAGAACTATTTTTTTTAAAGGGCAGCTGTCAAAACATCAGAAAATGGCAGGGCATGAACATATTGATGGGTTCACACTTCAGTTGCTTTTCAATTTCACAAAAAAATACACTCTGTCACAGTCAAGAGGCAAGAAATGTGGGCCCAGATGGCCTTGTATTTGAGTTTGTGCAGCAGAGGCTTTTTCCAAGGCAAGAAGTTCTTATTATGACATGGACCAAACAGTCAAAAGCCCCAACCCCTGCGAGGAAGTTTTCAGATAATTCCTCTGCAGAGAATGCGTGCACATGACTTAGGACCAGAAGAGGACAAACTACATTTATTGTTTGCTTGTGTGCCATATAAATAAAGACAGAAAGGTGGTTTTAGGACTGCATCCACAGGGTGGGTACTTCCCACATCCTTCTGAGCTGCTGCTTAAATGATACTGGTTCACAAATAAAATAGTAACATTATAATTCTAATTGAATGGCTTTTTAGAAAATCAGTCCTAAATTTTCCCTCCAGTATAGGGTATGGAAAAGAGTTACTCTCTAATAATGGTTAGTTTTTTACAATGCTGGTTTCTAGAAATGTCTAGTTTTATGTTAAAAAACCCAAACACCATCACAACCACCTCCAGACCACTGGAATCAAGGATACCTGTCTGTCACTAATTAGTTATTTAATTCAGTTGCCAACCGCATAGGGTAGGGAAAATAAGGTATTTAACAAAAATAACGAGCTTATACTGTGAAGTTATGTTTCAATTCAGGCCCAGGAACTTTTCTAAAGTGTGCACAGGCTGAGGTTTGCTTGAGTGAGCTTTGATCTTCAGAGCAAACAGCTTCGCACCTTTGCTATGATATGACAGCAGATGTAAAACCAAAGCCTAAAACCAAAGCCTGAGTAATTCTGATCTCTCACACAGAGAGACAGCTGAACTCCTGGCAGTAACAGAGCAGGAAAAGACAGGGATCCCTTGAACTGTCTAAGATTGGGTTTCTTGCCTCTGGGAAAGATGAGTTTTTGAAAGATACTGCGGTGAGGGAGGGCAAGGAAACAGAGTCAAGATGAACACAAGCTTGGGGACAAACCTGATAATCACAGAATTATCTTATCTTGGAAGCATTTCCTAATTAAGAAGTTACGGTAAGATGGAACCATTGGGGATAAAATGGTTATTCAAAAAGCAATTATTTGTTTCTCTTTTCCTACAGACTTTGAAAAGTCCTTTTAATACATTGATGAAGAACACTGTATCAAAAGCGTGCCATTTTTTGCACAGATAATTTTTCTAATTATAATTCCTGTTGTGTAGAGTGTATGTTCTAGCAGAGTGAGAGAGTCTAAGCACCTACACCAGACAGAGGGATGGAGTCTGAGCACCTCAGAGAACTGATACTGCAGCAGCTTTGGTATTTTTGTACAGTAACACCAAAAGGCTACTTGGGAGTGATCTCTGGTCAGGAGAGGTGCTGCAGAGTGGCACTGTCTGCAATACTCCAGACTGGCCTTTTTTAGACTCCGTCATAATATGCAGCAGGTCTCTCCTGGGACTATGTTATGTCCCTGGCTGCAGTATATCATCATTTTTTAAAGAGTGTAAAGGCTGGTTTGAAGGTCACCAGAGCACACTCTTCACCACAGAGTGAAGCAGGACAGTTGTTCCAGAAAGCTGACCCAAAGTCTTGTAGCATTGCTGCAGATAGGGAAGTTTGATGGTTAAAATCTTTTCCAGAATGATGAACCTCATAGGCCTGAAAGTGTCAAACTCGATACAAAGCATCCTATCCTGCCTTTTGGGAATATTCCTTAGGGATATTCCATAAAGACCAGACACCAGAGCTGGAGCTTGCTCCCTGGGCACTTTCTCTTAGCAGGGAAAGACTCTTGGTGTTGAGTTACCAACCATGGAAACACTAAGAGCCTGTTACCTCTGCTGCTGTTTAACCAGCTGTAGCACTTCCTAAACCCCAACTGCTACTGCTGTCAGAATCCATGTCAGAGCTATTTTTGGACTGACCCACAGCTCTTACATCCAGATGGAGGTAGAACTGAGCACCCTTATATCTGGTTGGATATACTCTGTTCCTTAAGAGGAGAAATTTCACTATCTCCTTAAAGGAAAAAAAGGAACCATACTGGGAACCTGTTTCAGTGTTCAGCCCTGCCTGACCTTAGAGGGTTCCACTGCCAGAACCAAAGCTTATACCAAAGCTCTCCACCGTATTTTTTCTTCACTGAAGGTAAAAATACTTCTGCCACAGAGCTTCCAGCGTGTGCAGGAGCTAAAGGTGAGACACGATGGAAGGTGTTTATCACACTTGGGATCTGATATTCCTCACAGTTATTCTGTCATGGGCTGTTAAGTTTCAATGTCTCTAGATTTTCGTATCTGAGAAAAAGAGGCAGATAAAAACACGGTCTGACATATGATTCAGAGGGAATTCTGAGGGAATTTTAAACATAACTTAGTATCACTGCAGAAAGGGATTTCTGACAAGGGCATGTGGGGACAGGACACAGGGTAATGGCTTCACACTGACAGAGGGCAGGGCTAGATTAGACATCAGGAAAAAATTCATCACTCTGAGGGATGAGGCCCTGGTACAAGAGAAGCTTGTCCAGAGAAGTTGTGGATGCCCCATCTCTGAAGGTGCTCAAGGTCAGGCTGGATGGAGCTTTGAGCAACATGGTCTGCTGGAAGGTGCCCCTGCCCATGGCAGAGGATTGGAACCAGTCCCTTCCAACCTGAACCATTCTGTGATGCCATGATTCCATTTCAGTATAAGCAGTACAAAAGAAGAAGGCAGTTAGGTGAGGGGTGAGTCTGAAGAATCAAAAGGGAAAAAATCTGAGCTGACTATTTCATTCCCAAATGAGGAATCATCTGCTAGGAGCCAGACAGGTGTTACTCCTTCAGTCTTTCTGGCACAGAAAGTCAAAGACTGCTGGTGCACTTGGTGGTATCTGCTGTGCCTCAGGATGGGGTAGTTGTTTGCACAGACCTGCTGTGGGAACTCTGGATGTCACAATGTTCCCTTTATTCCAACCAATTCCTCGTAGCTCAACTTGGCTGTTGTTTCTGCAGCACATCCTGTTCCCTCTGTCCCATCCACACCCTCTGCCCCCAACCTGAGAGGGTCCTGCAACATCACCTGGGGCTGCTACATGGACACTCCAGTAGGCTGTGACAAAAGTCTGCCTGCAGAATTTTCAGGTTTTCTCTGTGTGCTGTTGGAGTTGTTTGCCTGCCCTTGACTCTGAAAAAAGTGCTTTGTTTTTTGTTCAGGCCATCACAGCATCTTCCTGTGCCCTGATATCTAAGAGCACAGCACATGCAATGAAAATATTAAAAATTTCACACTATGAGCAGGAAAAGATGCACTTCAAAGGAAGTACTTTGGATTATTTACTTAGCCATAAAAATAATTTAGAAGTACATTCATTTTCTATGTTAACATTTAGTCACAACCATAACAAAACTTAGAAACAGCTTCTGTTCTGCTCAATATATTGGAAGGGAAGAATTGTTTTTCCCCCCTCAGGGTGAGTGATCTCCAAGTACACTCCTGGAAGGGCAGAAGGAAGGGAATAGACACGTACTGTGAACAGAGCACACATTCGATCGATCTTCTCCGGGTTCCTGGGGCCTCCATTCTTGTTTAACCTCACCATAAACCTCTCACTGAAAAACAAATAACATTAAAAAATATAAGTGTTTCAGGTACACATTTCAACAGAAAAATGCAGGTAGGTATGGGTTTTATTAAAAACAAGCTGCAGTGGTTATTATAATTCCAACGTGTATGAAACAGTACTCACTGATCTTCCTCAAGTTACATGGAGTAGCACAGAAGACTTTTAATAGTAAGTACTCTGCTTGTGAAAACATTGTGTTGATGCATATTCATGATGCAATAACATTATTTTAATGTGAATATAAGAAGCACAGAATCTGAGCACATTACAACTCCTCCAGGCAAAGGCTAAGGCAAACTTGCTGAGGGCCTTTGGTAAAACTGAGTTCATTAAAATCCACTCAAAACTAAAAGTAACAAGAATACCAATTAAGCAATCTCCTCTAACACACAGTATTTATAGAGGCAATATCCTAATTCAAATACATTAGGATTCAATTGATACAACTCTTATCAGTCAAATTAATCAGCCCTTCTATGAATAAAACCAGCATGTATAGCCAGACTGCAAAATGAACACTCCTTACTATGGATGGTAAGACATGAACATTCATATTATTTCTAAAGACAGAGAATTTATGTGTAAAAAAGAGTTTGATGAGTAATTTTTTCACAAGGGTGCAAGACCACACCAAGTATTTTCTTCCTAGATTTTCTGGACCAGAATTTTCATCCTAGATTTTCACAGAAATAAAACGACAGCACATCATTAGATCTTCCAGCTACAGTTCCATTATCTCACAGGTCCTTTCCATTCTATCCAGTATGACTGTATCAACTCCATCAACCTTTATCTGACACATTTTCCAGTACTGTTGGCCTTAAAAATATGAAAACACAGTGTAGACACTTTGGCAGTTTGCTCCCAAAGGCCACTCATCCCTACTGTTAATCCACATGGATTAATCACTGCCTGATTTCAGTGTGCAGCCAGTGCTTTTTGTTACTCTTTCTTCTGTATGTTAAAGAGCCCTTTAGAAAAGCTCATTTCTTACAGGGTGGCACTGACAGCCCCTCAAACAAGTAAGTAACTTAACACTGTTAAGAAATTCAAGAAAAAGTGCTGGAATTGTTTTATAGAACTTACCCATGGTGCAATTTTTCAACAGCATTTCATGAACAGTTCTAAAAATGTAGGATTGTAACAGTCTGGTACTGGCACCACCCACACCACAAATACCAACACACACATCTGTGTATTCCACACACACGAAGCCAAGTCCCTACTCATCCTGACTGGAATGTATCAGACATCACAAATTGGCCTTTTTACTCCAGCTCATGCAACCTGTCCATTGTAAAGGCTGACATATTTTCAGAACTGTTGCTTTTGTTGGAATGGCTCTGCAAGCACGACTCGCACAGCTCGTTATAACCTCGGCACGATTATTGTGTGAGTTTATCATGCTCAGCAACCCAGATCATCCTCTCTGGCTCTTTTGCTCTCCCTGTTATTCACTATAACCCCAATCTCCAAGTATCCCCCAACCCCATTCAGTTATAATTTTAACTAATTTGCCACCAATTCTTATAACCTCAGAGATTGCTGAAATGATACAAAGAAATCCAACAGAAACAGATATTTGACGATTCTCTACCTACAACTGCTTTGAGACGTCAATTAGTAAGTTAAGAATGTTTTAGCAAATGCTTTAATGACATGGTATAATCAAATCTTTTAGTAAGAATTCTGTGATGTGTTAAGTGGAGAGCAGGGTAATATTACAACTTCAGTACATTACAACAACAGTTTTACTTCTTCATAGTTACCTCTACCTAATACATAATTCAATAACAATATTACATATTCTATTTTAAATTTCCAGTAAGATATATTTTTGAACTTTCAACACAGGTTTTTCTTTAATTATTTCAGCACTAATAAGCATTTCATTTTCCTACAGAAGCTGAATACCACAAAAGATTTGTCTGCCACAAAAGGCTGTGCAGGCTGTCCCTCAGACAATGGCAGATAAAGGAGTGCCAAGTCTTTGAGATGAGGTGTCTATATATATATTTCATTCATTACCAAATGTTGTATTGCTTAGTCTGCTTTCAAAACATCCAAAGAGGGATATTCTGGAGACTCACTTGCAGGGTTGTATTCCATTAATAAGTGGAAATATTTTCAAGTTTGCAATTCATCTTCTCCTTGTTAGAGCCATAGAGAAAAATCTGGTTCCTGTCCCCATAATCCAGTGCTTTTCAAGAAATGAAGCAGGTCATTCCTACCTGCCTGCTGATCAACTGTTCCCTTATTCCAGCACTACTTCAGTAACAACCTTCGAATTCCTTCCTTTAATTTCCAGTCCTTCCTTGAGTCCTCTTGAGCTTGTACCATTAAATAATTAAGGGGGCTTTGAGCTATCCACAGCATTTGAGACCAGGGGAACACAGAGAGTCATTTGTCCAAGCCACCTCCAGTTCTCCTGCCTTTCCTGGCAGGTCACTTCTCCCAAACTTGCAGTTTTGTCCCCCATCTCTGGCATTTCTCTCATCTTTGGTACCACTGATCAAGGACAGTTTACAGAAACTACCCTGACTATTCCACTAGGATCTCACTGGTGCTGCTGATGTTTGTATCCCTGGAATGGGACTGCAGTGTTTTAACACTGGTGACCCATATTATGAACTAGTTATAGTGAGTCACCTGCTTCCCCTTTTACAACTGCAAATTCATTTCTGTGTCAAAGCAAATCTGGAAGAATAACCCTGTTTTCAATGACCTGAAGATCCACTGCCTTCATCTGTCACTACAGCTCTATTTTTAGACAAAAATACACACATTTAGGGTCAAGAAACTTAATGGAAATTCAGTAATTTAATTTCTTATTTTGGGAGCTCTGTCCTTTGAAAGAGTTCAATCTTCAGTGTGCCTTTTCCTCAAGCTTATCTTCTGCACAAGGACAAGAGCATGCATAGAATCTAGATTAAATTAAAGTCCAGTTTAGTGAGACCAAAATATCAAATGGGAATAAACTCCATATGGAAATTAATTAAAAAACCCCAGTAGTTATAAATGCCAAATGACTGGTGGAATTTAAGTATGGGGAGGTTCCAAGATGAAATCTGACTGTCTGATCCTACTACTATCAAAAAACCCCCCCAAAATCAAAACCAACCAACCAACCAAAAAAAAAACAAATCTAAAAAGCCAACAACCCAATAAATATTAATTTTCAGCTATTCTGGAAATACACTGAAATCATTTACCTTGCATAAAATCAGAGATAAACGCATCACAGCAGAGAAAAGAATTAACATTTTACCTTGCTGGGTTCAGATTGAAGATGTGCCACAGTAGTAGCAGCATCTTAAACAAAAGCTCATTTATTCCTTTGCTCCTATGTGCTGTAAGCAACCTTCAATTACTCTAATTGCACCATCTCCTCCTGTGCTAACTCACATCACAGTGAAACCACCTCTTGTGCAGCAGTCAGGCCGGGTTTCCAATCACTCTCATGATTAGTAATTGCTAGAGCTACTCAAATCTAGGAACCATTGCTCTGCCGAGCAAAGTCAAACAGCTTCTTGTTCATTCACTTGAAAAGGAGGAAGAATGAAAGGAGTGTAGTGTCTCACTTCTTGGCTGCCCTGAACTGACTGAAAAGCAGGACCATCCTGAACTGGCATCTGTCTCTGCAAAAAGGAAGGAAGCCATCAATGGTTTGGGACATTACGTTTTCAGCATGAAAGAGGAGGCAAACAGGGACAAAATTTACTGTTGGGTGAGCAGCAGTGGCATTTTGCCCATGGGGAGTTTTTGTTGTTGGGATTTTTTGCATAACATGCAAAGATGACAACTGAAGGACAGAGCTGGCAAAGAGCTCGGGATGGATTGGCGAGGCCTTGCATTAACTCAGGGACAGGTTTAATTACTGGGGGTGTTGAAAGGCAAAAATCCTGACTGAGCATCAATTTATGAACGTAGGCACAGCATTAATAGATGGATAATGCCAAAGCAGTGCTAGTCTGGAGAGAGTCTGCAAATCAATTTGCTGTTTGAATTGGAAACTAGTGATAAAGAACAGATTAAAAAAAATTAATTCTTTAACAAAGTCCAGGAGATTGGTTTTCTGAAGCAGGAACAGCAACACATTAGGGCTTCAATCTCCTTAAGCAGAAGGAGATATCTTGTACCCTCCCCTCGCCTTAAATTATGGTTCAGCAGACATTTCTCCCAGAAATAAATACCTCCTTCACTCTCTCTATTCCAATATGCCACTGAAAGGGAAATGGTACAAATATGTTCCCTCGTTTTTCTTCTCTTCCTCAGTGCTTCCTATTTCCAAAGAAAACTGGGAGAACATTGAAAAAAATCCAACATTATTACAAATACCTCAGTCCGTTCTCAGAAGCTGTATTTAACTGGGTTTGCAGAACCCAACATTTGGCCAATCCCATCTAAGAATAAAGGTTATTTTAAAATACATATCGGTCCCATGACACATGTAGAAGTGCACAGGGAAAAGGGTCATATGGTAGAGGAGAAGATCATATAACAACTCGTATTTTAGACTTTGATCTTCTTTCAGTGTCTTCCAGGTAAAAAACTACCTGCACACAAAATAAAAATCTGAACATGCTGTCAGAGAAGCTGGCAGGAATAAGCTACAAAGACCTGCAGAGCCAGCACAGTTCACCTCCTTTCAGCCCTATCAGTTAAGAAATGGTGATAAGCATGATACTATTTAATTTCTCCTCTCCTCCCACTGCAAAAAACCCCAAACTCTAGTCTCTTCTTTTAATGAATGCTAATATGCCTGATAATAATTCTAGAATAAAATTTGAGTTGGCATTTGAGCATCATAAACATTTTAGGATGTTACTGCAAAAGCACCATTTTTCGTCCCGGATTAATCTCGAGAATAAACTCTACAAACTGCAAGCCCAGGCCATTCAGGATGGAGCCTGGGATGAGCTCATCACTCTCTATGGCAATAGAAACCTTGCCAACATTTGCCTTCAGAATATCCCAGTCATGCTG